CGTACCGTGAACCAGCCCGGAAAAGAAAAGCAGAAATGATTTAGCCACCGAAACCGTAGAGGGTACCTGAAAAGGAAGGTTAGAGACGCGATCTGTAAATGGAAAGATACGTGAAAACTTACGGCCCTGGCGCTTGAGAGCGTAGACAACGTCAAGAGAAGTGACGGTCTTGCGCTTGGCGTGCTCAGTGTAGGTAACAGCATCACGGATGACACCCTCGAGGAAGGTCTTGAGGACACCACGGGTCTCCTCGTAGATCATAGCGGAGATACGCTTGACACCACCACGACGTGCGAGACGACGGATAGCGGGCTTGGTAATTCCCTGAATGTTGTCACGCAAAATCTTGCGGTGACGCTTGGCACCACCTTTGCCGAGACCCTTTCCACCCTTGCCGCCTGGAAAAGAGACGCGTTAGAACGCGTTTGAAGATATAGAAGTGTGGGGTAACTTACGGCCAGACATATTGAATATGGATTTAAAAGAAAAAGGGGATTGTAGAAGTGGGATGAAGAGGAGTTGGTAGTTGGGAGATAATCGTTGGAATTGATGGAAAAAGAGGGAAAGGAAACAGAAGTGGACAGAGGATATTTGTATGATACGGGAATCAGCGAAGATTGGGAAATCACGCGCTAGGAATGACATCCACCAATGAGAATGCAGGATCACAGACCAACCTTGATCTACCGGGAGACCCCAGAGTCGGAACGCCAACTTTGGCGTGGTCCATCTTTGATCCTCCTATAATCTGTCACCAACAATGTAAATCTATAATTAAAATAAAATAATTATACATTCCAAATCATGGCAAATACTTCTGAATCCATTAATTATTCATTCAAGGGAGGTTGGTTGCAAGATCAAGAATTCAAAGGGTTGACATTCTATAGTCCCTGATCCTGCACTCTCATTGGTCCAAGACTCGCTTAGTTGGCAGTACCATCACTTTGATCCAGTTCAACCAATCAGAACTCACCGCAAATCAGTCTCTGGACTACACGCTACGCAGTCCCCAGTCTTACACACTGAATTTCATGACTGATCCTGATCGGCTCACTCCCCCCTGATTCGTGGTTACCTTCCCAGATCAATTTCCCCCCTCCCGTCTCCTACAAATACTCTTCCCCCACCCTCTTCTCTTTTCCTTTTTACATCCACCTTCCACCAACCAACTCTTTCATCAACAAAACCACTTTTTACATCAAGTCTATCATCAAAGATGGCTCGTACCAAGCAGACTGCCCGTAAGTATTTCTTTTTTTTTTTTTTTTTAAAATTATATTTAATTCACCATTTCCCCCATCTCGTCGACGCTTGATTAGTCATGTGCCTGCGAAGAGAGGATTGGTGACGCGTTCACGCGTTCAGAAACATTTTACTAACTGTCTCAAATAGGTAAGTCCACTGGTGGCAAGGCTCCCCGTAAGCAGCTCGCCTCCAAGGCCGCTCGCAAGGCCGCTCCCTCCACCGGAGGTGTCAAGAAGCCTCACCGTTACAAGCCCGGTAAGTTCCATCTCATGTCAAATACAAGTACACTTTGGAACATCTTCTAACATTCCATTCCATAGGTACCGTCGCTCTCCGTGAGATCCGTCGTTATCAGAAGTCCACTGAGCTGCTCATCCGCAAGCTCCCCTTCCAGCGTCTGGTCCGTGAGATTGCACAGGATTTCAAGTCCGATCTCCGCTTCCAGTCCTCTGCCATCGGTGCTCTTCAGGAGTCCGTTGAGGCCTACCTCGTCTCTCTCTTCGAGGACACCAACCTGTGCGCAATTCACGCCAAGCGTGTCACCATCCAGTCCAAGGACATCCAGTTGGCCCGCCGTCTCCGTGGCGAGCGCTCGTAATTTTTCTCTTTTTAACGAGCTGGGTTTCTGAAAGGCGAGCATGGGGTTTGTTTTTATCTTTTTATCATGATTACTGGCGATACATGATGGGTTTGCTTTCAAATATCAATGGGTTTCGGCACCGGGTTGCTTCGCAATTTTGCTTTTTTATCGATGCTGCTGCTAGCCATCGGTTGATGGATCAGTCATGGGCATGTACATTATGGGCCTCCCTTTTAACATGATGCCTTAGCGCGCATCATCTCATGACAGGACGCTTCAATGCAGTCTTCTATGGTTTAACAACTTTCTTCCTTGTAAATAGTAATATGTAATTATTTGCGACGCGTCTTCTCTGTACCTACTGGGTCGCTCATCCTATCGAGCGATGGGGTCTTCTGCCTTTGTATGATTTCTTTGAATTCTCGCAATGTCGCGTCAGGCGAACCTTCTCGGTCGCAAGATCATCTTTCTATCTAAACAGGTGATCCCTCCAAGGTCGGTACCAGTACTATGCAGAATGAGTTGGCAAGGAACAATCAACCATCCCACTTCTGAACATAATTCTTCCAAGTCAATGGAAAAAAGTGATTCTACATGCTATTCCGCCCCGAATCTTACCAAAGGGTTTCCATCGCACAACAAAGAGGTAACATCAAGTATGACACTTCTATAATTAGATAACAACAAACAGACCTCCGACTCTGAGATTGGAACAGTTCTTGACCACTTGGGAAAAATAGCCAAAAGAACGTGGGCACTATCATCCAAAGCACTATGACTTCACCTTGGTTTAACCCTGATCCAACAATTAACTGGGAATTGAAAAGTCCAATCAAATTTAAGAACGAAACATCACAATCAAACTAAAGAATAGACACGCAACTTGGACTTGAGTTTCCGACTAGTTAATACCCATCATACATCATACTACATTGATCAGACCGCACGATCCAATCGCCACACAAGTAGCTCCAAATCAACATCGCGATTCGATCAGGATTGAGTCACAATGAGCTCACACGTAATAAAGCAGGGCAGTCCTGTGCTGTAGAATATCAGAATGACTCATTCTTTATATCACGAGGAATATTCCCGAATGAATCAGGATCCTCCGTCCAGGATAGTATCAGATGACCGAGCTCGAACTTCCAAGGTTGGGGGAAAAAGGGAGTAGATTAGATGTAGTATACAATTTCCCTATCAAACCTAGTATGTAAATGAGAGGCAACTGGACCACGTTTCTATAATGTATTTAATGGTCTGATACTGTATGGAATTTGGACAGGTGATCTACTTGCAGGGCTGAACCAAAGCTGGATGGCGGTTCTGGAGGTTATCCTAGCTGTCATGCCAGGTTTAAGTGGGGACGGAGTGACTTAAACGCGTATTTTGTTTCCTTGATCTTACTAACAATAGAACTAGAAAAACTTTGAAATCAAGGAACTAGATAGCCGAAGCCAAGGGGCATCTACTGACACAAATCGACACGTATAACTATCTTTGGTACCAAGATCAAGGTAGTGTAGTCTGGTGGCAAATGTATCTATTCTCAGCCCAATCAAGCTAGTGGCCTGAGGCGCAAAAGAAGATGCCAAGCCTTTATGGAAAATTCTAGCGTCGACAATTTGGTGGCTTCGATTTCCCTGGTCTTTAATCTTTTTTCCTGCAAGCCACTTCGGGTGTGATTTTACCAGAGGGTTGCGGGAAAACCTCGGAGATCCGACATTTTATATCTACATCTAGTACTTTGTTGAAATTTTTTTCATGGCCGATCCATGGGATAACTGATTAGCTCAGAAACTAGAACCTGCAATCCAGGGCTGGAGATACCTTCGATTCCATTGATTGTGTACATTATTTGAGTGCCCAATATGACAGGTGATTCAGTCCATGGGTGTCTAGATGTCCTTTATGGCCCCATATGGCCTGAGCGATCAAAACATGCATCTCCCTCTACAGAGCCATATGGCTGTTGATCTCAGCACTAGTGCCGTTTTGGAGGGTACTGTGGTCTGATAGTATTTTGATTCGATCCGGAGCAATGCAAGATGATTTCAAAGATATCGCCGAGACAAGTACTCCGTGCAAAGGCAAATCATGCTGTTGACATAGGGACGGAGTACGGAGTAGTTAAGCCCCGATTTTGCCGACCTGGCATTCAACGGCTGAATCAAAGCAAGATTACAAAAGTTTATGCTGCAGCTCCACCATGCATATAGGTTGGTGCACAAGGCCCGGGGGCGGCTCCAGGGCCCATAATGGATTGATAATCATAATGCTATGCATGAATGACGGAGTATGTACGGAGTATGGAGGATGTGTATGGAGTTTAGTCGGTCATAAGGATTATAAACCCGATTTATGTACCCGTTTACGAACGTGCATCGGAGATTATCTTAGATATTCCGATAAGACTTTAGATCTGTTCTCAGTTTGAAGGGTAGTTCAATGCGGAATATCTAAATGTGGATAAGTCCGAGGTTATGCAACACTGGAATTGTTAAATTATGCACATTATATATAATGTTGTATAGAATGTTCCATGGATATTAGAGAAATTACGAAATTAAATCTCCTTAACGGAGTACTCCGTTGAATAGGCAGAATCGATGGCCCCCGAGGGGCAGAAATAGAACGTTTGAAGTGTGAAACCTTAGTCAAAGTGAACCAATCAAATCGATGCCGTATACCCGAGGTGGCTTGACATAAATCGTTCATAAATCACGTGGCGCAAAAACGTGGCTGCAAACAGAGATCTTAAGTTCGGTTACATTCAGGGTTGTAGCTGTATCTCTAGGGTTAAATCTGTATATTCGTACTATAGCTTTTAATTTATAGTATATTGATATATTGATATTGGTATGAAATCAGTATGAAATCAATATGAAAGAAAAAAAAATACATGAAATCTATACCTTGGAAGGCCCAGATCCTCAAAACCTTGGAACTGTCATCGGGTCAGATACCTTGTCCGGGTCCGGGGCCCACCTATCCTACCGGATTCCACTTTGTACTTTATATGCACAGAATTGATGGCCCCTTTATATATGACTGGACGGCCCTCCAGTTCTCATCTTTTCTCGGCATTTCTTGGAGGTCCCGCAAAGATTCAGGTGTCCCCCACCTCCTTTTTCATATACTTCGTCATATATCGCAAATTCATTACCCCACCATGACAGAATCCGAGTCCTTCTCGGACAAGATTGAGCCCTCTGCTCCAACGAAAATTCCCTTCTGGCGCCTGGTCTTTGACCAGGGAGTCGTTACCCAAGAGATTATCGATCATCCATACCCCGGTTCAGGAACAGATGAGGACCCTTATGCTGTAACATGGATCGCCAATGACCCCCGCAATCCTATGAACTTCAGCGAGCTGAGGAAATGGACTCTTACTGCTCTGGTGGCCATCGCAACATTGGCCGTTTCACTGGTCTCATCTGCCTACACCGGTGGTATTCAAGAGATCATGATGCAATTTCACATCGGGCAAGAAGTTGCCACTCTTGGTGTCTCGCTTTTCGTTCTTGGTTTCGCGGTAAGATATCGACTTCCTAGATGTTGGCTTTCAAGCTTGCGCAATCTGCTTTGCATGTATACTAACAATATTTGTTTTGATATAGATCGGACCATTGCTCTGGGCTCCATTGAGTGAGCTGTTTGGCCGCCAAATCCTGTTCGTTAGTACCTACGCCGCCCTCACAGCTTTCAATGCCGGTGTTGCAGGTTCTCAAAATGCCTGGTCCATTATCATTTTCCGATTCTTGGCCGGTTCCTTTGGATCCTCGCCTTTGACCAACGCCGGTGGTGTTATCGCGGACATGTTCCCCGCTCAGCAGCGAGGTATCGCCATGAGTTTGTTCGCCGCTGCACCTTTCCTTGGTCCTATCATCGGCCCCATCGCTGGTGGATTCATTGGCATGAGTAATGGCGGCTGGCGATGGGTCATGGGTTTCCTTGCCGCCTTTTCTGGTACAGTCTGGATCGTTGGTGGCCTACTGATCCCCGAGACCTATGCTCCTGTGCTTCTCCGCCGCCGTGCCGAGAGACTCTCGAAGCTGTCAGGCAAGGTCTACCGGAGTAAGCTTGAAATCGACCAAGGCAAGATTACTCTTAAGGAGTCCTTCAAGCTGTCACTCTCCCGTCCTTGGATCCTTTTGTTCCAGGAACCTATCGTGTTCTTGCTATCTCTCTACATGGCTATTGTTTACGGCACCTTGTATATGATGTTTGCCGCCTTCCCTATTGTCTATCAGCAGTCTCGCGGCTGGAACCAGGGTGTTGGCGGCCTCGCCTTCCTTGGTATCATGATTGGCATGTTGTTTGCTGTCGCCTACTCCGTCTGGGACAACAAGCGCTACATCGGGGTATCTAACCAACATAAGGGCTTCGCACCACCTGAGGCACGTCTCCCACCTTGTCTCCTCGCATCCGTCGCAATCCCAATCGGCCTATTCTGGTTCGCATGGACCAACTACCCCTCTATCCACTTCATGGTCAGCATCGCTGCTGGTGTTCCCTTTGGCTTCGGAATGGTCCTTGTCTTCCTTAGCATCATGAACTACCTCATTGACTCCTACACCATCTTCGCCGCCTCCGTGTTGGCCGCCAACTCGGTCATCCGTTCACTCTTCGGTGCCGCTTTCCCTCTCTTCACCACCTACATGTACAAGAACCTGGGTATTCATTGGGCATCATCAATCCCGGCCTTCTTGGCGCTTGCCTGCGTGCCCTTCCCATTCTTGTTCTACAAGTACGGACCCGCGATTCGCACCCGTTGCAAGTTCGCTGCTCAGTCCGACGCATTCATGCGCAAGATGCAGGAACAGGTTTTCAGTGCACCACCCGCAGAGGAGAAAGTGGAATACGACCGCACAGAGGCTGCTGCGCCCGAAGGCTCAATCTCTAGCGAGTCCCAGGACGGTGTTGACGAACTTCCCCGTACTGAACGTGCCCGCAGCCGTGCGCAATCTGTCGCTTCCAACCGCACTACTGCCTCATTGGCTCGCTCGGTTACCTATGAGGGAAACCCTTACGATATTGATCGTGTTCACACTCGTGACTCCTTCAAGCAATAGACAGTTGCTCAGCAGCTTGTTTATATCCTCTCATCTTACCATCTCTTGTCCGGGCTTGTCATACTTATACATGCCTGTGTGACTATAATCATAGTTTCTATTGACCCTTGTTCTCTCTTATCACCAAAAGTCCCCTATTTGCATATTATGCGTTTGTTTTCATTTTGATACCCGTTCATATCATACTGAGGGCCACCTCATCCGACTAATGTTTTTATGGGATGCATTATATAGAGCTGGAGTTTTGATTTTACAGAAATACATATCAGTTTGCAATAAGTACAAGTTTTCATCTTTTCTATGTTGTATATACATTAAGTAAATCCTTAAGTAACCCCCCCCAAGTAAATCCCAAATCCAATCGGAACCTACTTCCGGCACTGATTTCACCCGCTTTTCGGCTCTTATCGCCACAAACCCCGTCGGATTTCAAAGCGCATTGTTTTCGAATTTCTGATCTTCTCTTAACTCTCTCACCTTCAACTATTCGCAGTTTGTAAATAACTAGGCGTGGTCTTGGACATGAGCCTCCTTCAGAATGGCCTCTTATCCAGGGCCTCGACCTCAACTTCTACCCTCCGATCGATAACCCCCAGATCCCAACCCCAGCTATTGCGCCGACCACACCCACAACGTCGATACAACTCCAACCCCTCTACAGGGAAAGCGTCCGAGAGAAACACATCACCCGCGCAGTCACATTCACACTTGCACCATTCAACCACAACTCCACCCAAGTTCCCAGACACTATTCCCGCCGCTACTGCTGCAGCCGGAGCAGCGACTACACCCGTGCGCCGCGGGTTCCGTGAGGTAATAAAGGCCGGTCCGGTGGGAAAGTTTGGAAGATGGTATGCGCGCGCGCAGGAGCGCAAGCCGTATACGACACAGTTCTGGAGTTCGATAGTTATATACCTGTGTGGTGATCTGAGCGCGCAGATGCTGTTTCCTTCTGAGGTTCCTGCGCCTGCGATACCGGACTCAGAGGATGGGGATGTGGTTGCGCGGGGGGATGGGGGAACTGTGAGCACTGGTTATGATCCGCTTAGGACGCTGCGACATCTGTGCGTTGGGGCTGGATCGAGTATTCCGTCTTATAAATGGTATGTTCTGTGATGCGGTTATGTGACATGTGACCAATGGTTTATATCGGGTTATTACCAAGTGGGGAACTCGGTATGTATATGTATCTGTTAACTGATATAACCACTCTAGGTTTTTGTGGCTTGGAAACCATTTCAACTACCCGAGCAAGTTCCTCTCAATCCTGACAAAGGTCGTCGTACAGCAGTCGTTTTTCACGCCCGTCTTCAACACGTACTTCTTTAGCGTGCACTCTCTGCTTGCTGGTGCGACACTCGACGAGACCTGGGAGCGGTTGAAGAAAGCTCTCCCCGTTAGCATCCAAAACAGCGTCAAGCTCTGGCCGGCTGTTACCGCGTTCATGTTTATGTATGTGCCGCCACAGTTCCGGAACATCTTCTCTGGGGGCATTGCTGTTGGCTGGCAGACATATCTGAGCTGGTTGAACCAGAAGGCTGCTAAGGAGGTTGCGGCTGCTGAGGCGCTTGCCGCAGCAGAAGGGATGAATGGTACATTGCATGCAGTTTCTGGGGGCAACATGATCTCTGCTGGGACTGTATGAATGCATGAAAAATAGACTTAAAAGTACAGTTGAGGTTGAGTGGATGATAGATTCATAGATCCCTGCCGAATATGGGGGATGTTTCCTTTTTTCTTTTTTGAGCGATGCATGGGATACCAAGAGCAATTACTTAGATCAATAGACAGTCTCTTTTTGTCACTTTGAATTCTATATAATATCTAATATTTTCTTCAATTATCAAGTATGTGGCCAGCCAGTAAGAGGAACGGGATTCTAAAGGCTCACAACGCCATGACGCACCCGAACACCAACTCCAACTACTGGATATGATACCCTTCAGGTCGCAGGCATGTCCTGCCCAGAGATAAATGATGACTCTGATTATGGGTCCGATTTCACACCTGATGAAGAGGATCTGCTAAACAATTTGCTGAACAAAGCCGTCGCGGAATATGCGACCGCCGACGCCGACGCCACCTCGTTCTCGACAACCTGGATCTCGACCCCAACGCCTGGACAGATCGCCGCGCCAAAATCTCCAAAACTCGCCGATCTCGAGTCATTGCAACCGGCCGCTCTAGAGGCACTCGTTGCAGATATCGAGGATGAGCCTAGCGTTCGCTTGCCTAAGGTGCTGGGCCGGGAAAAGCCTCGCTCGGTATGGCGGCAGTCGCAATCTCGACCAGGTCAGGCGGTTAGATGGGGTGCGAATGCGAGTGCAAGGGGGAGGTCAAGTCCGCTCTCTCGCAACAGCAACAGGAACAGCCCGTTTGGTATGCTTTCCGTCCTTACCTCTCCCCTTGTTGACCCACCCTTCTTTTATGGGTTGGTCCCGTTACATTCAACCCGAATTGAACTGACAACATCTTCTCCGAAGCGTTTAGTCGAGAACTCTAGTTCAACCGAGGGCCGAGAAAGAGAACGGGAGCGCAACGCAGTGCGCGAGGCCGAATGGATACAACAGGATCCCGTCGCCGCGGCGCTTGACACTCGAACCCCCGTCGAACGGTACCGACAAGCACCCAACAAAGCGTTCTCGGTGACTGATCTCGTTTCACCGGCTTGGTGCGAGCTTCAGTACTGGCTTACGTTGACCAAACATGGGCGAAAGAAGCCGACTGCTGCGATGAAGAAGGGTAGCTCCATGCACAAGACACTCGAGGATGAGATATATACCACTGTCCCTGTGGAAGTTACGACTAAAGAGGATGCGTGGGGTCTCAGAATATGGAATGTTATTCAGGGACTGCGCATGCTGCGCGATTATGGCATTACACGTGAGCTGGAGGTTTGGGGCGTTGTCGATGGGGAATTTGTCAATGGCGTTATTGATGAGTTATCATACGAGTGTCCCAACTCGGAGCTCGAGGCTACTGCTGCTGGGTACTATGCGGACGTTGTAGCGTCGCGTGCTGCCCTGCCGGAGTATCAGATGTCTTTGTCGGACTATCTGCTTTCTTCTTCGCAGGGCGGGATGAAGCTTTCGGACCTTGGACAGAATGAAGTTGAGGAAACAGGACATATTGAACCGGAACTGCCTCCAGAAGTCTACAACCTGCGCCGGATTTATTTGACAGACGTGAAGACGAAGGGTAACCGATCACTACCGACTGTCAAGAGCACGGGGTTCCGGCCTACTCTTCTCCAGTTGCAACTATACTATCATATGCTAAACCGGATGATCACGAGTGATGACGTTACTATTGACCTCCTTGCCACTCGTTACGACTTCGACGCCCAGAAACCCTTCACGAGCGCTTTCGTCTCGGAGGTTGGAGGCCTGAACGACCAATTCTTCGACGCCCTCTCCTCCCAAGAGTCCGAACAGAACGAGGGTCCTTCTAATGCTAGCGAGGACTCAACCAGCCTCCTCCTAACACACAACAACCTCTCCCATCTTTGGAGTCTCATGATACAACAATTCCGCCTCACATTCCTCCCCGAACAGTCCTCCAATACACAATCAATCGCACCATCTATCCCATCAGTTTCCCAGCCAGAGCTCTTGGAATCATACCCGACCCTGCTCTCCCCGGTGCTCACAGCTAGATATCTCTCATCTGTTGCTAATGAAGACCTAGGGAGACAGCTCATTGGAAGCCGATCTTTCCTCTTCGATCCGACATCCCTCACCTCCTACCTCTCCGACCAGATGACCTGGTGGCGAGGTGAGCGAGATCCTCGCGGCGTGGATATCATGGACGCGTGGAAATGTCGGATGTGCGACTTCCGCGATGAGTGCTCTTGGCGTGAGGAGCGTGAGATGGCTTATGCGAGACGGGGTGGAGGTCGCAGAGGGTCTGTTGCGGATATATGATTTGGCTTTAGTCTGGTTATATTGAACGCGTTCAGCGATTGTAAGAATACGGAGTTGGTTACCTTTTGAGCATGCTATTTTCGTCCATCCTGACATTGGGAAGAAGTATAGAAATAGCCGATAAATAAATAACATCCATGTTTGACATTTCCACTCAAAGAGGATAACTTCTAACTTCATCCTCCCTCTCAATCTCCAACCCACCCTCAACCTGCATTCTATGCTTCTCATCCAAAAACTCCAACAAAACATCCTGATACTTCTCCTTCCCCTTATACCGACTAACATCATCCCCCCAACTCCTAATCGCGTCCGCTAAACGCCCAGGAACATAAGGTTCCTCGACGATACGGGTAACAGGTTCAAAATAAGTCCGAATTGTAAAAACCACAGCTCCAGATCTAGGTAATCTCCTCAGCGACTGTCTCTCCGAACGAAAGAAATGATTTTCAATAGCCCGGTTCTTCTCCGCCGTATCCCACGATACAGTCTCCGTATCCTCGGACCCAATACTATCAGACCACGCCAGGTTATCATCAACCTGGATGAAATAGTTATTCCGAAGAACAGGCTCTTCAGGTCGTAGTCGTCGGAAGAAATTCATCATTCCTTTCTCGAGCTTGCTCTTGAACTGCGGTACGTCACCGGATGTGTGGATGTCAGACAATCGCATCCCGAATTTATCACTCAGTCGCCAGAACCCGGCTAGCAGAATCGCCCCTGCGAGCAGATAGTATTCGCCGTCTGGACGTTCAATCATTAGGGCTAGGTCATCTTGGACCAGTCGTGCTGCTGTTGCCATTGGATCCTCGGGGAGTGGACGTTGGGTTATGTTGAAGGTTTCGTTGGTTACTTTATTGCTTATTCCCGTTGCGGTTTTGGTGAACATGCTTGGGTATCTTTCGGGAAGGTAGGTGCATCTAGATTGTTGGAGCGATGTTAGGATAGGATTGTATATGACTATGTTTTTTGCTTGCTCTTACAGTTCTTCGAGTAACTCGATTGCCGCATCCATTGCCTCCGGTGCTGTATGGCAACATTTACTCCCGCGCTCTTCGATGCGGCGTGCTTTGTCGGCGTGGTATTTCAAATAGTGGTTGTCGAGCTCTGTTCGAGATATATGAGGTCAATGGACTGGTGGGATATGGCTATCGAACGGCTCACCGATCCATTCGTCCCATTTCATACTCCTTAGACCCAGCGTGATATAGTATTTCCTATTGGAAACCGTCAAAAGACAGCAATATATCTAACGGATTTTTTTTTCAACATACGGGCCATATCTGAAGGGTCGGTAGGGAATTGGCTTTGTCGAATGGGCATCCCATCCTGGATATGGGGACGCCGTTGGCCGTTTGAAGTCCGATGGAGTCCATTCTATGCAAGAGTTAGTGAGTCTTCCTCATTGCATGAACCGCCATTCCACTTACCACCTGGTGGCCTGGTGACCTTTCCTCTCACACCTGAAGCGGGTTTCTCTAGATTACCTTCCGAAGCTCCGGACGTGCTAGAAGGCCACTTCGGCGATACAAAGATAATAAGCGATACACAGACACCGAGAATGAGAAAGATATCCAAGATAATTTCCGTTGGGATCGATAAGATAGTTCCCCATAGGGAGTCAAGTATCGACAAAGTCATGGCGAGTCACTTCTAGGCAGTACGTAGTTCGAAGATACACCAAAAGTAGAAGTTGAGGAACCCAAAGTAGGTTTAGTATATAGTAAATGCAAAGCAGATCGCCCTTATCAAGTTCGGGGTGCGGGGAAAGATGATATTCCCATGTGGTTCTTTCATGCGAGACGCCATGTTAATCTGATACGAGATAGGCCATGACCAACATGTTAATCGAGACATAATCCAGACAAGAGGGGGCATCGTCTTTTTCGAGCTGCCAAGTCCGAGACTGCATGCTTTTGTTCGTCTGTCATGGGTCATTGGTGAAGCAGGGTGGTCTATCTGCGGAGTAAGACTAAAATTGATAGCGCCGGAGGGATATTTTGCCCGAATTGGGAAAGGTGACGCTACACTTGTACTTCATAACCTCAGGTGTCACATTTCCAAGGTTAGCATTCGATGCGAATGTTCCGTGCTGATATTTTACAGAATGCTTCTATTTTATCTAGAAGACTGCATCTATACATGGCCTGCGGCTGTTCTTTGGAGAAGACAGTATTCGCCCCATCTGCGTCGGAAGCGAGCTGGGATGACTGGGAAATCAGGAATCCAGATCAATCGACCTAGCAAACCTGTTTGAGACGCATCGAGGAAGCTCGCGCAGGAAAGTGTTTCCCACTGCGCCTTGTCCAAGAGGTAATGGGGCTCTAGTTCGGTTGCATCGTGGCCAGGGAAGTAAGAGTCAACTAGGAAAGAACATTGAGAGATATCAACCTGTGGCAAAGTTAGCATAGCGACAGGAGTAATCGTTTCAGCACCATGCTGAGACACTTACGTATTTGCCAGGGTCCTCAATGTTGAGATCATTCATGCCAGATGGAATCTGTGAGGCACCATCCAGACGCCCAAGATAACTCGGCGAATCTGGGAACTCGCCCGGAAGTAGTCCTCGGAATTCACTTCGGATGAACTTGGCGCGCATATTGTTGGGAAGGAAATATGATGATGGGAAGCGATACCACTCTTTGCCGAAACACACCGAGTCTCCCGCATGCGCGATATCCACATGTTGTAGGGGCTCGAACACCTTCAATGGAGCGTTATAAGCCGTGACCATCCCTAGAGTGCGCAGCATGCCGGCGTTCAGAGCGACTAGAACAACCGACATGGCCACAGCAATCTTTAGTTTAGTTGGTACGCGGCCGATCAGTTCCTTCTGGTTAGTAGAGCCAAGGTAGGTCAGGATTATATGTAAGCTCAAAGCTGCGCTGAGTGCCAAAAACGGGTATGATGGGTACATAAACCGCTCCTCCTTGTGTGGCTGGACCGAGAAAATTCCGAACCACATATAGAAGGGAGCGACTAGGGCCATGGATCGCAATGAGGTTTGCAAGGAGGTGGTATGCGATCGAAAGACAATTTGGAAAAGCAGCACAGGCGCGGACATCATGGCAAGGACAAACCAGACATTGAAGTTGAGCAAGAGATTTCTAATATAGAAAGTCCACGGCTCAGTTCCAAAAATCTCCGGTCCCTTACCTTCTCCCCCCAGGATATTGTATGCAACAATGTTCCAAGGCACAAGAACGAGCTTTCGGAAGAAAGCATAGTCAATTGCAATTTCAAGAGCCTGTGATACAGCTTAGTAAAGATATCGAAACCCAATTAAGTGTCACTCACCAGAATTGACAGACAGCGAATGATACCATCGAAGACATTGTACAATAGTGAGCCAAGAGACCCAGACAGTATACTAACGATAGCTTCCTCGGCCAAAAGAGGGACAATGAGAGCACCGGCAAATGGCCACCCAACGATTGTCCCCAGCCCAAACCACATGATTCCCTGAGCTGTTTTCCGGCTATTTTTCCAATCCAAGAAGGAAGCCAAACCAAGCATAGACATATACATGGTAAAAGTTGAGGGCAAAAAGGCAGTCGAAGCATGAAACATGCCAGGGCTGAGTGTGACGATCATCATAAACAAGAGACCGATGCGGGGGCTCAGTGTACGACAGATCGCAGAGTATAGTCGAGTCTGACAGGCAGCGCACAAAAATGCAAGAGATAGGCGAATTGTATAGAATTCAGCTGTCTTGCTGTGGACCACCAAAGACCCGATCTTGCCTGCAGCAGCATGGAGTGACACGTAGAGCCAGCTCCGGATAGAATAAACCGGTGAATATTCCCATGTTTGAAGACCATATCCATGTTGAAGGTAATGTGCAGGTTCCCAGAAATTGAAAACCTCATCACAGTCTTGAATTGGAGAGAATATTGCGGCGAAAGTGTTGGCAGCTAGGAATAGGTAGAGGGCGATGTTGAGGGGGATGTAGAAGGGAGGTGGTGGGGGTCTATACATAGGTTAGCGTCATGTCTGATCCAGTGCATACTCATGCACATACTGCTTCTTTGACCGGGGTTTATGGGCATCCCCCGAGGCATTATTGTCGTTTACTGCCATCTTGCAAGTTGGATTTAAGTCGTAAGTCACCAAATGAATAGAGCTACGATAACCGATAAGACTTTATTGACCGCCCTATGGAGTCTGGCAGAATAAAAAAAAAGTTTCCCGTGCGACTTTCGACCTTCAAGTGCAACTGGTTTTTGCGCAAGAAATATTCGAGTTGAAGATTCAATATGGACGGACACCAAAATCCCTCCAATGACACCACAGGTGCCGGTGAAGGCCCTGCCCCGAAAAAACCCTGTCTTGTTGAGACGCCTATCCCAGGGACCCCAGACAACGGCAGCGATTTCTATAACACTCCCTTGGCTGCAGGTACCCCAGACACGGGTATAACTAGCCTAAATGCTGGAAATAGCGCAGCCGGCCCATCTGCTTCCTCGAAGCCAAGCCATATGATCCCCGGATTGAACCTTATTCACCACGCATCCGGACAAGAAAATGGCTCGCTCTTGACCGAACACACAATCAAGCAAGAGCAAGATCAACTAGTGAACCAAGAAACAGGGACAGAAACTAAGCAAGAGCAAACTCAGCATATTTCCCAGCCCGAGTCCACCGAGGCAGTGATGAAGGAGGATCCAGAGGCGCAAATCAAAAACGAACCCACTGCTCTCCTCAACGGAGCTATGGATGTCGCGCAAGATACATACCAAGGCAATATGATTGAAGCTACTGATCGGGCTGGGGACGCCGACGAAGATGACCATCCTGAGTGGGAGGAAGACTCTTCCCCGTACGAGTCATCTTCAGACAGCTCTGACTCCTCAGACTCCGATGATAGTGACGACGAAGACTATCCCATCCTTAGCGCCGAGGAGCAAGCACAGATTCTCATGCGGGCCGAAGGTGGTTCTGACGATGAGGGAGACGGTAAGGGAAAACCAGGCGGACAACTGCGGACCACCAACGAGATCGAACAAGAGATCCTACCTATCCCTGACATTAAGATTACCCCCGAGATGAAGATTGTGTTCCTTGGCAAAGTTCATGCCGCTATCGATAACAATGTTCTTATCGAGGCTAATACCTCTGGAGAATATCAGGTACTTGAGTCGGGCTCCTTGCTCTGCTCTGATGATCGCCAGATCATTGGTGTAGTAGCAGAGACCCTGGGCAGAGTGGAAAATCCTCTGTATACCGTCACATACGCCACAGCCTCCGAAGTTCAGGAAAAGGGCTTGGTCAAGGGCAAGGATATATTTTATGTTGAGGAACACTCAACCTTTGTGTTCACCCAGCCGCTCAAGGGCCTGAAGGGAAGTGATGCTTCCAACTTCCACGACGAGGAAGTTGCCGCCGAAGAGATGGAATTCTCCGACGATGAAGCGGAGGCTGAGTACAAGCGGAAATTGAAGCAGAAGCGACAAGAGCGAAAGGAAGCCAGGGAAGGCCCCAGAGGCAAGAAACCAGCCCCAGGACCTTCAAAATTGAACCAGACCGAGCTGAACTACGACGATGCCGGAGGTGAGGAGGGCTACACCCCTCTTGCCCGCCCTACCAACCTCCACGAGATGATGAATACCCGCGAGCCACCCGTTGAAGGCAACGAGCGTGGCGGGTTCCGTGGCGGAAGAGGTCGTGGCCGGGGTAGTGACCGGGGTGACCGTGGACGCGGTGGACGAGGCAGAGGTGGACGTGGAGGAAGGGAATGGGACCAGGACCGTCGTTCCCAGCAGGCTGGCTCAACCCAAGAGCCCCAACCCCAGCCTCAAGCCCAACCCGCTGCTCCCTACGGCCAGCCAATGTACCAGCAGCCCCAGCAGCCATACGGAATGCCCCTGTCCTTTGCCCCATATGCGCAATACGCACAGCAGCAAGCGCAGAACCCGCAGCAGCCACAATTTGGCCAAGGTGGAGCGCAACCACAGATGCCGTACCAGTTCCCTCCATATGCGGCCTTCCAACAACAACAACCCAATAACTTCCAGAACATGCAGCAGGGTGCTCCTCAATACAATCCTCAACATATGGCTATTTTGCAACAACAGCAACAATTCCTGCAGCTTCTGCAACAGCAGCAGCAGTATCAACAGTCTCAGCAGAATTACCAACAACCTCAGCACCAGTCTCAGCCTCAGCACCAGCAACAACAGCATCAGCCTCCCCAGGGCCAAGCTCCGGCTATGAACTTTGATCAAGTTAAGGCCCAGCTGGATCTGCTGCGAAACCTGCATGGTGGGAACCAGGGTGCTCCTCCTTCCTGATAACTTTGATTTCTGTACATGTTCTTCTGTGATCTGTGATATCTTGGCGGAATATTTGCTTTGCATACGGAGCGGGATTTATGTCGGTAGGGATTTTTCTTTGATTAAAAAGTTTTCATACCTCTAATTGAGTGTTGTTTAAGACAATTTACGGTATGCACAAGACAGTAAACAGTATCTGAAGTATCATGTGTTTGAATGATAATGGCTATGAAGCAAGTTCGCTATCTGTAAAAGTACAATAGACCCAGACCTTGATGATCAGCCGTAGGAAATGTTTTTTTTTTCCCTCTTAATATTCAGCTGGCTTAGCACTCTTCGCTAGCGTCCAGAAGTTCTCCATCTTGGCTCGGGCCAGTGCTTCTTTGGCAGCAGAGTCTGTTTCACAGATACGAGCACCAAGCCATCTCTTGAAGGCCCGGCCTTGGATCTGACCTTCCCAGAGAAGATTGCATGTATTCGCACTGAAATCCCGGGGCTCTCCCTTTTCATCTTCAGTAGATAACCACGAAACCTTAGCTTCAGGGCTGTCTGCAGGTACTCGATCGGATCCAGGGTTTTCAGTCCAATCAATACGGTTCAGCATCAGCTTTCGGTAACTGTTGATGGAGTGTTTGCCGCCCTCGACAATCACCAGATTGAACCGGGGATGCATGACACATACACCCGTCAGATTATTTTGCTGTGCGTTCTTTCCGATTTTGAAGCGGTTCCGGCCGCTCGCCAGACTGTCAATTCGATACACTGATTGGAAGATGCCCAAAGAGGCGTCCTTCTCCTGCTGAGCTGCCAACTTCTCACGCCGTTGCTCCTTGGTCAGCTTGCGCTCCTCGTTTGCCATCTCGTGCGCCTCCTTCCGGTCTGCAATCTCCCTGGTCACACGAGCTTCCACAGCCGTGGGATCCTTCACAGCCTGTTCTCCCAAAACCCGCATGAGATTAGATTTCTTGACCTTTGGAGGCGGTGCTTCGACGAGTCCCAGTCGGATTTTGGCTTGCTGTTCCTTCAGGTCTGCCATGCGTCGCTGCCGGCGAATCTTGGCTTGTTCTTTCGGAGTAAGGAACATGGGTTTTTGCGCAGGCATGTGCTTTTCTTGCGGAGGTTTGAGCTCGATAGGATGTTGGACATAGCTGTTGATGGTATTAAGTTGGATGTTTTGCGGGTCATCAATTGCGTCATAGTCGTTGCCATTAATCAATTGTGCATCCCACCACTCTAGATCGGGTGGAGCAGGGACAAGGAATGCTTTCTGCACATCCATATCCTCGTCAAGTCCAGCCTGTCGCGAGTGCTGTTCGATTCTTTTCTTCATTTCTTCCATCTTTGCCTGCGTGCGCAGAGCCGCTGCCTGTTGGATGAATTTGCCCTTTTCATTGAAGTGGAGCTCGCGGGTTTGTCGGGGCTTCGCAATTGTTGCTTTGGGATTGATCGACGGGTCAAAGTAAGGGTTATTCTTGATCTCCTCGATAGACGGACCAGACAGGTCAAGCTGGGGCCCACCAGCACGTTTTGCCTTTGACTGTCGTCCATTTGCGCCGCGATATTCCAGTGCAGTGTCAGAGAGAAGCGCGGGATGAAGGCCAATATCTAGACCACCGCGAGCCTTGGTCATGCCCTCGTCGTCATGACGAGCCGGCGGTTGATAGGATGGTGCGGGTGCACTGGGTCGCGGCTGAGAGGGTGCGCTGGCTCGTTGAGTAGCTGCAGCAACCCGGGCTTTCATTTGTTCTAGTTTCGACATCGTATGGGTGGGTGTTGGCGGCGGAGGAGTTGCTGAATCTGGTGTGGGCGGCGCTGGCGTCGGTGCCAGCGCACCACGCGCTTGTAGACGAGCGCGTACAGCATCTGCCTTTGCCTTTGCTTCTGCCATTATTTTCGCAACATCTGGCTTACCCGAGGCAGCACCTCCTTGACCTGGTACAGGGGACCCATGGTTGGAGCGGGTCCGTTTCTGGGAGTTGTCGTGTTGATCCTCAGGGTGAGGACGCTTCAGCGCATTACCTGATGCGTCGGCCATAATGTAGAAGGATTCTGACTCACTCGGTTCCGACGATCGTTTTGGCGGCGATTTTGGAACCAAATCTGTGAGCCAGTTAGAGGTGGTTTTTGGGTGTGTACTCTTTGGCATCGCATACTGAAACCTCTTTCTCGCCGAGTGAGACACGGCTCAAGATACTCGTGCGGGCTGCTTTGTCTGGTTTAGGGGTTTATTGGTATCTGATCGCGATAGGAAAATATGAAAAGGCCTAATGGGCGAAAGATAGACAAGTAGTCAAGATTGTGTATGATAGAGTGATCCACGCAGAAACCCAAAAAGGATAAGGCGGTGGATACAGGCAGAAAAGAAGTTGGCTCCTCCGGAAAAAAAAAAGTTCGCTCCAGAACTAAAAGCACTTGGAGATCTGAATCCGAGCACTTTGATTTCGTGCGCCAGCGTTTTCTGTTGCTCAAGGAGCTGCAGGCTACAATGGCAACTTTTGCGCGCCCGGTCGCCTCGACCATTAATGGGGTCGACTTCAATGTCTACTCCGAGGAAGAGATTAAAGCTCTCTCAGTGAAAAGAATTCACAATACTCCGACTTTGGATTCATTTAACAATCCTGTTCCTGGTGGTCTTCAAGACCCTGCTATGGGTGCTTGGGGAGATCATGTGTAAGTCTTGACTTGATTAGTATACTGTTCAATCTTTAACGTGTGAGATTTTCTATCTTACAGATGCACTACTTGTCGCCAAAACTCCTTCACTTGTACCGGACATCCTGGACACATTGAACTGCCTGTACCATTCTATAATGTCACCTTCTTTGATCACATCTTCCGCCTTCTCCGAGCACAATGTGTGTACTGTCTTCGCCTTCAGATGGGTCGCAGCCAAGTCAACATGTACACCTGCAAATTGCGCCTTCTGCAATATGGCTTGGTTGACGAAGTCGCTATTATCGATGCGATGGGAGCTGTGAAAGGTGCTAAGTCAAAGCCCACCAAGGGCAAGGAGGACGATTCGGACGATTCAGACGATGCCGATGATGATGACTATATGCAGAAGAGGACTGATTATGTCACTCGGCGCATCCGCGAAGCCAAGAAGGAAGGCAAATTGGATGGATTGATGCCTGGTGGACAGAATCCTATTGCCGCAGAAGCCAGACGAGAGTTGCTTAAGGCTTTCTTCAAGGACATCAACGGATTCAAGAAATGTGTCAGCTGCAGCGGGTACGTTATATTATATTACTCGACCTTGACCTTGACTTTTTTTTTTGCTAACATTATAGCAGAGTGTCTCCCGCCTATAAAAAGGATCGGTACAACAAAATCTTCCGAAAGCAATTACCCGAGAAGCAGAAGCTTGCAATGCTGCAAGGAGGATTCCAGGCACCGAATACCATGGTCCTTCTTGAGCAAGAACGGAACTCTAAGTCTAAGCACGGTGTTTCTGAGATTCACGGTGCCGAGGAGGAAATCCGCCGTGGTGGAGCTGTCGTGCAGGAGGTCCAAGGATCGACTGGCCAGGAGTTCATGTCTTCTTCCGAAGTCTATGGAGCTCTTCATATTCTTTTCCAAAAGGAAAGTGAGATTTTGGACCTTGTCTACAACTCTCGGCCTGTGCCCAAGGGAGTGGCCCCTGTGTCGGCGGACATGTTCTTCATCAAGAGTCTTATGGTGCCGCCAAACAAGTACCGTCCTGCAGTCCAGCAGGGTGCCGGAACAGTCATGGAGGCACAACAGAACACTTCGTTCAATGCGATTTTGAAGGGCTGTGACACTATCAACCAAATCAGCAAGGAGATCCAAAACGAGGAAGAGAAGACCATGTCTCGGGCACGGAACTACAGTGATCTTCTTCAAGCTATTGTTCAGCTCCAAGATGTGGTCAACGGTTTGATTGACCGCGATCGTACCTCGGTCACCGGCTCAGCTGCTTTATCACAGCCCAACGGTATCAAGCAGGTTCTCGAGAAGAAGGAAGGTCTTTTCCGAAAGAACATGATGGGCAAGCGTGTCAACTTTGCTGCCCGTAGTGTTATTTCACCCGATCCCAACATTGAGCCCAATGAGATTGGTGTGCCCCTTGTCTTCGCTAAGAAGTTGACTTTCCCTGAACCTGTGACAAACCACAACTTCTGGGAGCTGAAGGAGGCTGTTATCAACGGCCCCGACAAATACCCCGGCGCTTCTTCCATCGAGAACGAAAACGGGCAAGTCATCAACCTCAAATTCAAGAACCTAGAAGAGCGGACAGCACTTGCCAACCAGCTGCTCGCACCGTCAAATTGGCGCCAGAAAGGTTCGCGCAACAAGAAGGTCTACCGTCATCTCACCACTGGTGATTACGTCTTGATGAACCGTCAGCCCACACTGCACAAACCCTCCATCATGGGCCACAAGGCTCGTGTTCTCCCCAACGAGCGGGTTATTCGCATGCACTATGCCAATTGTAACACCTACAACGCCGATTTCGATGGTGACGAAATGAATATGCATTTCCCTCAAAACGAGCTTGCTCAAGCCGAAGCCAGAATGTTGGCCGACGCCGATCACCAGTATCTCGTTGCTACATCAGGCAAACCGCTGAGAGGTCTGATTCAAGATCATATTTCAATGGGAACGTGGGTTACGTGCCGTGACAGCTTCTACGACGAGGAGGATTATCATCAGCTGTTGTACAGTTGCTTGAGACCAGAGCATTCGCATATTGTCACTGACCGGATCCAATTGGTCGAACCTGCCATGCGAAAGCCCAAGTGCCTATGGACCGGAAAGCAGATCATCACGACAATTCTCAAGAATATCCAGCCCCCAGAGCGAGGAGGTTTGACCTTGCAGAGTAAGTCTTCAACCCCTGGCAATAGATGGGGCGAGGGCAACGAAGAAGGAGATGTTATCTTCCAGGATGGAGAGTACCTTTGTGGTATCCTCGATAAAAAACAGCTTGGTCCCACTGCCGGTGGTCTTATCGATGCTGTTCATGAAGTTTATGGATACAGCACCGCTGGTAAGCTCATCGGTGTTCTTGGAAGACTCCTCACCCGTGTCCTGAATCTGCGGGGCTTTAGTTGTGGTATCGACGATCTTCGATTGACCAAGGAGGGTGACCGTATCCGCAAGGAGAAGTTGGCCACTGCTCCTCAGATGGGTCGCGAAGTTGCTCTGAAGTATGTGACTTTGGACCAGGTTCCTGGTGACCAGACTGCCGAGTTGAACCGACGATTGGAGGAGGTTCTTCGTGATGATGACAAGCAAAGTGGCCTGGATAGTGTTTCCAACGCCCGGTCTGCCAAGCTCTCCTCTGAAATCACCAGCGCCTGTCTTCCATACGGCCTTGCTAAGCCTTTCCCCTGGAACCAAATGCAATCTATGACGATATCTGGAGCTAAGGGATCCGGCGTTAATGCCAACCTGATTTCTTGTAATCTCGGCCAACAGGTTCTTGAAGGTCGCCGTGTACCACTCATGATCAGTGGGAAGACTCTTCCGTCATTCAAGGCCTTCGACACTCACCCAATGGCTGGTGGTTATGTCTCTGGTCGTTTCTTGACCGGAATCAAGCCCCAAGAATACTACTTCCACGCCATGGCTGGTCGTGAGGGTCTGATCGATACCGCTGTCAAGACCTCTAGATCTGGTTACCTGCAACGTTGCTTGATTAAGGGCATGGAAGGCCTCAAGGCCGAATATGACTCCTCTGTTCGTGAAGCGTCAGATGGCTCTATTGTTCAGTTCTTGTACGGAGAGGACGGTCTCGACATCACTAAGCAGGTGCACCTTAACGACTTCGATTTCCTTGCTCAGAACCACATCTCTATTTCCAAGCAAGTCCAAGCCGATGATTACCACAAATTGGCGAAGGATAATGTTACGGCTTGGCACAAGGATGCCATGAAGGCTGTCCGCAAGACCGGAAAGATTGATGCTGTGGACCCTGTGTTGTCTCACTTCCCCCCTGGAGGAAACCTTGGAAGTACATCCGAAGCGTTCGCCCGGGAGCTCAAGAATGTATGGACTCGCTATATCCCCCCTGTAATTCTTTGCAATGCTAACAGCTGTTGAAAATAGTATGCGGATGTCAACAAGAACAAGCTCATTAAAGACAAGAAGAAGAACATCGAGGGCAAGGTTAGCAAGAAGACCTTCGAGGCTTTGATGAACATGAAGTACATGAAGTCTGTCATTGATCCCGGTGAGGCGGTCGGAATTATGGCCGGTCAATCCGTCGGAGAACCTTCCACACAGATGACTCTCAATACCTTCCATTTGGCTGGTCACTCGGCAAAGAACGTCACACTGGGTATCCCCCGTCTACGTGAAATTGTTATGACTGCAAGTGCCAAGATTATGACGCCTACGATGACTCTACTTCTGAATGAGGAGATTTCCAAGGACGACTCGGAGAAATTCGCCAAGGCCATCAGCAAGCTCAGCATTGCTGAACTTGTTGACAAGGTGCAGGTTAAGGAACGCATTGGCCAGGGCATTGGTCACGCCAAGGCTAAGATCTACGACATCGAGATCGACTTCTTCCCCTCCGAAGAATACACCAAGGAATACGCCATTGAGACCAAGGATGTTCTGATTGCTCTGCAATCCAAGCTCATCCCTCGATTGGTGAGACTCACCAAGGCTGAGCTCAAGAAGCGCAACGAAGAGAAGAAGGGTGTCAAGGGCACAACTTCTCAGCCTGAAATCGGTGTTTCAGTCGGTAAAATCGCGGAGGCACCGAGAGGCGCTGACACCGAGGCCCAGCCAGCTGACGACGACAACGAAGACGATGAGGATGATGCCAAGCGGGCTGCCGGAGCTCAAAACAGAGGCAACCAGGTCTCTTATGAAGGACCCGACGACGCCGAGAAGGATATCATCAGACGTCAAGACACTGACGACGAAGACGAAGAGGAAGAAGGTGAAAACACCAAGCCTGCCAAGCGCACTCGCGACGTAGAAATGAAGGACGGCTCCGACTACGACTCCGAGGATGACTCTGACGATGAGATCGCCCAAGACAGCAAGGCGCGCGAGGAGGATGTCATGGGCAAGTTCGAGGAGATCACAAAGTTCAAGTTCGACCCGAAGAAGGGCAACACGTGCTCCATCCAGCTGCAGTACGACGTCGAGACCCCCAAGCTTCTCCTCCTTCCCCTGGTTGAGAAGGTTCTTCACCTCGCCGTTATCCAGTGCATCCCCGGTATGGGCAACTGTGTCTACGTTGAGGCCGACGAGGCGAAGGGTGATCCCGCCAACATCCTCACCGAGGGTGTCAACCTTCTCGCCATGCGTGACTACCAGGATATCATCAAGCCTCACTCGATCTACACCAACTCCATTCACGACATGCTCAACCTGTATGGTGTGGAAGCTGCTCGCGCTACCATCGTCCGCGAAATGGATGCCGTTTTCAGTGGCCACAGTATCTCCGTTGACAACCGTCACTTGAACTTGATCGGTGATGTGATGACCCAGTCTGGTGGCTTCAAGGCCTTCAGTCGTAATGGCTTGGTTAAGGATGCCTCGTCTGCTTTCGCACGGGCCAGTTTCGAGACTACTGTTGGCGCCCTGAAGGATGTTGTGCTCGAGAGGGGTGTTGATAACCTCAAGAGTCCTAGTGCTAGAATTGTTGTTGGTCGTGTCGGTACTGTCGGTACTGGTTCCTTCGACATTCTTGCTCCTGTAGCATAGTCTCTCTGACTGGACGGAGTTTTTTTTTTTTGAAATGTGTATTTTCCTCATGTGTATATTGTGTTCATGCAAAGCTATTATTTATGTCTTTTTTTCGCTTCATCTTTGATGTGTCGATGATCTGGAGTTTGTTGTGCAGCGGAACCAAAAAGTCCTGTTCATATTAGCATCTTAGTTCAAATAGATCTTTTCCTAATGATGTTGTAACATGGTTTTATATTCCTTTTATATTCCTTTTATATCCCTTGAACGGAGTATACCAGTTGACTGAGCATCTCCAGGTCTTTTACCCCGCAAAATCTCCCCACTATCAAAACGGCTATACTTCCTTGATCGTAGAGATGAAGCTCAGGTTTGTCTCTAGTTTACTTCAAGTCTCAATTTAAATGTATACATTTTGTTCCTTTTCATTGCAAGTTCCCCAACATGTTATTTATACTCATTTCCCTGCCGCGCCGGCATATAATCGACATCTACCGAGGTTCCTCGGTGATGTCCCATGACTAGGCGCATCCCTGCCACTTAAAATGAGACAGACCCCCAGGATCTCAGCTGTAAAGTCATCAAACCCTCTGACATACTCTGCATAAACCACAGGAAGCATCATAATTTTCCAAAATGCAAGCCGTCGTTTTCAAGGGTCCATCCAAGGTAGTCATCGAGGAAAAGCCCATTCCCCAGATCCAAGATCCAAAAGATGCTATCCTAAAGGTGCGATACACTGCGTTATGTGGCAGGTAAGAAACCAAATATCTCTAATAGCGTACAAATGCTCATATCTATAAAGTGAACTCCATGTATTTCGCGGTCACCAAAAGTCTGGTATAGACTTTATCATGGGCCATGAGTTTACAGGTGAAGTTGTCGAAGTTGGATCAGATATCAAGAACTTCAAAAAGGGAGACAGAGTAGTCTCACCTTTCACTGCAAGCTGTGGAGAATGTTTCTACTGTGAGCGAGGCTTTTCCTCACGGTGCGCTCGAAGCCAGCTATTCGGTACTGTTGCACTTGACGGTGGACAGGCAGAGTACGTACGTATTCCACTAGCCGATTCGACTCTTGCCCAAGTCCCAGCTTCCATCGACGAGAAGAAGCTTGTTCTTATGGCCGATATATTCCCGACTGGGTACTTTGCGTCTCTGAATGCTTTCTCAGAGACAACTCCGGAGGAGATACAAAAAAGCACCGTACTCCTCTTCGGCTGTGGACCTGTTGGTATCTGTGCACTTATTAGTGCCTTGGATTACAAGCCGAAGAACCTGATTGCAATTGATAGTGTACCTTCCAGACTGGCACTTGCACAGAGTCTAGGAGCCGAGCCATGGAATTTCAAGGAGGACGAAGAAGGACTACGCCAAAGGGTCAAAGAACTTACTGACGGTCGTGGAGCGGATATCGTTATTGAGGTCGTCGGACATAGCAGCGCTCTCAGAATGGGCTTCGATCTGTTACGGCCCTGGGGCCGTATATCGAGTGTTGGCGTCCACAACCAGGATATCCCGTGGACCGGAAATGAAGCCTACGGAAAGAACCTTCGTATACAGATGGGCCGATGCCCTGTTCGGAGTATGTCTGATTCTACAACTTTCTTTGACTGTCTTGCTAATTTGTGCCAGGTATCTTTGGTCAGGCCATGGATCTTTTCGAAAAGAAGCAGGACATCCTTAAGTGAGTTTGCCTAACCCGATATCCGTTTGCGAGTGTCTAATGATTCCTAGCTTCATGTCCCAAGATATCCGTCCACTCTCACAAGCGGTTCAGGCGTAAGTTCTTCTTGTTCAGATCTGGACATGTGATTGACCGTTTAATAGATATGACGATTTCGACAACATGCGAGCCCACAAGGTCATCTTTGAGGCGGATAAGTGAATAGGTCTACTGGGAAATGGCAATTCCTGAATGAATGTTTAAGCAATAAATCTTGAGATAATTGAGCTGTCGTGTGATAAGCCTCGTTCTACGGTCCAAGAATAATTGTTTAAGAGATTTGCCTGTAATTTCAAGGTAAAGAAACGCCGTCCATGCTAAATGGCGCTATGCCCAAGTCTAAACGCCCTGCCCATGCCAATAGATGCGTCATTATATAAAGAACAAACAAGATTATTTATGGCGCATCGAGCATCATGAGGTCCGCATCAATGTTGTCGTCGTATTCGTCCTCGACGATCCGGGATGCAGATGGGATCATCCCGCCCATGGCGTGCCCGTTATTCACCTCCTCTCTCATCATCCGCTCCTCCTCGGTTCTCCTCTTTGCCTCATGGCGCTCAATATCAGCCAAGCCCCAGGTAGAAATGCCTTCTTGATCTTTCGCTCTAAAAGGCTGGGCCATGGTCCGCAGGAAGTTCTTGGCATTTGATACAGCCATATCAGTGCTAAGATTAGTTTCGCTGTCCAACATTGCTTGGTTGATCCACTTGGGGAGTTGGGGGCGCTTTCGCTCGAATCGACGATCCGCCAACACCATGACTCCATAGTCATCCTTGCCACGCAGGACACGACCTAGACACTGAGCGGCATGTCGAATCGCATCGAAAGATAAGAAGTCGTTCTCCCGAATACGATAGTTCTCGCGCAAGAACTCGAGACGAGCTTTCAGGATTCGAGACTCAGTGTATTGGAAGGGAACACCAATACAAATAACTGCACGACCGTAATGGTGATCGAAATCAATGCCCTCGGAAACTTTGCCTCGAGCGACACAGAACAAGATCGCACCACGTCCATTGCAACACGCCGTTCGATAGGTCTCCAGAGCGAGTGAAGATTCTTGTGCATCAGGAGTTTCGACGAGAATCAATTTGTAGTTCCAAATTTGATCCAAGATACCCATGCCTTGCCACATACTGATGATTGATTCCATGTAGAGGTAAGAAGGGAAGAAAACGACGACACCGTCGGGTGTTATGCGAGAAAACTCGGTCACGAGACTTCCGTAGTTTCGCACAACACCAGGGTCATTGCGAATTCCAAACGAAGATGAAACCTGGGCTTGGTCTGAGCCTCGAGTCACAATCATGGGCAAGAAAGATCGTCGAGCGAGTGTCATGCTGTACGACTCTTGGAGAACAGCGGTGAACCCTAGCATCTTCGGATACATTTCCAAGGGCGACAAAGTTCCCGAGGTAATGATCACAGAGCTGAAGCGATCGAATACTGGCTTGATTGCAATGGCAGCATCCAAACATGTGAAGTGGAGTATGGGGTTTGGTACAGTAGCCGCTTCCGACTCGAAGGGCTCAAGGATAAGAACAAATCCCTTGTCGTAAGTTGCGACCAGTGTGGCAAAGGTGGCCACCTCTTGAAGAGGCTGATAATCTTCGATGTTGACGAGTTCCAGCGTCCGTACAAGTGACGTTAAACGCTCAGCGCAAAACCTCAAAGGCTTTCGTTCAATATAAGTAAGGTCTTTTAAGTGAGTAAGGAAAGAGGGAGGTGTCTCGGATATGGTATGAGTGACTTTCATCCGAGTCTTCAGATACTCGATAAATCTCTTCAAAAAAGAGATAAAATGCTCAGCCCGGCGGATGTTGCCAGGAACAGCTTCCTTGAGTAGGTCATCTGGCAAGACCGGATTCGAGATGAATTGATCTTCTTCCCGGGCCTTCTCAGCTTCCTGTAGTCCCTCCACTAATTTTGTGTATTCGTTCTTGAGCTTTTCCTCGTCTGTGCTCTTCATTTCTTCGATCTTGCGTTCCAGATTGTTCGCACCCCGAGTTGCTTTTCGTAGGGAATCCTCGCTTATGTCTATACTGAGCGATTCGATACAGACGTTGTCAATGTTGTGCGCTTCGTCAAAGACCACAATGCAATCTTTGGAGAGCTCTCGGGATACTCGTTCCGCAATTTTCGGATCGAGAAGGTAGTGATAGGAATAGATAATAATATTGCACCACGGCATCTAGTGAAGCTTGTCAGAAATGGGAGACCTTTGTATGCAATACTCGATATCTTACCATGCGCCGAGCGGAGAAGTAGGGACATTGCTTGTGTTCTTCTCCGTATCTTGCCAATCCGTCCAGTGTGAAGACACCTGGGGGAACGAGGTTATGTGGTTCGAGTAAGTCAAGGTTCTAGGCCTGTTAGTTCGTTTGATGTTGTATTGCAAATAATAAAGCCCTACCTCATGGTATACGCAAAGTTCAACATCTTCACCACGTTCCTTCTTCTCCTTAACAAACCCAGCTGTCAAGCTTCTGCATCTGGCATCAACAACAGTACCACTCTTCTCTCTCTTTACCGACGGGTGAAGACAGAGGTTCTTTCGACTGGTCAGGCCAAGCGCACGGAACTCCTCCACATGGCCCAACTCTTTAGCCCGATGTTCCATCAAAGCCTTCAACTCTGCTAAAGCTTTTTCGATCTCCGACATGGTTCGGGAGCAGTAGATGAGCTTACGGTGCTCTGGGTAGTGCTGTTGGTAGGCGACGATCAACGACAATAGCGAAACTGTCTTGCCGGTCCCTGAGGGCATTTCCAGTACACAGTGACCCCCTGCATCGAGGGTCTTTTTGAGATCACACATGTAGGCATATTGTTCGGGGTAGATGCGAGGATACGGAAACAGCACCGGAAGATCACTGTGACAGACGGATGTGGTCAGTGTGGAGACTAGATAGAATCATACACAGGGGACATACTCAATGAAGAACTTCATCTTGGCTGGGCTCCGATGCAAAACGCAAGAGAGCAAAGAACAAGAGAAGAGTGCTTGCTCTCATCTTTCGCGGCTCCGCCTTTGCGCTTGCCCTATTTGGGACAGCGATGACACAAACTCACGTGATGAGTATCTTGGTCCCGCGGATCTTTTGGAGATTTGATCGAAGTGTTTGCAGCTTCACACACGCAATGGAAGAGTGAATACTGTGTTTAATTCACATCACAGTCCATAATTTCACAGAGCCCCTTACTCTCTTTGAAGCCTCTCTCCAAAGCCTCAAATTTGAGGTCTTCCCCCACTACTTCCTTATCCCGCTGACCTCATACCCCACATGAGCAAAAAGTTCAAATCCCAGGCCTCTAGCAGTCGCGCTGCTGCTAGTGCCTTTGGATCATTTGGGGGCTTCTCCGGTAGTTTCTCCGGCGAAGGAAAGGAGACTTCCGCCCTCACGTACATTGCAGCACCGCCAGATCTTTCTCGCATTTCGGGGCAACAACTAGTTATCGCATTCAAGAATCTACTGAAGAAAGATGATATTACACGATTGAAGGCTCTAGAGGAGCTGCGCGACTATATTACAACAGTGGAAAAAAGAAAGGGAACTCTAGATGATGGATTTCTAGATGCATGGGTATGTATAGATTGCTTCTATATACAAAGGCCAAGTAATAACACTGTTATTCTCCCAGGTCAGAATTTATCCCCGACTCTCGATAGATTTGTCTCGCCGAGTGCGCCAAGTTGCCCATCCTATACAGGGTACAATTGCTGGTATTGTTGGGAAGCGGATCGTGCCTACTTTACCCAAGGTCATCGGAGCATGGATCGCAGGAATATACGACAATGATCGACCAGTCCACCGTGCCGCCCTCGAATCGTTCACCAGAGTCTTTACAACCGAAGAAAAAAGAAACAATGTGTGGAGGATCTACCAAAGCTCCATTTTGGACTTTGTAGATGATGTTATTCTTCACCAAACATCCTTGACATTGAGTGATGAAAGGACAGTGAAGAGAGACGACGCTGAGGGGAAATATGCACGTGTTGCAGGAGCAGCAATTTTGCTTTTCAACCGCGTACTGGGTATGTTGATTGCTTCTGCCTGCATGACCATCTCTCTAACCATTCATTGGTTCTAGGCAATTCATCCGATGAAGATATGCAGAAGAACCTACCTGAAATTGAGAACTTGCTAGCCAGCAGGAGTTTGTGGGCTCTCTGTTACCACGATGATCCATATGTTCGCCGGTCTATATACATCCTGCTCCGATCTGCGGTTTCTCGAGAGCCCGGATGGATTGACTGGAAGACTCTCAGTTCAGCTGTCATTGGGAAATCTTTGTCCCTCCAGCAAATGGGATCAGCAACCGAATTGTCAGAGTCCCTCCTTTTATTAACTTCGCTAAGGCCTCAAATATGGACCGATGACTACACTGGGAAGTCATCTGCCTCGAAGAGATTGCGCCAGTACATGCAAAAAGGGTCCCAGGGTGGGCATTCGAACTTTTGGTCAAATCTAGACCAATTGCTTCGGGCCATCCCCCAAGAAGTACTAGCAGGTGCCGACAAGGCCACTGCGGACCTTAGAATTACTTCTACCAGCGCAATTGCCTTGACCGAGGCTTTGCAAGAAGGCCTCAACTCGAGAGAAGAGCCGCATTCAAACCTAGCCGTCGGTTGGAAATCCTACATCCAGATAGGAACATGGCTTGCAACACTGATCCCCCAGGAGCAGAAGTCTGAATTCATCGCGAAGAGAATGTCGCCCTTGGTGGTACATTACGTGCAGATTAGCCCAGAGCTGATACAATGGTCACTCCCGGACCAGTCAGCCGAAGCGATCTGTGTGGATTATGTTTCCACTCTGGCTTCCACTGAGCAAGACCAGGAGCTGCAATCATTGTGTACATCCCTTTCCGATGGTCTCCTAGAAGCTGTGAAGCTGTCGTCTCCAGAACAATCAAAGGACTTCCGTGAATCCCAAGACTCAATATGCGCCCAATCCAAACGGCTTTTGGCTTTGGAGTGTGCTGTTATCTCAAGGGTCGCAGATACTGAGGTTGAGCCTCAAGTATTGGACGTCTTTGAAAAAGCAAGCACTTCCCTTCTCGAGGGTTGTCTGGAAGTTCTACGTACTCGTAACGGGAAGCCGTATGGAGCTGCCGCCACGGTGCTAGAGTGTGTCCGCAGCCTGCCGTCTGTTGCTAAAAAGTCTCAAGGTCTCCAAAGCTTCGTGCAAAATGATGCACCCGAGCTATTGCTTTCACCATCCGCTGATAGATTGATTTCAATCATCTTGGAATGCCGGGAATGGGATGGATTCGCATCCAGCTTCGAGAATGTCGTTGAGCGAGCCTTGGCCCTGGAGCCAGAGCAGTCCAATGTGCATGTACTCCAAAGTTTACTTTCTTCTCTCGATTTCAACGATGTTGAGCACAAAGTGAAGCTCAACTCGCTTGTGGTGCGGGCTCTTGGTAAGGCTTGCCAAGGAAGCCATGCCCATTGGCCTATTATAACTGCAGTTCTACAAAACAAAACGTCACACGGCGAATTGATGAATCAGATATTTTTATCTTTGATTGAGGCGTTATCTTCAGATGATAAAGTCTTTGATGCCTTGCATGGGCTTTCTCATATTGGAAAGTCTGCACCTTCTTCAGTTCGGGAGTTCCAAAATGGGGCTCTTGGATCGAAGTTAGCCGGAAAGTTACTTTTCCTCACAGAATCATCATCTGAAGAGGTGGCAAGTTTGGCGTCAGCGTTGCTGAAATCATTGAAAGAATCTGGAGTTGGAGATACGAGTGCCAAGTCCGCCATCGAAATTCTCCAACATGGGTTCAGTCATGTGGATGAAGAATCATTGTCGTGAGTGCTCCATTTCCATCATATTCTGTAGAGAATTGTGCTAACTTTGTTTCAGCATTGAATCACTCCTTGCTATCGCAGATGAATTGTTGCCAGGTCTTACGGCCGAAGGTGCAGCCGGTACTGTGAAGGATGTCCTGCCCTCCCGTAGTTCATGGGAGGAATCTCTGACCCCATTTCTCCAAATTCCACCCCGGCCTTCCACTGCTATTACAAGTCCTCTAGGAGGCGTTGTTCACTTGATACAGCGTGAACTATCCGACTCCTTGAAGGCTTTATGGCCGACTATTCCTCGCGATTCAGAGCATCGTTCTTCTGCATTCCGCCTGGCAACCTTCACCATCAGCATTCTCTCTACTTCTGAGTTACTGAAACATCTAGAACAGGAGGACCTAGAGACATTGTTCCATTTCTTGCCCTTGGTAATTCAAATTATTGACGATGATTTGAGTATTGAGAATTGCAACGGCATCTCAGGTCTCGAGTTGGCTGATCAGCGAGAAGAGTATATGGAGATTGTTTTCGCTGGCCGAAAGGTGGTTAGTAACTGGATCCGCGACAACGAACCCGTCAGCTTTGCACCCGAGAAGACCGTTTCCTCCGCATTTTCCGAGTTCTGGGAGACCAGACTAGAGGAACTAAAGGGCACATCCCCCTTGGATTATAGAGTTGGCGAAGCCTTCGTCAAGATAATGGCTGTTGCGGATTCATCACAAAAGTCTAAATCATCAGAGGACGTTGCAAAGATTTGTAGAGAGGCCCGGACAGCAAATCTCATTCGTTCAGCATCTTGGTTTGCGGTGTTGCGAAGCTCCATATTTTCAAACCCCATCGGAAACAGAATCTGCAATGAGCTAGTTGCCGATTCCACTGGACTCAAGCCCCAGGATTCCTCCCAAGTTGGTAGGTTTCTGATAACACGTTGGTAAATATAGCACCAATACTAACTTGTACGCAGGATTGCGGAAGCTGGCTCTGTTGAATATCCTATTATCCGGGGAAGAAGATGTCGTTTCCACCATTCCGACACAGAGATTGGTTTTCCTCACCAAGAACTTCATTGAATGTCTCCAATCCGACTCCATGTCTCTGGGTTTGAAATCCGAAGTCATCCAAACCTTGTCTCTTGTCCTACCAGCTCTCGGCGAAATTTATGGGTCTCATTGGGAAGAAAGCATGGCCGTTCTCAAGTCTGTGTTGCAGGGAACCAATGGGGGCGAAGAGGCTCTACCATTACTGGTGTCATCTTTCAGACTCTTCGCACGACTGAAGTCTATCTCTGAAAGTGACAGCAATGATGACGTCCAAGATGCTTGGTTAGATCGAAAGGCTGGTCTTTTCAATACCCTGGCATCCACCATTGACACGTTTGGTAAGCGCTTTAGGTTTCGCTCATCACTGATATGTCTAACAAAATATAGATTCCTCAACCACATTCCATCAACCTCGAGATGTTGCTGTTGACTTATTGCGACGTCTGATTAACACCATCCCCGTTGACAACTTGGAGGATGTCAGCGAGACGTTCCATCTTCTTACTGCGCACAGTCGAGCCATTCAGCGAACTGCTTACACAATTCTCCATCACTATATCCCCCATGCTCAGGAGAAAGTATCTTTTGAGGTCGCCTTATCAAAGACTGCAGTCAGTCTCCCTGATGAGCTCATCTCTCTATTGCTTGAGCCTCCGACGATGCAAATGGTTTCTGCTGGCTACGGAGATGACAAGATGTGGACGAGTATGCGGTCGTACCTCCTCAGCTGGAAGGTGGTATTTGACCATTTCTCAAATGCTGTAAGTTTTGACTCTTCGGCGACAAATTGTAAGATAACCTTGCTAACATCCTGACTAGTCTCTTCCTGTTCAAGAATACTACACGTCGAGCATCAGAGAAAATAATATCCTCATCCCATTGCTGGAATTCACGTTCGACTTCCTTCAAAAATCGCATGGAAAGATGATCGATGCATCCAAATTTGATATTCGATCATTTGAGCCAGATGAGTCTGAGAGTGCCGAAAAGGAGACGCAGTGGCTCCTGGTGAATTTGTACTATCTGTGCCTGAGATACTCTGCCAACATGACCAAGAATTGGTGGATTGACACCAAGAAACGCATCAAGGGTCCAGTGGAAACATGGACCGAAAGATACGTGAGTTATCTTTGGTGATCGGCCCCTTTAATTGAGAAACTGTAACTAACATTGTTTTTAGATCTCCCCGCTCGTTGTTGAAGATGCCCTCAAAAGCGTGACTGACTGGATTGCCACCCAGGATGCAAACGAAGAGCGCGCACTTGAGGTAAAGATCTCTCCGAAGACAGGCGAAATTATTGCCAGCATTCCTGTCGACGAAGAGTCACCTCCAGTTGCCATTTCTATCACTCTCCCACCCGCGTACCCGCTTCAACCCGCGTTAGTTGTTGGTCGCAGTCGCGTGCTTGTGGACGAGAAGAAATGGAAGAGCTGGCTGCTAACGATCCAGGGAGTTATCATGTTTGCCAATGGTAACCTGGTTGATGGATTGTTGGCCTTCCGACGAAACGTCCAAGGTGCCCTGAAGGGCCAGAGCGAGTGTGCCATCTGTTATTCTGTTATCTCAACAGACATGCAGACACCGAACAAGCGGTGCGCCACTTGCAAGAACACATTCCACTCCGTCTGTCTGTTCCGCTGGTTCAAGAGCAGCAACCAGAGCACCTGTCCTCTTTGCCGAAACAACTTCGTTTATGTTTAGATACTTTAGGTTCACTTGTACATAAAAGACATGACATGACAAACATAGGGCTAAACCCGATGCTAGTGAAAGAAGCATTCCTACCTAGTTCTAGTGCAGATTCACATACCCACCTTTAGCACCCTATATTTCCTGTCTCCTAGATATCTGACATTAATGAAACAGGGAGGGACTCTGAGTGTTTCGAGCCATACCCGATTGGGAAGTTAAATTGGACTCCCTTCGATGTCCCTGAGTAATTATATTATAATCATATTATAATCATAGGTAGAATTAGTTTCTTCGTCTGTATATAGCCCTGAGAATAGATGTTTTTGCCGAAATACGAAGAATGATACGGAGTAGTTCTTCCTAAGCCGTCGATCCCTATACCCCAGAAAGATCTGACGATTTTATTGCCTATAATAATGCGGAGAATTGACACAAGCTTGATGCAGGTGTGTCACATTTCCACCCTTATATCCAATAGACTTGTCATGCTTCAGCCATTCTAGCTTTTCTCCGGCGTAGAAACAGTTGATTCAGCCTAATTGTGTCAGGTTGACTTTCTTCACGGCTGAACCTGGCGATCCTGCAGATGAACTTTCATACTCGACCATTAGGCAAAATACAACCTCGGTCTAAAGGAACATGTTTCATTTCTTGATAACTTGATACACGGCAAAATGCAATGATCTTCTCCAATTAGTGAGGGGACATTATACATCTATGCATATAAAACAACCATGCTCTCCTTATAAAAACAAAACCTACTTGCATAAGAACATTCAACCTAACTCGCTTGTTTTACTTTGATATACATTAACACTATGGTTTCCAAAATCTTAACATTCTCCCTTCTTGCCGGTGCCCTCGCTGTCCCGGTTGAGGTTGACATTGAGAAACGTATCGACTGCCCAAGCATCCACATCTTTGGCGCACGCGGGACCACCGAACCTCCCGGATACGGCGCATCCAACACAGTTGTTAATGGCCTCCTCAGTGCCTACCCTGGCTCTACAGCCGAGGCCATCAACTACCCTGCCTGTGGTGGACAAGCATCTTGCGGCGGCCTGAGTTACTCCGGCTCAATTGCCCAGGGTATTGCAGCAGTTGCCTCGGCTGTGAACGCTTATAACAAACAGTGTCCATCGACTAAACTTGTTTTGACTGGATATTCCCAGGTGAGCTATATTTAAGCTATTTAAAATGAAAGACCATCTTCTTACCATGCATTAGGGTGGTGAAATTATGGACGCGGCCTTGTGCGGTGGCGGTGTTCCCAACCAAGGCTATACCAATCCCGCGGTCCAGATATCGACCTCTGCTGTCACCATGGTGAAGGCAGCCATCTTCATGGGTGATCCACTGTATGTGGCAGGATTGCCGTATGATGTTGGAACTTGTGCTGCTGGAGGAGTATGGACTTGCCTATTTCCACTCTGAACTTGGATCTAACACTCGATAGTTTGATGCACGTCCTTCTGGCTTCAACTGCCCATCGGCCAGTAAGATTCAATCATACTGTGACGCCCAGGACCCATACTGCTGCAATGGCAATAACGACGCGACCCACCAGAGCTATGGAGCTAAGTATGGCACACAGGCTATTGCCTTTGTGAAGAATAAGTTAGCTTAGGCATATCTAGCTCTACCAATAGACCTATTGGCAGGGATATTGTGCTTGGGAGTGTCAAATAGGCCCAGGTAGAGTCAGATTGCTGTAGTAAATGTTGGACTCAAGTTATTCACTCTACATAGTTTCTGTAATTGACTTCGCCGTTGAACATAATAACATGGAAGAATTTGACCTTGTAAGCACGAGCTTGAATAAGTCAAATAAAAGGGACGAGATGCAATGGAATAATTTGTCAATTATAATTTGAAACTGGGGGAAGATATTTTAGACAAGTTAAGATATTCAGAGCGGATAAATGGGAGATACCCCACCACGGAAGCTCCAAGCTCCAAGCTTCCTTCATCATGGCCACTCATATACCCAACCTAAACACTCTCCGACGAGGTCGAGGCCGAGGCCGCATAGGTCGCACAGAAGAAACTGGACCTTCTGGAAAAGACCGCATCGTTCAAGGCACAGACAATGACGCAAGCATCTCCCGCCTCAGCGCGGTCGAGCTAGGATACCTGGAGGACGCGTACGCAGCAGCATTGACACCTGCTGGGTCAGCGACGCGGAGATTGCCGATTATTAACAGAGGTGCTTGATTCCTCGAACTATGCTATCCCCAATGACAAGAGAGCCCTATGAACTGACCGGAGTCATCCCCGCGCAGGGACCTACGCCCGCACTACAGCCATCGACCAGCTCGTCGCGCGTTTCCTCGGCCCGTGCTCACCGGAAAACACACACAAGAAACAAATCATATCTTTAGGCGCCGGGTCCGACACGCGCGTCTTCCGACTTCTTTCGTCGCGCCAAACCCCGGATTTCGTTTATCACGAGCTCGATTTCGCCGTTAACACAGCGGATAAGATCCGCGCGATTAGATCTGCGCCTATACTGCAGCGCGCACTAGGGATTGATTCATCGGAGGGCTCGACGGAGAAGAATACTGGAGTTACCGTGTCGGAAGCTGGCGACGCACTTCATTCGCCCTCGTACCATGTCCACCCGGTTGATCTGCGGTCGCTGCCAGGGTGCAGTGACCCTGCTGGAGCACTACCCGGTGTGGAGACGGGATTGCCAACGTTGCTGATCTCCGAGTGCTGCTTGGTCTATTTATCGCCCATCGAAGCGGAGCAGGTGGTTGCGTTCTTCACACAACGCCTTTTTGGTCATGGGCGTGCAGCATCTGGACTCGGAGATAGCTTACAGGAGGCGCAAGCAGATATGTCTCCGCTCGGGTTGATTCTATATGAGCCTATAAGACCAAATGATGCATTTGGTCGTACAATGGTGTCGAACCTTGCGGCACGGGGGATCCAGCTCAAGACACTCCCTACGTATGCGTCGCTCGAAGCGCAGAGAGGCCGCTTCCGAGAGCAGGGCTTTGGAAATGGTCAGGCTGTGGCTGATATTGAATTTATTTGGAAGCGGTGGGTTAACGAGGACGAGAAGGAAAGAGTTGCTGGGCTAGAGATGCTCGATGAAATGGAGGAGTGGGAGTTGCTTGCACGGCATTATTGCATTGCTTGGGGATGGAGAGATCGCGATGACGTTCCGGCTTTTGCTGGATGGAAGGACCTAGAGGCCCAACAAGGCGAATAACTTTATTTGTGAAAATTTGATGTCTGATGATATTCTATATATAACCAAAGGTCATGATGCACGTCTGAAGAGACAAACCAAAATCACCCTGCCCAACATGATGCAGTATCTGGATAGCAAGCTTGGGTCCATATCTTCAACACCTTTAGTTTGGTCTAATTGCAGGTCTATGAGGCTCATCAGAGAAATTAAGGAGACGTGACGGTGTGGTCTTGTCGACCTGTCATATATTGTCAAATGCATGGAGCCCCGCAAAAGCCAACTGATAGGCTGAGTTGATATTCACCATGCGAGGAAAAATAACTACCCTTGCAGCAAAGTCAAAAGAGACATACTGTTAATGCGTGATGCAATGCCTTCTTTCAGTCTGAGAACCCACTACAGTGGAATTTGATCGAAGCTGACGCAAGGATCGCTATCATTTAGGGCATCTGAACTACTTGACAAATATCTTACCCAAATCAAAGTCCCAAGAAGTAGGACTCGGTCTTTGTCATTGATATAGCTCTGGGAGATATAAATAATCTGATATAATTGGTTCATGCCATTTGCATTATGTATTATACTAAGTCAGCTCCATGCTTCTTGCATTGATACCCCTGGGCATACTCACCATGCAATTTTCAATTTGCGCAACTCTGAGGCGTCTTGCACATATATTGTATAGGCATTGCTAGATCTATCTAATAAGCTTATGATGAAAGTGATCACAGCGATGATCCTGTTGATCTCCCACTCTCCCAGGCCAAGCTTTAACCAAGCCCCGAAATGACTACGGCGTACTCCGTAGCAATGGGCCGATATACTCTAACGGTTCGGAACTCTTGCCCATGTGATGCGTGCCTATCAAAGAGAAGGGAGAATCCGAGTTTTTCCTAGGTTCGGTGCTATTGGCTCCAGGAATGGATATGTGCTGGATTTGTATGATGATCAACAGATCTAGACCAGTGCAGGATGGTGGGTTTCATTAGGATTGACGGGCTGCGAGGCTAAAAAGCTACCTTTCCCCCCATTTTGGTATACATTTCTTTTTCAATGTATCTACTCCGTAACAATTGAAAGGTTGCAGACATGTAGTAGATGTAGTAGATGAAGGTTGATATGTCATGTGATAAGATATCAAATTCCTACGCCGAGCAACGTGTTCCTCTTCCTCCACCTCCACCATCGTGATTTGTTTCATATTTTTTAATTTCTTTTGCCGTTGAAAGAGTTCGGGAGATAACTCCACAACATCCTATCTCTCAGCTTATTGGCTTTTCTCCACCTGCCAAGCAGGAACCATCGGGGTAATGCCATTCATCATTGGCTGCAGGCTCTCATTGCCCCTGACACTAAGTGTCTAGTGGCTCCTGTGGCTGCCTACTAGTGGAGTTTGCTTCAGGGGCAAAGCTTTTTGGGGGTCCAAGGCAGCCCGCATAATTCCAGTTTCGTGGAGCAATTATGAGAATTATGGGCAATCACAGACGAGCCGCTCGTAAAGAGTCGGGGCTGCCCTGTCTTGCACCACAATTGGGGCCGGGATTGCGCGCGTATAATCTCAGATCTAACGCCTTTTTAGGCTAGCACACTCGTGGACCTGAGCTGGGACCCTTCCTAGAGGCCGTGTCCCTTTTCTTGGTGCTTTTCCCCATTTCTTTCCTTTCTCTCTTGACCTTCATTATCTGTGAACACTGTGTCTGTCCTTGGCCATCGGCCGTATATTTTTTTGTCACTCGTTTGACTTAGCCATTCGCTTCATATTCATTCGTTTATTGATATTTTATCAATTTGCCAAGTCTTTTCCCCCTGACACAATGAAGTTCCAGATCACATCCTTCCGCGCAGCGGCACTTGTCGCCCTCATTGCGGGCGCCGAAGCCGCCAAACATGGCCATGGTCACAGCCATAACCACGAGGCTCGTGATGTGGCTCTGGAGAAGAAGAGTGGTCAGTGCAAGTTCCCCACCGACGCTGGCCTAGTTGCGATCACCCCGCATAAGGAAAACGCCGGTTGGGCCATGAGCCCCGACGAGCCCTGCAAACCTGGCAACTACTGCCCTTACGCTTGCCCTCCCGGTGAGGTGTCTATGCAGTGGGATCCCAAGGCGACCTCCTATTCTTACCCTATGTCCATGAGGGGTGGTCTGTACTGTGACGAGAGCGGCGAAATCCAGAAGCCCTTCCCCAACCGTGACTACTGTGAGTCGGCCGCTGGTGTTCTCAAGGCCCGCAACAAGTGTGGAAAGGCTGTCTCTTTCTGCCAGACTGTGCTGCCCGGAAATGAGGCCATGCTTATCCCCACCATGGTTGAGGACCTGGCCGATCTGGCCGTCCCCGGCATGTCTTATTGGTGCTCCACTGCTGCACAGTATTACATTAACCCTCCTGGTGTCACTGCGGAGGAGGGATGTATCTGGGGTACCTCCGAGAACCCCGTCGGTAACTGGTCGCCGTACACCGCTGGTGCCAACACCGATGACGATGGCAATACATTCCTGAAGATCGGCTGGAACCCTATCTACCTGGAACCCTCTACACCCTTCCGCAACGTCAAGCCTGACTTCGGTGTTGAGATTGAATGTGAGGGTGATGGCTGCCAAGGTCTGCCCTGCAAGATTGATCCTGCTGTCAACGATGTCAACGAGATGATCGGCAAGCCCTTCGTTGGCGCTGGCGGAGCCACCGGCTGTGTTGTGACCATCCCCAAGGGTCAGACCGCGCATATTATCGTCTTCGACAAGGAGGGCAGCGGCAGCACCTCGTCCGAGACCGTCGAGGTTCCCACCAGCTCTCGTACTACCACTAAAAGCTCCACTACCAGCAGCTCGACGACAACTGCTCCGACAAGCACCAGCACTACCGAGACACCAACCTCTTCCTCCACCTCTGAACCCTCCTCGACTTCGAGCTCAACTCGTACTTCTACCTCCAGCTCTAGCTCCACGACTCACATGTCGAGCGTCACTAGCCCCGCCCGCCTGCCCAAGTCGAGCCCGGCAGGCTATACCTACGAACCACACGTGCTGACTGGTTCTGCTGATATTCAATCGGCCTCCACAACGACCGCTGCCGCTGCCGCTGCATCCACATCTTCCACTGGCGGTGCTACCAGCGCCACCATATCCATGTTCACTCTGGCCTTCGGCGCCATCGCTGCCATGGTCGCGAGCGTCTAAATCAGCCTCGACTGATTCGGCTATATTGCACAATATTGCATATATGTACGGGGTGTGTACAGACACTCTGACACCACCACCTCGGGACATATTTTTCGCATTATATTTGCCTGCGGTAATCAATCTTGAAACACCGCAGGCGTCTATTATTGTTTGATTCTTTCACATTTTTAATTCTTCTTCTACATAATCCCCCTTTTTTTTACGATTCTTCACATCCTTGGATGCCCTTTTCTTCACGACGCTCAACGTTGGATTTTTTTACTCTGCTTCATGACATTTATATCCCTTGGCTCCTCAGCATTGCTCTTCTTTTCTTTCAGCTTGTTGAATATCGTTTTTATTGCTTCTGGTACGCAGGGGGGTTGTTTTTGGTTATATACGACGACTGGTTGGGGTTGAAACCAACTAGGTCTTGATGGATATAGGAAAAATACTATTTGAATTTTTGCTCGTCGACCCTTACCATTATTTCCATTAGGATTTTTTAAGAACTCCAATAGATTCTCATAGATGATAGAGAGTGCTCTCTCATTATCCATCCTGGGATTTACTCTTCAGACCAGGCACTTGGTAATGTGAATAAAAACAATCATTGCAATGCCCTAGTTCCGATATATGATACGCCATGTACATGCACCATTAACATCAGATGGTCACATCTAATATACAAAACAAAACGCCAATAGAACAACTGAAGACCAAGTAGTCCTTGCCCTCCACATGTAGACATCCGAATCCCAAGGGCCAGACCTAACCGATTCACTCCAAGTCCCGAATAGGAACAATCATATCAGGTCTCCTCGCCTCAACTGCCAACCCGTTCAGATTTCGCTGTCTGACCTCGCGCATGTATTTTCGTTGCTCGTGGGACGCATCCTTGAAATGTGCTGAGTCGTCAAGGCCATGGTACATAGTGTATACACTGAAGCCGATGAGTCCACCTACAATGCAACCGGCGATGATGAGGAAGATGTAGAGGGGGTATTTGTCCGGGTTGCTCATGCTACTACGCTTGAGCAAGGTTGTAGCGTCATTCATTGGGAATGTTTGTGTGATCGTTGACTCTAGTGTGCGTTGAATGATAGGCATTGTGGGTTGAAGAGGGTTGAAGAGGCTGAAGATAAAGGGTCTCGTTAGTTGTTGGTTATCGGAGATAGGGATATATGTAATGTGAGGCTAGAAAGGTACATACAATGGTCAAAAGAAGGTATCAAGGTCAGATTATTGGTATGAAAATGTCGGGGGAGATTTGGGTTAGGTAGAGAACAGTAGATACTATGCGGGATCTGACAGCTATATAGGTAAGCAAGTTCACGCTAGACCCTCTATTTTCTACATCTACAAGCCAAGCAATGCTGAAACGCGAAGAAACTGTTAAAATAGACCATACACTTATGATATTCTTCCCAAATAGGTATAGTGCACTATTATTCTTCGCCAATGACATCAGGAACCGAGCAGACCAATCAGAATGGTTCAATGGCTGGTGGGTCAACCAATTAAAATTGCACTAAACAGACTAAATGTTCTAAATATGTGAACGGGTTTTGAACCAGGAGAGTAAGCTTCTCTCTTCTCAGCTTTTGGCCCCAAATTTACAGATCTAATCTTCCATAGTGGGCTCACTCGATTTGATTGGTTTGGATTCCATTGTGTGTCGTACTTAATTGGTTCGCTCGGGTTCTCTCTTGGGTCCGCATTGGTTGTAACAACTCGAGAGCCCCAATTCGAGGATTGACTGCTGAAAGGGTATGTATTTGGTTCCTGATATGTCTCAGATAGCTCGGTCTCTCCGATTGGTAATCTTAGGATTCGTCAAATGTGACCCTGAGCCCCGCTGTCGCTAAATGTTAGGGTATGGGGTACTTCAGCCTAGTGTTGTCCATCTTTTTTTTTCCTTCTGCTACAGCTTCAAGGATGTATCTTTCTACTCAACTTTATTGGACTCCTACCCATATTCACTGGGATATAGTTAGTGATAAACCACGTGGCCTTTGAAGGGATTTGGATTGTCAATTAGAGGGGACAACCGCATTAGACCTCTGTTATGTGGGTTATACATAGTATCAAGGTGAGAAGGATGGAAATATTCATTTCAGTATAACCGGAAAACCCTTTTTCAAGGGTTGGCTAACCTAGAACTAACATATATAGATCATCTTCAATATCCTGTGTGTTGACGCCCAAAATATATAATCTGGATCTTCTATTGTTCTTTCTAGCTCTTTTCGTCCATGCTCTCTCATGTTTACCTTTTAACTTTTTGCATAAGAAAAAAGAAGAAAAAAGAAGGAAAAAAAAAGAACAAAGCATTGAAGTTGTGAAGCTGATGTATGAAAAGACCTAGATAGTTTATTATCATCATGGCCGCAAAACACTGCTGTAACCACACCGCTCGGTCAGCAAATCCTCCAAAGTGAACTGCGAAGCGTATACCCTTTTTGCCACATTCCACATTCCTTATGCCATATCCAAATGGAGACAGTATGCGATCCATGCTGGACATGTCGCAGTCGCCGCATTCAATGCGACCAGTCCGGGACACCATGTACCAAGTGCGAGAAGGCCGGCATAGAATGCTACGACAGAAGACCTCTGAGGTGGGTTAAAGGCGTGGCGATTCGTGGAAAGATGCAAGGCCGCACGCATGAAGGTATATCCAGTGGGGCTCCTGTGCACCCTTCGAAAATTACCAAACCCGCGCCATCGACACCGAAGAAATCATTTCGTGCACTGGTCCAAGATTCTGCCAGTAGAAGCCTGCCAATTACCCTACAAGACCCGTCTATGTCACATCTGGATCAAACTTCGAAATATTATATAGATTATTGTAAGATCTACAGGCCTTTGATAATTATGATACAAGGAAATAACTGACATCACATCCAGATAATGAACGCATATGCAAATTGTTCATTGTATATGACAGCGCCAGAAATCCATTCCGGAGTTTGATCCCCCTCGGGTTGAAAGATCCGGTCTTACAGAAGGGTATACTTGCTCTCGCGGCACGACATCATGCCAATACAGGCCAGTCATTTCATCAACCTCAAGCCCCCGCATCTGCTAGCCTCATTAATGCCAATCGCGATGCGCTACTTTTCAAACACCAAGCCATGGAAGCTCTCTCCCGGGTGCTTGGTGATGGAACAGTAGAGAAGAGTGACACAACGGTCGCTAGCATATTTCTCCTTATTTTCCTGGATGTTCTCGAGTTCGGAAGCGATGGTTGGAACTTCCATCTTGAGGGTGCTAAGAGTTTGATTGCATCGCACCGGCCTCAACTGGGGGTGCAGACTGGACCGGGCCAGACGATACAGGAAATTTGGGGGTTTATCTCCAATCAGATTCATTTGTGAGTTAGATTAATCCTAATGGGTATAAATCCATGTGAGAGACTGACTGGTTACAAAATAGAATTGAAACGCTGGGAGCAACATTTTTACGACCCAAAGTGTTGTCAGAATTTTTATTCGGCGGCCAAGCGGAAAGGCAACCTCAAGAAGAAATTGAGCAATCTTTCCTTGGATGTCCGGAATTCTTGTTGTCGGCGATACAATTTCTCTCCAACGAAAGGGACGCCATCGCAGGAAAGCTGCCGGACGGCGCCGCCCTCCAAACACATATACAAGATACCACCACAATGCTGGAACTCATTCAAAAATTTGACTGCTACGCCTGGGCTTTGAGTCTTCAACGTTCGAGACAGCCCTCCACAGACGAAATAAATAATCTCTGCAAACTATCGCAGACCTTTAAAACCGGGGCTTTGCTATATGGGCGACGCATTCTTGATGCACTCACAGACACCAACACCGAGCAGGACGATTTGGTATCTGAGCTGTTGGGTCTGATTGCTGTTTTGAAAGACGACGAGGCGCTATTCAAATGTGTTCTGTGGGCTATCTTTGTGGCAGGTTTGGAGTGTCGGTCTCGAGCCCAAAAAGACTTTTTGGTCGGATCTCTAGAGAAGTTTTGGACTGATACGAGCTGTTCGAATGTTATCACCGCAGCGAAGATCCTGAAGGATTATTGGGATCAGGAAGAAGGCTTAGAGACTTCGTCGCGGTGGATATTTGATATTGGTCGTTTGGGTCGTGACTGTCTTCTGATATAATATATCAAGCATTGAATATAACCAACATATCTCGTATCTAGCATGAAAAACGTAATCATAACCTAGCTATCATGCCAAAAGCGACTTGAATGCCTGGAGCAAGTCATCCTTTAGATCCTCCCAGTTCTCTAACCCAACGCTAACTCTCAGCAGCTTCCGGTCAATCCTGGAATCCGATAAAGCCCGCCACTCAATCAAAGACTCAACTCCGCCTAGACTGGTAGCATGCTGGAAGAAGTGAAGCTTAGATGGCAAAACCTTGGCAAACTTCTCATCGTGCAAGACAATAGAGAAGACAGGCCCAAACCCATTAGGCATCTGTTTCTGCAACCACGGCTCTGCCTGCAAACTAGCATGGTAAATCTTCTGCACGACCGACTGAACAACCTTCTCCTCACTGCCCACAGCAGGAGACTCAGCTTGCATAGCACCATGAAGCCAGGAAATCAGCTTAGCTGAATTCTGGCTAGCCCGTTGAACCCGCACTTCTAGGGTGCGTAGACTTCGGAGTCCGAGCCAACTCTCCATATTCCCCATAACACTCCCAAGAGCAATTCTATCCTCAAACAACTGCTTCGTCCAATCAGCACGCTTTGTAGCAAGCAAGCCACAGAGTAGATCGCTATGTCCACCGAAATACTTTGATCCGGAATGCATAACGATATCCGCACCCCAGAGGAACGGATCCTGCAGTCCAGGCGGTGCAAACGTACTATCAACAATAAGGAATGCGCCGCGGGAGTGCGCTTTGCGCGCATATTCCTCGATGCTGAACGCCGTCCCGAACGGGTTGACCGGTGTCTCTAGTAGGATGACATCGCCAGAACCTAGACTTTCGGCAGGACAATCAAGGGCGAGTTTCTGTAGTCCGGACAGACGCGATATCACTGAGATGACTTCGTGGCTGCCATGATATCCCTCGCCAACGGAGATGTGGCGCGGGTTGAGCAGTGTGATAGCGGCGTGCAAGGCGGCTAGACCTGTTGAGTAGCTCACTGCTTGCCCGCCTAAGAGAGATGAGAGCACTGCTTCGAAGCGGGTTGCATTTGGGGCGAATTCGCGGGAATAGACATAGTTCTTGCCGTTAAATTCATCCTAGGGACTGTTAGTTGGGGATATAGTTGTGTGTTGGATTGATACTTACCACTGGATCCTCGGATAGAATGAGTTGATCTGGATCATTGGAGTATCTGAAGGTTGTGGAGAGGTGGATTGGGGGTGCGACGTCAGTGACTAGATTTAGGACATCGTCTGCATGCAATGCTTTAGTGGAAGGGTGGGTGTTATTCGAGGCCATCTTTAAAAATGTTTCAGAAGAAAAAAAGAAATTGGGGAAGAGGGGAGAGGGAGGGGATTTATATTGTATGAGGTCGACCTTGGATACTGGAGACCCACTCCCGTTAACTTCCTAAAGCGGAAATAGAAGTATAGAAAAGTTTTACAACATATACTACAACATATTTATATGTAAAAATAGGTCAGATATACATTTTAATAGCTTCAATCTAAGCCAGAATACATAAATTAGGAAAGTTCGAGATAATTAAGCCATAACTGCAAGGCCACAATAGAATTAAGGTCAATTTGCAAGGGATCAACTATATTTGTCGAATCTGCAGAATTCAGGAAGTTATGTCTTCTTCCCATCCCATTCCTCTATCTTTTCAACCTCTTTAACTCGTCTCTTTCTCTGATTTAACACCCACTTCTTCACTATGGAGGAAGACCATGCCCAGGGTAAGTCATTGTCTGAGTTTCGAGTACATTCATCCTAAAGATATTCAGAACCTGAGACCGTCGAGACTGTCTCCAATGAGTTCAATTTGCTGTTAGATGAGATCACAGCTCGCTGCAAAAGACAGACAAAGGAGATCAATAAATGGCTTCTTTACACCAAGGATTTCAAACAGACTATCGCCAATACATTGAATACATTGGAGCAGGAGAAACTCGAGGAACAACGTGCTGATATCGCTCTAAAATGGACTCCTAGGACACCCAGGACACCCAGGACACCGATGACAACCAGAGCAGTCAGAACACCCCAAATCCATAAATAATATGCCCATATCATTTCATTGTTTGAGTTTTGTGGAATTTCTTGAATGTGGGCCGATAAAAGTGATGATCGACCCCAACATCACTCTCCCCGGCCTTTTCCCCCTCACATCTTCTCTTCTAACAACTCACGTCAAAATGCCCCCCTCGGCTCAAACGGTAAGCCATCATGATATCTTCTCTTTTATCTCTGCTTTTGCATACATTTTCCATAATGGGGATATTTCCCATAAATCTCGCTACCTAGAGCTCCCAAGGCTACCCCGCACTGCCTATAAAACGCCTGCCTACCCTGCAACTCCTGCGCTTTTGACACAGAAACAAAACAACTAACGCAATGGAATCAAAGACCAGACTAGTTTCTACCCTCCGCCTGCTCATCCCCCGTCTCCGCCTCCTACAAAAGAAAGACACAGCCTCCTCAGTCGTCCAACGCCGTGAACTCTCCCAACTCCTCAGCGAAGGCCGCGATGCATCAGCGCGCATCCGAGTCGAAAATGTCATTGCAACAGATATCGCAGTGGAGGTAATGGAGATGGTCGAGCTCTACTGCGAGCTGCTGTTGGCGCGCGCAAACGTGTTGGATCAGATGGCCTTCAGCGACCAGGGTACCCGCGCAAGACTCCGCGCCAAGGAATTGCTTAAGAAGCGTACCCAGGAACAAACCGGCGCTACGGCATCTACCACCGCAGGCGTCAAGGGTGCCGGAGAAAGCACTGGCTCCCGATTCGGATTCTCTTGGCTAGCAGGAGCGCAAAAGAAGGAGGCTGAGCGAACGCCCATTACATCAGCTGGTAGCGCGGATGACTCTGGGGATGGGCTTGCGGATGAAGACAACCCTTACATGGATACTGCGCTTGATGAGGCTGCTACTGTGGTCTTCTACGCGTGGCACCGCTTTCCGCACGAGGTGCGCGAATTCACCATGCTCCGCACTATGTTGGGCGAGCGATACGGCAAGGAATTCATGACTCTGGCACAAGATAATAAGCTCGATACTGTCAAGGTCCCTGATCGGCTTCTCAAGGGCCTGCGTCTGCGCCCGCCAGGACAGGAACTTGTTGAGAGTTACCTTCGAGAAATTGCGAAAGCATACGGTGTTGAATGGTATGGAGCTGAAGAAGAGCTGGGAAGTGCGCCGGAAGAATTTGTGGACGATCTTGGTGACGGTGATGTAGAGGAACCCCAATTACCGCAAACGCCTGGCAAACAGCAAGGGGACTCAGCGGTGAGGCCTAACGTCTCTGAAGCGAGACGAGCCTCAGAGACCAGTGAATTGACCAAGGCTACGCCTCCACGTGGACTCGCCGCGGGCCGCAGTCCTGTCAGCGTTGCGCCGCCAGCTCCCAGAACCGATAATCCCAATCCCAGAGTCAAGCTCCCCGGTACAGAAGGGAAAGCCGCTGTCCCAAAGGATGATGGCTCTAAGAGCAAGAGTAACAATAATGGGATACCCGAGCTGGATGAACTGACGCGAAGATTTGCGGATTTGAAGAGGAGACCATGATTGAGAAGCTCCGTTATTCAATATCCACCAGAACTTGACACTCAGCGTCTTGATTTTAGCCAATTTTTTATGTTTCCTTTCCGGTGCCTTGGACAGGGCTTAGGTCAATTGTCTTATTTCCAGCCCTGTATAATACCTTCTCATTTTAAATGATTCACTTTAAGTGCAGCTTACTGGCTACCTGTGAAATGCCACATTGTAAATTGGACCAAATGGTCCACTTCCCCAAATATGACAGGTCATATTTAGTGCGGAGCGCAATTGGAGGATACGTACTCCGGACTTCTAGTATTGGAGGTAAACGAATCTGATGAAAATGTTACATTGGAATTTATCACATTTTTTTTTTTTGCCTTCTCGATAGATTATTCTAGAAAGATGTATTAATTGGGGTAACAGAGAGCATCTAAGAACCTATGTAGCCAACCTAAGCATAGCCCACGTGATAGTAAGATGACCTCCAGAGCTGTTAAGCCAAAATGTACTCCGTAATGAAACACACATCATCGAATTCCCGATATTAAATTGAAGTACAAATCGGAAACTACGCACGGGACCCGCAAAACCCAATCGCATACTCCGCTCCGAAACGCAAGCCATGACACAGACTTAATATGAACTCCGAATCCCCTACAAATCTTACCGTACTCCTCTAGCAGTCGCCAGACACTGCGATAAGCCCTCCAACCCCCGAAAACGCCCACAAAGAAAAAGGCCCAAATACTATGCCGGTCTATATGCTTCACGGCTTCCGCTGGCCCCGCGCCGGTTTCACGGGGATCCGTGTATACATCGTACTTCACAACTTGGAAGAAGCAGCAGCCGAGTACATCCAGCAACCGCTGACGACAGAGCTCATTGCAGAATCATTCCACAAAACACAAGCGGACCTCATGACCCGATTGCCGGAGCTGTCATTTATTGAGCAGTATGACCCCGCCGACGAGACGAGTGGCACCGTCAGCCAGGACTATGCGTACATTTCAACGCGGGTTTTAGAGATTCCGGAGGACGGGAGTGGTGGCGGAGAGAATATTGAGAATTGTGTGGAAGAGGGATCTGGGTTGACGGACGATCAAATGGCGGCGCTGGAGCAATTGCGCGATCGTTTAGCTCCCGGTGAAAAGATCGGCTGGTATCTTGTTTACAATGGGGATCCTGAACGGTGGTATCCTGATTCTGAGGAGGATTACGACTCTGAAGAGGAGTTTGAGGATGAAACCCAGCAGAGTCAGGTCCAGAGCCGGAGGGAGAGCAGGAGTAGTTTTACAGAGACTCCTAGTCCACAGAGCTATACGGTATGTTCAATGTTGGTTCCTTCATTTCAATTATGTACTGTACTACTGGGGAGTTTTCTTACGGAATTTCCCTCCACCTCACTACAACATGATTGCTAATGGAGTATTTCTAGACTCGTCTGACGAGATTCTGGAATCGGATGAGCTCGGGGTGAGAGCTGTGATCATGGAACATGGCAAATAATATCGATTTATTCCGACACTACGCAGTGTTACTCGATTGCCTCGTTGTTACATGTGTTACACTGGGCTGTGATGGGAGCTTTTTACGAATTCTACGCTTTATGTCTGTTGATACTCCATGTTTTGCAAATATTTGTTATACTAGTTCAGTTGATGTATTGGATATCTGGGAACCAAATGTTTGATCTAATAGAATAATTTTGCTATAATTCAATATGTGCTTTCTATTTCATCTCTATAGAACCCGATGTGGGCGGTAAGTCCAGGCAATATGGGAGGGGAGCTTCGATAACGCAGAACAGCGGAGAACATTCAAAGCTTGTCGCAACACTCCCCGAGTGGTTTCATAAATGCTGACCAGGTAACATCCTGGCTTTTAATCACAATGGTCCTCTCATTTATCCTGGTTCAGAATCGCCAGTGAGTGGCTGCCCGGTTATTTTATCGATTCCCACGCTAATGACGGTATAGGGGGAAAACGCGCCTGGCGAAATGGTATTCACCGTACAGTGTGAGTGTTGCCAGAACAATCAATACAGAATTGAGGCTTTGAGCTGACACCGGCTTATAGGATGAAGAGAAAGTCAAATTGAAAGGCGAGGTTCGTTCATGCAACACCACCCGCACCCGCACTTGCTCCGAGGTTCCCATCCAACTAACCACCGACAACCGTCTAGGTCCATCGCCTTGTCGCCCCCCGAGATCAGAAATACCAGTCCAACTTTGTTGAGTTCCGCCGGAGTACTAAGGTCGTCTACCGAAGATATGCGGGCTTGTTCTTCTGTGTGTGCGTCGATGCGAATGACAATGAGCTAGCCTATCTCGAGGCTATCCACTTCTTTGTCGAAGTACTGGACCAGTTCTTTGGTAATGTGTGCGAGTTGGATTTGGTCTTCAATTTTTACAAGGTGCGTGCAACTGGGAATGCATTGCGCATGAACCAGGGCTGGCGTGAGATCGGAGTTTCATAAGCCATGATACTAACCACATGTGCCGGATTTATAGGTCTACGCTATCCTGGACGAAGTCTTTCTCGCAGGCGAGATTCAAGAGACAAGCAAGCAGGTCGTTCTCACGCGATTGGAACACCTGGATAAGTTGGAGTAGAAGCCGTGATACTCGGATTCGGGAACGATATGGGACCCTTATCAATTACGGGCCCGACTGCATTGGACAAATCAAATCAAAACAGTCATTTGCATGGAGTTTCAGGTGTATCGGTGGCTTTCAGACAATATTTGTGCTGTTCATGTTCATATTAGGGATTATGTTGGAGATATCAAATCATCGATTCTCATACCACTTAGAGGCTAATATCGAAATCACAAACCCGTGCGAGTACGCTGCATATAGGTCTCTCTAGTCTATCTGCTTATTGCGGATGAAGAGGCTGTCCAGAGTAAACGTCTTTGCTTTCGCTTTCAGGGATTGGTGAACGCAATATTATCTAGGCAGGATACCGATAAAGCTCTGTAGGCTCAAACCCCACAGTAGCCATTCTAGGCTCTTCGAGCCAGCCAGTTTCACCCATGAATGTGAGTATCTTCCGAATTTCGTATTCGTACTAGTGATTCCAGCTTACGTGCCGAATCATATATTCCACATTGGTTTACTCAGTATCTGATTGAAATCTAATTTTCCTCGCTAAGGATCGCTTCCTGCTCCGTATGCATGTTTTGCCCGGCTTGAGACAAAGAAGCTGATAATCCCAATCGAACCAATCCGCAGATGTTGCCAGTGCCAAGCTTTCTCCTCGTATTCTCTTTCCGCAGGGTTCGGAATGTAGCTATCCACAGGTGTTGTCACTGCCGAAAACACTGCCGGCAGTGGATGCCTGGCGGAGATTGAATGCACAAACTTGGCTGTATCAAGGAACATTAAGCTCAGATTAGATTGCAATGCTAAGCCTTGCTTTCATTTTGTGGAGGGATTTCCTAATTGGTCATGTCCTGGTGAGGTGATCATAGTCATCGATGGCGAACGTTAGTCTAAGGGTCTTGGCACAGCACATTTAAGGAGCTGTTGACCCTTAAAAAGGTCTGCCCTGCTGAGACATTCTTCATTCCTCTTTACTTTTACTATTTGACTACATCCGACTATCTACAAAGAGTCTACCCTACTCTGGTTTTAGCATGCACGTTCCAGGCGAAATATCATGGATTATTCACCGGAACAACACCATCCGTTATAGACTGACTACTAGCTGCCGACACAGCCTCACAGACATCCCAATCTTGCTGGACACGTGACAAATGTCTGGTAGTCTGGACCTAGGCTCACGAGACAAGTTTCCTCAAATGAAAAATATATCAACACGGGACGATCAGTTCAACCGTGACAATACTGATGCGTGACAGCAGTACGAAATCTTCACATATTACTCCGTACACACCGGACTCCGATACCCCTGACGATTAAACCCATGTGAAACTACGTTTCTAACACGCCCAATGCCAACTCCCGGATCAATGCTTGGGCGATAACGGCTTGCTGCCCGCGACACATTGAGCAGATGGCCGTTCCTGTGATAGGCAGTATTACCGGATGATCAGGAGAAGGGTCCCATCGAGAAAGGCTGAAACCCGTCCATAATTTCCGCGCTGTTGAGGGTAAATTGGACCGGACTTGGCATGTGGAACTCGCAACTGCAGTCTCGAACGAGCCAAACATTGAATGCAATCAATCTGATGGAGCGGGGGCGTCGGATTCTCGTTCCCGGAGCAAGACAGCTGCGAGATTGATCTGCGTGGAACATTGTGGACCAAACTTGGCAGACATAATTCCAGTGGTATTCACTGGATATGAGATACAGCACAACATTGCAGGCTCTTAGTAGATCAGTGTATGATCTATGAGTTTACGATGTATATGATGCACTAAAAAAGGAAAACAGATATGATTTCGAAAATATCCACAAATTGAATGTGTACGCGTTTCCATTTGAGTGTCCACCAATGACCGACAATGCATGGATCGTCGCCAAAACTTGACTGTTCGAATGTCGGAGCGTACGTGGATCAGTCTTGGCAGGGCAGACATTGGAACAATACCTTTCGGTAATTTGATGTTACCAACAATTCTCAAGTTTTTGTATATGGATACCATACAATACCATACACAACTCCACAAAAAAACGATCACCCCTGACAATCTTTTGACTCTGTGCGTCAGCTTGTGACGTCGTCCACGGGTGTCTCTATGTACTCGTACGGAGTATACGAATGTGACTTTTGAAGGGATACGTATCCCGATGCCTGTGAACGCTCTGGGTGTTGTATACACTCATGGGGCCTTCGGTTTCAGAACCCAAATGGGGTACAATAGGTCAGGAATGAAGGAATTACCAGCGGACATTGCCACTCGCGGGGATAATACTTCGGAAAAGTGGTTCGAGGCTCGTCATTGGCACACTATGAATTCCCACTCTACTCCGTACTTCACTTTCTATCTCCCTTGGGGATCAGTTTAGCTAGGTCTGGATTTTTTTTTTATATTATTTTATATTTATTCCTTTATTCTTCCCCTTATCTGCATATCAATCTCTTAAGAACCCCCTTCCTTCTAGACTTTTTCCAGTCTTGTCCTTTCTTTTTATCCAGCTCTATTACTTCCTTTCGTTTATACCTACACTTCTTCACTCTCTATAGAAGTTCCCAACTATATTGAATTACAATTGAGCCCATAAACATGTCTCTCATGCTCTCCGATAATCTGGCTCCCCAGCCCATTACCGATATCTTCACCGATGACACAAACATTGACCGCCGAAAGTGTCACCGCACAGTGCCTATGAAGGTGCTTGCTCTGGGTGTTGGCCGTACTGGAACTGCTTGTGAGTATGATGTGCTGTATTGCGTTGGACTTGGTGTATTGTACATACCGGGTCTGATGGGAATTACAAACATATAAACTAACAATTATTTGACAGCTCTCCGCAAGGCCTTTGAGCGTCTGGGCTATGGAAAGTGCTACCACATGATGTGCGCAAGTGTTGAGAACCCACCGGATTGCCTTATGTGGCACGATGCCCTGAACGCGAAGTACGACGGAATCGGCGAGTTCGGCCGTAAGGAATGGGACCAGCTTCTGGGTGACTGCCAGGCCGTCTGTGACTGGCCTGCCTGTGCCTTTGCAAAGGAGCTGATCGAGGCCTATCCCAATGCAAAGGTCATTCTGACCACCCGTGATGTCGACCCGTGGCACGCGTAAGTCACATATCTTATACATCTGTATTTCTGGCCCAAAGAACACCATACTAACCAAACCAACAGTTCCGTCATGAAGACCGTCTTCTGGCGTGTTTCAGACCCAGAGCACAAGTTCGTGTCGAACTTCAGCTGGGCTGCTGGCATGTACTACCCCATGCTGAACAAGTTCTTCGAGACATTCTTCCGCGGTGACTTCCCCGGAAAGGGCAAGCAAGTCTACGAGGATCATGTCGCCCAGGTCCGCAGCCTGGTTCCCCCCGAGCGTCTGCTTGAATATAATATCAACGACGGCTGGGCCCCGCTTTGCGAGTTCCTCGAGGAGGAGGTCCCTGACACCCCCTTCCCTCGCGGTAACGACATGGCCGACTTCTACAAGCGCTGCAGCACCCGCAACCGCCACCAGATGATGAACGCTGCCCTCCAGGCCGTCACTATTGGTGGATCACTGCTTGCCGCTGGCTTCGCTGCTACTTTGGCTTTCAAGCGTTTCTCTCCTCGCTAAAACGCTCGTCCTATCTTACGCATTTCCTTTTCATATTCCCCACATCTTATTTTTTTTTGTTGGCTGCTAGTGTGCGCAGGCGCCTTTAGTATGTTGCCATACTCCGTGGTCGTTTTTGTTGCTTTTTCTGCTATTGGAACAGACCACTGCATCCATCACGTCAGTCTCTAATATCCCTTGTTTTGGCATCTGTCATAATTGATTTCACGAGGGACTTCTTGGAGAACAATCTGGTAATAAAACAGTATATATTATTTCTTCCATTTTTACCATCTTTATGCATACTCCTTACCAATGCCGGACAAGCGCATTTAAGCATACCTTCCAAATCGAGGGATAAACCCAAGGCTCTGTCATCATACATTGATCAGAGGCAAGGGGCGCCTAAAGTCTTGGCCAAGAAAAGCCTTACCGCCGACCTTTTCAATGGGTCAATGCACAACCAAAGGCCGCAATGTACTCCGTATATAGTGAATATTTGATTTTGAGCTTCGAACGTATACTATGAGAACAGGCATTCGCTATTGTACATGTATACATAGTACCTGCTTTAGCTTTGAGCAGTAAAATATCTCTAAATCCTGCCGTTCACACCCGGGCCCCAGCGCTTCCCTCTCCACTCGTACTCGTACGAAACGTGAAAGGAGGAAACGTACCAGCCACACTTTATTGGAGAAGTGCCGTGGGAACTTGTTAACTAGTGGCTTGGCATATGGAAGTGATCCACATTAATTAGGTGGACTTATGCGGCACTTAAAATACATAAAAAACATACAAGGAGAGTTACGGGGTATACGGGTAATATTGTCACTGTCATAACCTTGTAACGGACGGGAGAAATCCATTATACTTAGTAACTGTTCCTCTCTGTTCCAATATACAAAAATAAGCTGGGCTCAACACTTGCTTCTTTCATTCTAGGCTCGGGAGCGGATCCTTCAGATGGTTTGAAGGATTTGAGGAAACACGTAATAAAGACAGGGTTTGGGTTGGTGTACGTGGATTAATGCACCTTGAGTGATGAGTTTATTGTTGGAATAGAATATCTTGGGTTTGAGGGGTTCAGCATATTGAGAATTGCACTGCGTTTTACGGTTAGGCAATGTTATTTCTAGTCGCTCAAAATGTTATATAGAATATCAAATGACCAATCGACATGTTGTTTCTAGGTGTCTATGTACGGTAGTATTCATATCGTCGAAGATTTACTTCTAAAGTATGGATACTATATGACTACAACGCCGCCGACATTGTAGGTTCAAATCTAATGCACCCGTACAAAACAAATATATAGCCTGCGTATGCTCTGACGACGCACTATACGACACCACTGCACCTGAACCAATCCTTCGCTCTTAATTCACCGGCATACGCAGCTCATGCTTCTCAGCCACATGCACGTGGCTTTCAGCGTTTAGCTTTATCGGAGTATGCAGGTAGAACCCTGGAAGTTGGATCCATTAGTTACACCCCCGAAGAGGAAAGTCACTTCCGGGATCTCGCGATGGTGTTGTTTATTCAAGTTTGGGTAGCGGGTGGGTGTTCATCCATAGTCCCGTTCCCGAGTCACGTTGCATGGTTGTCGTGTCGGTCCCAGGCCTTCGATGAGAATTGAGGACATTGAGTATACAGAAAAAAGTATGATCTCGGAATTATCGTGTGGGGGTTGTTAGCGGCAGCCACATCGCATTAGTCTTGCGGCCATGACGTGGCCCCTGAGAAATACTCATACCATCACACTGCCTGGGACACGTATCGAGAGTAGAAAGCAACAATCAAGGTTTTTTCGTAGCAAAAGTAGAACCACGCAATCTTAGGGATAGTGATCGTTTAGCCTTGAATTTTCTGGTATAGTACCAAATCCTCGAATACTTTTCAACTTAAGTAGCACAACTTTTAGCAGGACTGGGCATCTTGGCACTGGACAGGTGTTGGCTGAATTTCACTTGACTAAGCACTTTGTCCAGCTTTAAATGGCTTTTAGCCAATGAACAGAGAAGATCATCACAACTTATGACCCACTATATCAACTATGTATACAAAGCAAAAGGATTGACAGGTGGAGAGGGATTCGTACGCACTGTTTACTCACCTTGAGCCTCTTTGTCTTAGCTGAATATTAATTTTGGCCTGCATTTTTCATACTCCTGCACCAATCCATGATTTGCATTCAATACAAGCTCACTTGCATACATTATTTTGGGTGATCTTCTTGTTCGGCTTAAAAAGGGTTTGAATATCGTGCATCAGGGAAGTGATGCGAATAATCCATGGGAGCCTTCATGTTTTCCTCTTTAGGAACTGTACCGTCACTCCTTTTTCTTGGTATCCTCTACTTATGCGCTGTTGACATTGCGCTTGGAGAGGAAACCTCATTTTATAAATCGGTAAGTTGAATTAGCCCGATATTCCCCAAGGGTACCTTTTAACTAACCGTATTACCGGCCAACAGAGACCTGATATATACCCACCCGTCTTCAATGTCGAGAAGTCCGATCCAGACAAGCTCAGCCCGGGCTATATTTTCATCACCCCTTACGAACTTCAGAATCCCGGCCCGTACATTTACGATAACACAGGGGTAGGTCTCTACTCTGTGGGATTTGATATTCGCAGTTTATGAAAAAAGCTAACCCTCCACCCGATCAATAGGAATTAGTGTGGAGTGGCTGGGGTATCTCGGGACCTGGCAACGCTCATGGGCTGCACGTGTGTAAATACAACGGCTCCGATCACCTATGTTTCTTCCAGGGCAGCCAGCAGAAAGGATATTGCCGCGGGCATGGCATTATTATGGATAAAAACTACCGAGTTGTGCGGTCAGTTCAGCCGGGTGGAGGAATGGCCTCTAGCGACATGCACGAATTCCGTCCCATCGATAATGGCAGAACCGCTCTCATGACCATCTACCAGCAACGACAATTCGACATGACACCTTGGAACATCAAAACCGGGGTAGGTTGGATCATGGAGAGTGTTTTCCAGGAGGTCGACGTGGAGACCAACAAAGTTTTGTTTGAATGGCGATCACTCGATCATGTTGATCCATCATCGAGCTATACATGGCCTTCTCATACGGATACTTCTGGGACGGGATTGAACGTGCATGAGCCCTGGGATTACTTCCATATCAACTCAGTTGACAAAAATGTTGCCGGTGACTATCTGATCTCGTCAAGGCATACTTCTGCAATCTACAAGATCTCCGGTAAAGACGGCTCGGTGATGTGGCAGCTTCACGGCGCGCAGCCCTCGTTCCGAAATATCAATTTTAACTTTTCACAGCAGCACGACGCCCGGTGGCTGCACGAGAACAATACGCACACAGTTCTCTCACTTTACAACAATGGGTATAACGGCTTCAACAAGACCCATACCTATTCAGCGGGCATGATCATCATGATTAACCACGTGGAAAAAACGGCCACCCAGCTCCGCGATTATGCCCCGATTCAAAACGACCTAGTGAGCTCCAGCCAGGGAAACCTACAGGTGCTCTCTAACCAAAATGCCTTCATCGGATGGGGAAATAACCCGTTCGTATCCGAGCACGACGAGGCGGGCAATCTACTGTTCTGGGGCTCTTTCGCCAAAGACACAGTGATGAACTACCGCGCAATGAAGTTTGAGTGGGACGGTGAACCGACAGACTCACCTGCTCTATGGACATACTCTCGGACCGCAGAGCCTATTTCTTCCACCAGCTTCTATGTCAGCTGGAACGGCGCAACCCGCGTCAACACATGGCGATTTTGGGGAGCGATGAATATCACCGGACCTTGGACCTTCCTGGATGAGACTTCGAAGACCGGCTTTGAGACAGAATACACCAACCCTAGTTTTTTCCTTTGGTCCAAGGTCGAAGCAGTGGATCGTGAGGGCATCGTGCTGGGAAAGTCTGAGATCAAGTATACATTCGTACCATCGTCTGAGCTGCGCGAATTCTGCGCTACCTCAACCTGCTTGGACGCAAAGGGATATGGGTTCCCCGGCGAAGAGGAAGCTCGTCCTTTCATTCCGCCAGTAGGTGTCAATACTGTGCCGTGGATACACCCCGATAACCCGGGCTCCAATATTTGGACAAATTCATCCGGGTATCCACGTCCTTCTAATACTGCAGATACTGCAAAGCATTCGAACGGATGGAACAGTAGTCGTGAGTATAACCCGAGCAAATATCTCAGGTAACCGAGGAAAAACTGACAAGTTCACAGGCCTACTTGCCTGGGGTGCCGTTCTCCTGGTGGCGATCCCTCTCCTCGCCGGAATCTTCCTCACACATAGATACTATACAATGCGTTCGCTCAAAAAACTGCGGGATCAGGAGTCCTCTAGGCCTATAGGCGATATGGCTGAGCGGAAACGCCCTCCCGTGCAGGTAGCAGATCTGCCTTGGTGGAATTGGCGCTGGTGGATCGAAGAGGACGAAACAAACTCCTACTCCCCGCTGGGTGAGTGGAGTCCGTATGGACACAGGCGTGAACGAGAGCGGAACGAATAGTCAACATCTCATTCTTCTTCTTTACTTTGCATACATACTGTCATAACATACGATAAACCATATTTTCGGTCGCTATATACATCGTCTCTTGCGTATACTACTTAAATAGGAAAAAAATCTTTAGTTGGATCATACATATCCTAGAACATAGACCTAGGAGTAGAACAAACAGTCCACAATAGGCAAAACAACGCGGCACGATGTAAGAATAATCCATGGATCTCCTTCGAGGCCCGTTTCCATTATGTGTAATACAATACATATCCCCGAAAATACATAAAGCCGACTCCCACACCTATCTAGTGGATACTATACGTAACTCCGGAGCGGAGCTAACTTTGGCGCGGGGCACTCATTCTTCGCATTGACTGCCTTATAGAGAAGTAATACGTTATACTTTTGTACAACATAGTATTTGACTATTACAGATGTGTCATGGCACAATGTCGGGATTACATGGTATGTAAATTATATATGACTATCACTATGTCGATCAAAATATGCAAAGGGAACCTTAGAAGTTACAGACTTTCCAAGGTTACCAGGACTGGAGTTCTGACAGATAAGTCTGTATTGTATGTACTGGATCTACAAAAGCTTTCACTGACGTGGAATGTGGCTGAAACGCTCGCGCTAGCTGTTGCCGCTGGTGGCTCTAGAACCTTGGCGGAAATGATTTTTCCTATCTTTTGTATTATATTCAAAGTTTCAATGTATTCAAGCTTAAACAAATTCTATGGATACAGGATCCACTTAAAACAATTATGAAACAGACACTTAAAAAACACATTATTTCCTGCATAAATAAAATCACATCTATGTGTACATATTGATTTTCAATACAAATGGGATTGTAAAGTACTGCGGAGTAAATAAAACTAAAATATGTAACTTTCGCCCCTGGTTCGTGCCTTATGTGCCAAGAGTTCCGACGTTGATACACGTCGAGTCCGCGAGTCATGATCCAATGGTAGGGGGATGTGGAGCAGTCGTCGCAAGCCGGGTATCGTTGTCAATCTACTTGTACAACATATGACACCAGAGAGTGTTTTTATAGATGGGATGTTTGTATGAACTATGTTGTAGTAATCGTACATAGTGAGAAATCTTATCTAGCGGTAGACCATGTTATATTCTCTTTATCAATTCCACTGTCGCGACAATCTTTTTCATCACGCTATATTCAACGTAAAAAGGCGGAGCAAATTGTGAGGCTCTCCAGCTTGCATTATGCATTACCAAAAGGGCATGCTAAAAAAGAGGACATAACGCTGTCTGCGAAAATAACTGTAGATCTATGATGTAGGTCTGTGAAAGGTTTAAATACCGTATAGCAAAAAGAATAATGGCTATATTCTTCAATGTTGCTTGTGGGAAAAAGCGAGGTAGCCTCATCCTGAGCTTTTAAGCTCTCTCGATGTTCTTAGCGGCTCAGTGGGCTTATTTAGGCAGTCACTTAAAGATTGATCATGGATGTGATTGGTCCACTAATTTGCAACTCCCATGCTTGGAGGTAATTTGTAGACCAATGAAACAAGCATATGGGCCTATCACTAGGACTGATGCACTTCAATAGGCGCCGAGGCACTCCATGAGGCTCTTGTCACCGTTACATAAAACTAACTGAGATTGATTCCCTACATGGATGTTGTTCTAGTCAGCCTGAGGGGTGTAGCGGGGTACTGGGACATCTATAACTGCACAACCGCCGACAACTAAATAGTTCCTTTACTCTACCAATGTTAGCCATGGGATCCCTCACTTACGGTCTTTCAATAAACATATACGGTCGCGGGAACGCCAAGCTCGGCGACGGCCCCTCCCATATGGGAATCGCCATCTACGAGGACGGCTCCTCAACCTGCGAAATGCACCATATACGCAACCCCACAGACGAAGACTTCATCTACGATCCGCGGACGCAGCCGCTCGAGGACCCGGCTTTAAAGGTAGCTGTGAGCTTGCTTCGCTCGATTCTGAACAGAGCCAACAAGCTGCTAGCCCGATCTCTGCGTTTGGGAAAGACGAATCGAACATCCCCGAGTTCGGCGTCGGAAATTGCCAAGACTGGGTTGCTGGTGCAGTTAGAATGCTTGAGCATGCTGGTGTTGTTTCTTCCGGAGAAGGGGGATTCTGGAAGAGTATGATCAACAGAAGTTCAGAGGAAATGAAAAATGAGTGTCTTCGTGAAGGGAAGAAATGGATAGATGGTCCGGAGTCGACATATGAAGGGGATCCTGATGCAAGATTTGTGGACAGAGAGCGGGATACAGTGAAGCCTGTTGGGAAGTTGGTTCAAAATGAGGTGTTTCGGGCGCGAATGCAGTCGCTTTTGGGTCCCAAGCCAGTCGGAGGGAGTGATCATGATGGGACGCCTGCAGAACGGCCTTTTTATGTGTCGAGTCCTTTCTTTAGTAAGATGGATGAGAGGAACGATTGAGTGAATTCCTTAAGCATTACATTATTCTCGCTTCAAACAGTATACAGAGCTATAGAAGCTAAGCCGGTGGTAGGATGGAGCCAAAGAACTAGGACCAAATTAGAATTGGACTACGCAAGACAGTCTGGCGAAGTTTAGTTTCTCCCATGTCGAAGGCAGTCCCCACATGCGCTCTATGAGCATGACTAAAGGGTTATGCAGGAGTATCCATGGATGGCTCAAGGTTCTCGACAAGGGCACGTGCGCAGTCCAGTTGCGCTGGGGATAGGTTTAGTTCGCACAGCCCCAGCTTTAACCAGAGGGGTGGATTCAGCGTCGAGGCTAGGAGAAGCCATGCTCGGTCCATTACCGGCATTTCATGGTATTTTAATATTTACAATACAGTAAGCTTTTTGAAGATACTAGTGTAACTTTGACCTTAATACCTGTTACGGTAATAAAACATTCATGTTCCTGGTGGACCCCGGCAATAAAAAGGTACGGACGTCATCGACCAAATTCCCCTGATGGTACAGCATATAGGAAATTAAAAGAAAAAAACATCACACTTTCTCTTTCTTCTCTCTTATAGCCAATAATAGTCAAGCTGTGAAGCCACCTAAACTACGAAAAATACATGAAACCAAAGGGGCAGACTACTACTTTTGATCCTTACGGCTCCTCGGCTTACACTAGTACATTCCTCAATGCCTGCTAGGACTGGAAATAATAAAACGAATAATGCCCGCCATGCGCGTACGACATCTTGGTCAAGTGGCTTCCATTTCATCCAGAACACCGGCGAATCCTCCGAAAACGCGCAAGGCCGCCGACGACGCGAGTCCAACACATCCCTCGCCAGTGTTGAAGAACGCTCCTCTTCCCACGACTCGCTCGACTCGTGCGCCATCGATGATAACATGTTAAGGAATACCTCAATGGATATGGGTGGTGACCGCAAAACCCAACACATGCGCGGCCGTTCCATTAACCATGGCCAGCCACAGGTGTTGACACTGCAGGGGCATGAGGCCCCGACTGTGCGGGTGCCGGCCCGCCCCGCGCTCGTAACATGGATGTCGCTGCCGCGAAAGGGTCAATTGGCGCTGCTAGGACTCTGCCGTGTCTTTGATTTTTTGCAGATCGCCTCGCTACAGGCCTACATGTTCTATCAGCTCAAGTCCTTTGACCCGAACCTCTCCGACTCCGATGTTGCGACCCAGGCGGGAATTCTCCAGGGTGCTTTTACCGCTGCTCAATTTGCGACGGCGATTCCCTGGGGTCGTGTTGCCGATTCTGAGTGGGGTGGTCGGAAGTTCGTTCTACTTGTTGGTCTAATTGGCACTGCGGTGTCTTGTTTGGGTGTCGCATATTCGACGTCGTTCGCGCAGGCCGTGTTCTGGCGCTCGTTTGGTGGCGCTATCAACGGAACCGTTGGTATTATTCGAACTATGATTGCAGAGAATGTTAAAGAGAAGAAATATCACTCGCGGGCTTTCTTGATTTTGCCTATTGGCTTCAACATAGCTTCGCTGTTTGGTCCTGGTGAGTACCTTGTTCTACTAATGCTGCTCGTAGTTATGGTGTCGCTAACCAGTTTTGCAGTGATGGGTGGCATGTTGGCTGACCCCGTTAAGAGCTATCCTCTTCTCTTTGGTCCCAATTCTTCCTTCGGGGGTGCGGATGGAGTGCAATGGCTCGAGACGTACCCTTATGCACTGCCGATGTTTGCAAACTTCTGTTTCCTCTCTTTAACTGCAGCTTTGGTTGCGTATGGATTAGAAGAGACCTTGGCATCTTGCAAGGGCAAACCTGGCCTGGGTGCATTCGCTAAGAAGGTGTTTGCGCGCTGCATGAAGGTGGTAGTTCCCTCTTCATTGTCCTCGTATACAAGGCTTCCGCTCCGCGAATACGAAGAGGACGGGCCTTTGCTAGGCCGGCCTATGGACCCCTCCGAAAGCTATGAGCTCGAAGAAAAGGCACACAAGCCTGCCCGCCTCAGACGGGCGTTGCCTTTCAGAAGAATCTGGACCAAGAACGTGTTGTGCACACTTGGCGCACAGGCTTTCTTCGACTTCCAGATGGGCGCCTTCAACAACCTCTGGCTACTCTTTCTGTCTACTCCTCGCTATGATGCCAATGACCCCGCAAGCCCCGCCCAGAGCTTGCCATTCGCCTTCACAGGCGGACTGGGCATGCTCCCGCAGAGCGTTGGTTTCGCGACAGCTATCTTGGGTGTGATTGGCATGTTCCTCCAGTTCACCATTTACCCTACCATTAACGGCCGTCTGGGAACAGCCAAGAGCTACCAGTATTTCCTCTCCCTCTTCCCGATAGCATATTTTATCGCCCCCTATATCTCGTTGGCTCCATCTACAATTCCCCCTCCTGGCCAAGCCAACGGCCCCTGGGTCTGGTTCTGGATCATCGTCGTCCTCTTCTTCCAGGTCACTGCCCGAACCTTCACTCTCCCAACCTCCATCATCCTGCTAAACAACTGCTCGCCGCACCCATCGGTCCTCGGCACGATTCACGGAATTGGCCAGTCTGTCTCGTCAGCCTTCCGTACCGTTGGACCTATCTTCTCAGGTGCGTGGTACGGATATGGCCTAGATATTGGCATGGTCGGCTTCGCCTGGTGGATGATTGCATTGGTATCCGTGTTTGGCTGCCTTGCAGCTGTCTTCGTATATGAAGGCTCTGGACATGAGATTATTCTTCCTGGTGAGGAAGAAGAGATCTGATGTGATCCAATACGAGCGTGTCTTTTTTTTGAGAGTTCAATTGTACATTGCTTCAACATTTTGCATATCATAAGGTGTCGGTTGGTTGGGTGCTTTTTCTTATATTACGCTTCGACCTCGCTGTCTTGCTGGTGCAGGTCACCTCAATATTTCCGACTGATATCTTTCCTATTTGGATTCATTGCTGCACCGGTTGGCAGTGATGTTTTGGATATTTCTGATCTCACTCCTGCATCTACTTTTCCCGTTTCTGTGTTTGGGATACCATTTGTTTTGCATTTTTAGTTATACAGCATTTTCATTTTGTCTTGTTATGCTAGAATAGAAAAATCCAGACATTGCTCTGGTCAGTTGATCATCGGATCAAATCGAATGAATGCTAATATACCATATACTATCTTTCCAAGCTTGATAATTCTGACGACTTCAGTAAATATGTATGTATATTGAAGCAAGTACTTTAATAGTTATCATGGAATTTAATCTTGAAAGCATATCTCTTCACAATGGCAACTCTCACAAGCTAGCTCCGTATCCCTTAGCATAGCTTGCATCAAAAGTTTCCTTATTGACTGCGTATTCACGAATATAGTCCCTCTCAAGATCGTGCGTCCTCCGGCCAAGAAGAACAAGACTGTGCAATGGGGCTCCCATCTCAACAGTAGCCAACTCCTTGAGCGTACCAGAAACAAGCTGCTGATTGGCAGCACCAACTCGCGCCGCACCAACAGCTAAACTATCTGGTCCATAGATACCCCCTTGACGCTCTTCCTCGGTCTCTAGCATTTGTGCCGCACACTGCGCAACAGTCATGTAGCGCGGGGGCTCGAAGATGCGGCGTCCGCGCGCCATATTCTCCAGCGACTGCTCCTTGACCTTAATATCAAGCAGGACTAGTGTGTGTAGGCCAATCTGAATGTTCTCGCGCACACGGTCGTAGTACGACGATGGCTTCCAGGTTTCAGTGAAGAAGACCATGCTAACTGTTTGTCCGAAGTTGTACAGCTGGAGACCTGTGCAGCCGATTCCAGACATGATAGAGGCATTCGGGACGACTTTGGTCTCGATACCAAGTTCACGAGCACGGAGGACGAGATCGGTATGGGTTGTTGCACTGTGGTAGGATGGTGTCAGCTATACATCTTGTGGGTAAAGTGAGTAAAGACCGTACCCGAATGGGTCTCCCACTACTAGGAACACAATATCCACTTTGTCGCCGCCAGCTAGGATGTCATCGCTGCCGGTCTCGACTAGTTCGCGGTCTGCCTCGATGACGGGGCGGCCGTAGAACGCTTCCTACTGGTATTATGTTCAATCAGCCCATCTGCGCATGATATATGCAATAGTTCATTGGGATACAGCATTATGAGTATAGACTTGGAACCCAACTTACCAACTTTTCCTTATCGACAAGAAGAATACTTGTGTATGCCTCTAGATAGACTCTCTCGGCCCGCTTCACGATTTCTAGACCGCGGACAGTGATATCTGTCTCATCGGCGAGACCGAGACCAACCAGGTGAAGCATCTTGACCGTATAGTTCCTCGGTATGCAATTGAAGAAAATGCAATCGATCTCACTGTATAACAAACAGTTAGAAAAAAAAAGAATCACCGTGCCCCGCGATACTGGCAGAATGCTCCGCCACCGCCGGATCAAAGAATTACCGGTTATCGTTATCTCCCCCCAGATCGGCTTGTGCACGTCTAGAGCTCTGGGCATCCTCCTTGAGACCATCTTCACTGACTTTGCTTTGAATCAATCCAACAACGCCCATTATTCCTGGTTAAATACCAGTGGTAAGTACTTATATATATAGCCAAAGACATTTCCCCTGGTAGGGTGACCGCCATCATGAGCTCTGATCGGAATCCGAAGTATCGGCAGGAGATACAGCAAGTGAGTTCATCCCCGATCTCTGGTCCATTTTGCTTGTCGTTTTCGGTATCTCGGTCTTCCTGGCTCTCGAATATCTTGATCGTATGTCCTCGTCAGGTCCGTAAAGACCTCTGAGGATATGTGCCTATCGGCTGCCTTGGCGACACATCATACTTGCATGGCGCAAACACATTGCCTTTGGGCACAGGACCATAGTCATCTCAATCTCGATCCACCGAATTGTATGGGAAGAAAAAAATACTGGGAATTTTGGAGCTTTCTTCGATGTTAGCAAATATGATGTCCATGCACCGTCTGACTGGGTTTGCGGCACAATAACATGTGCTGCGGCCTATAACATGTGCTGCGGCCTATAACATGTGTTGCGAACGTACTCATTTGCTGGGATAACATCATGCATCCTTGTCGACTTCGATTTTTCATACTGAAGGTTGTTGCTGGGTCCATACACCTGTTCTCATACCATGTCGTGGTCCAGTTGGGCCTTTCAGCCTTGCATTGTTGGATTGTTGGCATGCGAACATCTTGACGACGAGCCAATACTATAAATTTCTGAAGTCCTCTCAGCAAATGTTCATTTGAATATGAAGACTTGACATTGAGCCAATGAGGAATACTGGGTTGAAGACCAATGACGATCTCAAGGTCCCAAGAGTTGAGAGCAATTGGAAAGACAAGTCGTGCCTTCTCTGCTCCATCCTGGTGTATTGGGGGGGTCACAAGGCTATCTCTTGTTCTTCGCCTTCTCTTTCAGTTTATCATCCTTCGCTACTCACGCGTCTTTTGGCATTGATTTTTTTCCATCACCCTTCGCCACCCACGCATCCTTTGGTATTTTATTTATTCTCCCACATTTGTCCAGCATTTTTTCCCCTATGGATCGCAGCTTGATGGCCGAGCACTGGCAACAGGCCCGGGAAACACGTGCGCGAAATGAGGAATACATGCAAGGCTATCCGCATGGGACCTCGAGTGATTCTGATATTACCTTGACTGATCCTGATATGGTCTCGAGTGATTTTGATATGTCTTTGAACGATCCTGATGATACCATGAGTGATTGGATCGTCAACTCTCCTGTCAATGCCTCTTCTCCCAATGCCTCTTCTTTCAATGCCTCTTCTTTCAATGCCTCTTCTTTCAATGCCTCTTCGTTCAATGCCTATCCACTCAATGCCTATCCACTCAATGCCTCTCCTCTCAATGCCTCTCCTCTCAATGCCTCCCCTGTCAATGCGCCTAGTGCAAATACAGACTCGGGTTTGGATATCTCCAATGATATTTCCATGGATGGTGTTGAAGATGTGTCTGGTGCGAATCAAGAGCACCTGTCGGACGATTCCAATTCAGATATCGTCATGGGGGAGTCCTCCGATGATGACCCCCAGCATCATCATATTGAAAAGGAAGAACTCCGTCGTCTCTGGTGTCTATTTCGATTGAGCTTCCGTATCTTCAACTCGCTCAGTATTCAGATTGACAGTGCCGCGACCAACAAAACAGTGGCTGAGACAACCCCATCTGGAAAGACTATCGAGAGCGAGGACGATTATGAGATGGTAGACGCAAACCTGTCTGGAGATTTCGCCGAAATAACCACGGAGACCCAGGAAGATTATGAGATGGTGGACGCCAACGTGTCTGAAGGTTCACCCGAGTAAAATATCCGAAAGCCAGGAAAATTATCAGATGATGGACCCCAACGTGTCTGGAGGTTCATCCGAGACAACTATCGAGAGCCAGGAAGATTATGAGATGGTGGACACCACCGTGTCTGAAGGTTTGCCTACTAACAACAATCTTAAGATGATGTTCGTCTCCGGAGAGACAGCAGAACCGTCCCCTGAGACCACTACTTTGATTGAAGAAATTACCCGCCAACAAGTGATCGAAATTGTGAGTAGTAGTCCCTCTGCCTGGAAGCTCTTGTCACTAATGATCAAATAGCTTAGCCGTAGCACGGCATTGGCAACTCGCCGCGGAGTTCGCTCGATCTCTACCGATGACCTGATTTTCTTGATTCGCCATGACAAGGCCAAGGTTTCCCGTCTGAGAACCTTCCTTTCCTGGAAGGACGTCCGCAAAAACGTCAAGGACTCTGATGACAAGGGTGGTGGTGACGCTGCCGACTTTGCTGCCGCCGACGATGCGGCTGGTGTTGTTGCAGGCCCCCAGGACGTTGCCCCCAAGCCCAAGAACAAGCGCGCCAAGGTCGGACTTGCATGGGATGTCAACAGTTTCTACTCAGTTCAGGTCCCCGAGCGTGAAGATGAAGAGGACGAAGAAGAGGAGGAGCAGAACTATGCGACTCTCCAGCGTCTTGCCGCCGCTGATGAACGTACCCGCAACATGACCAGAGAGGAGTATGTCTTTTGGTCCGAGTGTCGCCAGGCTTCCTTCACCTACCGCAAGAGCAAGCGTTTCCGCGAATGGGCAGGCTTCGGCATTGTGACCGAATCAAAGCCAAACGACGACATCGTGGACATCCTTGGATTCCTCACATTCGAGATCGTCCAGACCCTGACCGAACAGGCACTCAAAGTTAAGGAGGCCGAGGATAATGAGAAGCACCGTCGTGGTGGCGCTGAAGCTGGTGAGAACCTCAAGAAGCGCAAGCGTGAGACCGGTCTATTCGACCCCCCTGAGGAGGGGCGCACACCTATTGAGCCTCGACACGTTCGCGAGGCCTACCGTAAGCTGCAGGCTACTCCTCAGAAGTCGATCGCTATGCTGTTGCACAATGGCCGTGTTCCTCCCCGCCAACCTCTTGCTTTGGTGAGTCATAAATTTTCACTGTATGTTCTTATGCTAACAAGCTCACCAGATTTAAATGTTCGCTCACCTGAGGATCAATTTCGCATTGATCTCCTTTCATTAATTAGGCGCATGGCAGCGGGAGTTTGCGGGCGATACCCAATTTTGTCTTGTTTGGTTTGTGCATTTGGTGGCGGTTTCAAGATTTTTTGTTTCTTCTGGATTCACCTTTTGTTTAATTAGTTCAATGTAGCACCTTTGCTTTTGCTTTTGCACTGTTTCTTTGGCCTAATTGATTACTCTGCGGTATTACATTTAGTCTAGGGTAGGTATAAGTGTTGGGGTTGAATCATGCCTCGCCATGTTATCCGACGCCTTATAGTTGGGACACTTCCCCGTGTAGATGAGCTGAGAGTGAGCAGTAGATAATCAAATATGGGAGCTAGATTAATTTATTTTTGTCTAACTATTTCATCTAGCTGGACGGATTAAGCACAAGTTAGAGAGACCTTTATTTGACTATGTGCTCCGTATATAGAAACTTGAACTTGATAAATGTAAAGATCTGGATTGCTTCCCCATGCTGCAAGGCACAATGGGAGACCTAGTGAATTGTGGGTATACCTAGTACATCTTCAAACCATTGGTCATTTCCCAAATCCATAGACTGCATCCAGATCATCTGATCTAGATCGGGGATATGGCTATTGTGAGAGTCACCCTGACATGGCCTAGTATCATCGTGTGTCTGAGAAGACATGTTCCACCGAGCTTCACCCCACACCTGACATTTGGATAAAAGCTTGGACAAAAACTTCAGCAAATGGTCATTGCACTGGAGTTCCGGCTCCTTGCTGCTTAGATCGAGCTTCTGAATCATACAATCCATCGTCGATATTAGGTGAACTGTGTTTCGCACCGCTTGGCAATCCCATTCCGGGTCTTTGAGTGTTGAAAGGTACTTCAAGAGTGTGATACTCAGAATCATCTGTGACCAAAAGTGAAAGGGCTGACCGACAAGTTTTGAGCCAGGGATTTTGTAGAAATTGTCCAGCCATGATTTGATATTCTCAACTGACTGCCACAAACAATCAAGTCGTTCGAATCCTAGTAGAATCCCACCGTTGCCCCTTCGTCCAGCTAAATCTAGAGGTGCATCTTGACTGATAGAATACGCCAGCTGGTTGATGTATAATTCGACATATTGCGCATGTGTGTTGAGAATGTCTGCAGTTCAGCCGAGGTGGAAGAATTAGCTATTTTGTAGCGAAAGTAAATTGCAATGTACTTTACCCGAGAAAGCTCTTACCGATCTGTTGAAGATCCGCGCGGAATGAAGATCTTAATTCATGCAGCTCCCTTCGTAAAGTTTTCAGATATAATATGCGAGGTACAGAGGCCGCTGGAGCTGTTCCTGTGCGAGCAGAATTTGACTCGTCTTGCTGTCGGACGTCATCTGCTCTCTGCTTCAACAGCTGCAAACGTACTTGGGCAACGAACAATTCATCGGCGGCGCATGCCTTGTTCATTGTGATGAGTTGAAGTGCCTCTTCCATGTGTGGAGTCCATCGTATAGCATCTTGACGCCCAAGGTGTGACGAAACACTACACATAGTCATACGTCAGTATACTTTGGCCCACAGAGTTATTATAGTAATCAAGTTAATAAAAAAAACAAGGAAGACCATGCGCACTTGGAACTCAAAATGAAACATGCCAGTACCGCCCGTTGCCCTTCCAATACGCTGTAGGGCGTTTCATTGCCAGTGCTGTTACCATCTTCGTCATCCCGTCCCTGGGTAATAGTCATCATGACTTTGACGTCTGGCGAAGATGGCTTGAATAACCGTAGATCATATACTAGTGAGATGGCGAGCATCATGAGACGAGAGATTAGGTCTGCCCTGCCAAGAAAGGCGTCGGTACTCCATGCTAGATAACTTAGCAAGCCAAGTAGCAGGTCTATATTTGACTCGACTTTGATGAAAGCGGATGTGAACAGAATACGCTTCAGTTCCTCAACTTGAGTTAATCTTTCCTGTGTCGAGAACGTCGTAACCGTGTGAATGGCTTGGAACAAGAATGGCCTGTTTTGGCGGAGATACCAGCTCGTCATATCTGGGGTAAGGTTGATGAAAGGGAAAAATGGCAGCATTCGAGATCGAAAGAAATTGAGCCGTTCTTCTGCCTGATTTGGAGATGGGACAGAGGGAGATAGAGGATAAAGATGAGACATAAAGGGTGGATTTGGATTCACTGATCCTGTGGTAACAGAGTCCGCTGAGTATGTAAGTCCCTCATTGAAGCCCAGATTAGTGCTCGTAGGGTTTATCAGAGTGCTAGTTGAATAAGAGGCTGACGAAATGCTGTCACCGTTGAGAGAAGGGGTTTGTAGAATTTTGACCGAAGACCCAGAACCATTTGTGGAACCGATGAAAGATTGCATAGCAGATAACAAGCTCTCCATTTTGTCCTCTAGACGAGCGATGCGCGTATCGGACACATCGGCTGAGGTTGTTTGAATGTTACGCTTCCGAGCTGACTCTGATGGCTCACACCTTTTCCCAAGGCGAATACATCTAGTCAATAATTAGCTTCATGTCAAAGAGCAACAATTCGGTATCAATCACTTTTCGCAATCATTGCCATTTGCAGTACGCACACACCGGGACTTTGCCTTGTAGCAATGGATGCAAGCCTGGCCATAGGTGCTAGTTTGCCCGGGAGTTGGTTTCGATTTCTCCATAGTCATAGCGACTGCAACATATGATCAGGATATCCTAACTGATGGCATAGAGATTCTTGGGGCTTCAAAGATACCTTGTTTATTGAACGGAGTTGAACGGAGATAACTCCGTCGGGGTTACTAAATGTTCCGTCTTACATTGTGAGATGCCGTCGGATTTAACCCGAAGTCCGTTGACATTCCGGTATTACTTTTCAGATATTTCCTTATGTTATTTTCCTTTTATAGACATTTCCTCTTGCGGTGTTAGAGGCCGATCATTCTAGGGAAAATGATACTGAAGGCAGCCAAAACGTCCATCTCCCCTCGACGTGAACAAATTCTCACTAGACGAGACATTGATAGACAAAGACGAGGGATACAATAAGTACGAGCAAGAGACTAAATTGAAGACTTGCAGATCGACACTCGGAGCATCAATGTCAGAAAGGCGGATGAAGCAAAAGCCACGACTAACCGAGAGCATAGCCTTATTCATAGAAGCCCAATGACTCAGAAGCAATCCGACTTGGGTTTGCAAGGGAGATAGAGGGACCGCAAGCCTAGGTATGGCTTGCATCTAGATCTCAGTTTCCAGATTATATGTCTCAGAAGGTAGAACTGCTCACTGAGGTAACACCAATAAACAGACGGACAGACATTGCTACACTATGATCTATCTTGTTGATCCCGGGAACAAAGATGGAATGATATGCCATTCGGATTAGAATGAACTGTCCAAGTTGGCGTAGCGCCTCAATCGGACTTCAGTCCTCTGAATACCGAGTAAATTCCGTTGTATGCACTCGCCTTGTAACCCCTGGACTTTTGTGAGCTTTTAAGTACTATCGAGGCAATAGGTGTACATATAACTCCGCTGAGGTATTTGGCTTGTTTCACTTTTGCTTCGGTTCCTTCAAGTTCCTATACACACCGTCCCCTTTAATCCACCCTACTTCGTCTTGCCTATCGGCCTTGTCCGTTCACAGAAATGACACCACTGAATCAGGCGGCTTGGATACCCGCAAAAAAGGTCCTGCCATTCAAGGTCGGCGATGCTCCCTACACTCGCCCTGGCTCGGGCCAGGTCGTGGTCAAGAATTCCGCCGTGGCCATTAACCCTTTCGACTGGGTATTGCAATACATTGGCCCAGCGCTTGCTGGTTATATTAAATATCCCTTCATTTTTGGCACGGACGTTGCTGGAGAAGTAGTAGAAGTCGGCCCCGATGTCGAGCGTTTCCACGTGGGCGACCGAGTCTGCGGTAGTGCTGTCGCCATCGCGAAAGAGGTCAACCGCTCTGCCGAGGGAGCTTTCCAGCTCTATACAGTAATGCGACAAAATATGTTGACGTCGATTCCCCCAAGCATCTCCGATGAACAGGCCTGTGTCTTAGGACTAGGCCTCGGAACTGCAGCGTACGGCCTCTTTCACCCGGATTATTTGGGTCTCGACATGCCTAGGATTCCGGTACCTACCAATGTTGTGGGAAAGTCAGGCTTGCCGCGAACTGTCATCATCACTGGCGGTGCTTCAAGTGTTGGTAGCAACGCCATACAGCTTGCTGTGGCCGCTGGCTACCAAGTCTTGTCTACGTCATCTCCCAAGAACTTTGACTATGTCAAGGGCCTTGGTGCCACTGGAGTCTTCGACTACAAGAGCAAAACGTTGGTCAAAGATCTACTCCACGCTCTGAAAGACCAGGAGATGGCCGGTGCCTACACAATTGGCAATGGTGCCGTCGAGGCCTGCACTGCGGTTATGAGGAAACACGATCCTAAACTCACCAGGAAGTTCATTGCCGTGGCCGGCGCCATCATACCTGCCGACAAACTCACGACATTTGTCGGCAAAGGCACGTACTTGATGGGCATGATGGGCGGGATGATTAAATCAGCTGGGACGCGCATCAGAACCGGGGTGGAAGCCAAATTTATCCTTGTCGATGGCCTAGTTGACCCTGAGAGCGTCGTCTCTCATATCTACATGGGATTCCTTCCACAGGCACTTGAACAGGGCCAGTTTGTGCCAGCCCCCCCACCGTATGTTGTGGGCAAGGGGTTGGACAAGATCCAAGAGGCTCTCCATATCCAGAGAAAGGGTGTGTCGGGAAAGAAACTTGTTGTGACGCTTTAGCTTAGTGAAGGAAGATGTCTAGTGTCAGGGATGGACTTAATCAGGGCAGTACGGGATATGGATTGTATATTTATGCAATATGCATCTTAGAAAGAATAAAAACAATATTTGAAACCCACAGTACTCCGTACAGAGACTACCTGACAATACTAGTATGTTAGGATAAAGCTCAAAGTAGCCTTCTATACGAATATCCACTTCGGATTATAGCACTCTCTATATATTAATTTACAGTGCTATAGAATGCGCGCAATTTAGAAATTCTCATATGAGGACTTGGACTGAAATAAGCTTCGGATTTCGAAAGAAGACTCCGAGTCAACCTACTACACACTCCGGCCAAGTCCGCATAGTTGAAAGGAAGCCCCTGATCGATTTCGGATTTCGGAGGCAAGGTCCGCTTCATTTTATACTAAGAGGCGGAATCTGAGATATAGGTACAGTGAATTTATAATCAAAATTCGAATAAAAAGAACGTGGCTCCAGTATATCTTGATCAAGATCTAGTCAAAACTATTATACCAGGTCCACAAGTACTTCACCAGCAGCACTTAACTAGCCCTCTTTCTTGCAATGGCCAAGACAAAACTGTCGACTCTGGATGAGCCTCCTGTAGACTCATCCGGGACTTCGCAGAACCACTTGGTGGAAAAGCAAGACGGTTCCGAGATCAGTGCCCCTAGCGATGACGCGGAGCTCAAGCGCGAATATCCTTCGGGCCTGGCGGTCACTTTTATCCTGACATCAGTTACTCTTGCCTATTTCCTATTCTTCCTTGATCTTGCCGTGATCTCCACAGCCACTCCAGCCATTACCTCCCAGTTTGACTCGTTGGTGGACGTCGGTTGGTGAGTACATAACCCCATTTATAGGCTCTGCCATGACTGGTGTTTGTCTTTTGCAAGATGCTAATCTATTCTAGGTATGGCGGTGCCTACCAGCTTGGAAGTGCAGCATTTCAGCCCTTGACCGGCAAGTTTTACAGCCGATTTTCTATCAAGGTACATCTTACGTATCGTGACCAGAAATCAACTTCTAACAAGATCATTATGTAGTGGACATTTCTTGTCTTCTTCATCATCTTCGAAGCAGGCTCTGCCATATGTGGAGCAGCTCATTCGTCGGCCATGTTCATCGTCGGCCGTCTCATTGCCGGTATTGGGTCTGCTGGAGTGGCCAACGGCGCAATGACAACCATTTCTACGGTCCTCCCAACACAGAAACAGGCGCTTTTTATGGGACTCAATATGGGCATGGGGCAGCTGGGTCTTGCGACAGGGCCCATCATTGGAGGCGCATTTACTACGAATGTCTCGTGGCGGTGGTGTATGTTATTCCATTCCTTACATTTGAGATCTTCCAAGGCTAAATACTTTTGCGTTAGGTTTCTATATTAACCTCCCTTTGGGTGCTATTATCGGCGGATTCCTTTTATTCAACACAATCCCCGAACCAAAACCCAAGGATCCGCCTCTTCAGGTTCTTGGCTCTGCTATCAAATCTCTAGATCTCCCAGGGTTCATGCTCATTTGCCCTGCGGTCGTCATGTTCCTCTTGGGGCTCCAGTTTGGCGGTAATGAATATGCGTGGGACAGTTCAGTTGTGATAGGCTTGTTGGTCGGCGCTGGAGCTACCTTTGCTGTCTTCCTTGTCTGGGAGTGGCATCAAGGGGACAATGCCATGGTGCCACTTGCCATGCTCAAACACCGAATTATTTGGTCGTCTGCAATGACAATGTTTTTCAGCTTGTCTAGTGTTCTTGTGGCTGATTTCTACATTGCAATTTATTTCCAGGCAATCCACGACGACACTCCTCTGATGAGCGGTGTTCACATGCTCCCAATCACACTTGCTATGGTTCTATTTACCATGATATCCGGCACCCTGAGTAAGTGCCTCTATTCGCAGCTTTTCGTCTCTCTTAAAACCCTTTGTTTACTGATCATTGCTGACACTGAGAAGTTTCCGTTTTGGGCTATTACCTCCCATTTGTTCTTGTGGGGAGTGTGGTATCATCTATTGGCTACGGACTTCTGTCGACATTGGGAGTTACGACTCCAGCTGCAAAATGGATTGGGTATCAGATTCTCTACGGTGTTGGAAGTGGTTGTACAACTGCAGCCGTAAGTTTGACTCTTAACTAATGACCCTGTCAACTGACCTGTGTCTTTGATTCAGCCCTATATCGCTATACAAAACCTCGTGGCCCCAGAGCAGATTCCTCTTGCCATGGCTATTATCATCTTCTGGCAAAACATAGGTGCCGCCACTTCTCTAATTGCCGCGAATGCCATCTTCAGCAACAGTCTTCGTTCGGAGCTTCAGAAACGCGCTGAACAGATTAGCCTCTCCCCAGATGCCATCATCAATGCTGGAGTCCGCTCCATCCGTGACCTGGTACCTGGCTCCGAACTAACCGCTGTTCTAGCAGCCTACACTAAGAGCGTTGACAAGGTCATGTATCTTGGTATTGCTGTCAGCGTCGCCGTCTTGATATTTGCTCCGGGACTTGGATGGAAGGACATTCGGAAGGTCAAGGAGCTTCAGGTCATTACTGACGAGTCTGCTGGGAGGGATGATAAAGATTTGGCGGTGGCTGGCAAAAAGTAGGGTCGTTGATGAGCAGTGACTTGGGAATACTATATTCATCCTTCTTTATATCATCTTCGGCCGATGCGGTTGGATTCGTTTTCGGCACTATCAATTCTTGCGCCCCTTTCAGGAGCCAACTGGTTGCTTTGATGAATCCAATCGATGGCTATAGCAAGAAGCTAGGTTCCTGTTCATGGCCTAGAGAGGCTACTTTGTCTGATATGTTCCACTGTCGTTTTCATTGGGGGATTGTATTGCTTTATACGAAAAACCTCGTCCGGACAGTTTATACAACATTTAATATTACTATTTCGTCGCTTTTTTGACTGCACTATAGCAATTTCTTTTCCGTACATAAATTTTGACTGATAATCCTTATTCTAACGCTCATTGACACACTCAATCACGTTTTCAACCCCATTTCCAGCTCCCCATATTTCAACAATTTTCAAGCCCGCTTTCCTCTCAATCAAGTCGTACCACGCTGCGGTAGTGCGTTCTTCGGAAGAGAATAGGGTCAGCATCATCATATCGAGTCCCGTAGCTTCCCAATGGGCACCAGTGTCCGGTATAACGTTCTCATTGATCAATAGTTTGCTATATCCGGGCTTCATGGCTTCTTTTACTCGCGCAAGTATGCTTTCACATACATCGTCCGACCAGTTATGTAGTGTCGAGTGTATATAATACGCACGAGCTCCTGGCGATAGTATAAGTAACATTGTTGGAAATTGATAGAGTTAGAACGAAATGAGGGACCTTTGAACTCTTACCTTTAATGGGCTGCTCATGATGGAAGTCATACTCCATTCGAACTATAGCCGGATCTAGATCCTTAATTTGTTGTATCATCATAGGCAAATCTTGAAGGATTAATTTTCCGGGAGCATTCGGATAGCGACTGTGGAATCGCGCCAAATCATGGCCCACGTTGCCGCCAATGTCCACGAGAAATGATGCATCTGGGCTAGAATCGGCCCCATCGATAAGTTTCTCCTTCACAGGATAGACACAGGGGTCCATCCACCATGGGCGACCTATGTTGTAGCCACCAAGATAATCATTAAGATGTTTTCCATAGCCCAAATCATGCACCCAGGAGAATATGTCCTTGTCAGTACTATAGGCATACATCAGAGATGTGTCCTGACAATCTGTCGGATTTACCCAACCCCGCTTTCGGGAAAACTCGTGGAATTTCAAGGTGCCTGCACCGGTGGCAGCGGTACTAAGCGGGTGATAAGAGGTATTAGTTGTACCATTACCTTGTAGAGTCTGACATAAGGTCAAGCGAGCACTTACAGACCAAGATACCCATGCCCAAGCTGAGGAAGGCTCAGCGCCTTGGTATAGTTTGTGGTCCTGTATTCATCTTCACTAGTTTCAACGAGCAGTCCCATAGCACAGACATGTCGCATCAGACGACCTAGAATACAGTCAACTAGAGTATCGGAACTTATTATGCGAGACTCACCGAGAAGTTTAGGGTCGACCCCAAGGCTCACAGCCAAATCGGTTACCTTCTGGGGTTCATCGCCATTTTGAGCCATCAACACCCATAATCCCGAGTCCACGCCGAAACCTATAGCAGCGATTGCACCCATCTATTATATCACTTATTCTGGTCGGACAATAACATTTGAATAGCACTTACCTGTCCCCAGCAGTGGTCAGCCATCGTTTCACGAGGAGTCTCAAGAGCTCGAGTCAAAGCTCGACACTTGACTAACAGATCCTTGCGGTCCTCATCAGTTCCAGTAGTTAGACTATCGACGCCTTTGATAACCTCCTCCAGCAAGCCAGGGACTGCCTCAGCCATGCTTGGACGCGTGACGATAAGGAGGTCAACAGGGCAGGAAGTATTCTTTTCGTTCTGGTCTGCCATGCTAATGAATGAGGGAGGTGAAACTGAAGGGGTTGTTGGTTGGAATGGATGAATAGGTGTGGGTATACTCCTATTCTAACATCAAAGATTTTACAACACATTATTCTTGCTCTCTTCATATAGTAAAATCAAACACAGCAGTCAATTCGAGTGTTGAGCCGTATCACCTAAATCATATCTTTTCCCTAATCCACGACTATTTACATATGTAGTGACTAAAGTAAAAAAAGACTGCCATACCGGAAACTCTGGATTCTAGTGATACAGGACGTAATTTATAAATACGGAGACCTCTTTCTGACGCGTACGCCGAAGGGTCATAGGCTAGAAAGATATTAGGTATTAGCTACACATGAATTTGACAGATCAGCGAGGTCCACTGATTGATTTCAACCTCGGTGGCCTCGCTCCATGGCTTGAGGCTCAAGGCGTATCCGTCATCCCATAATATTGCACCTCGCATTTTGTTATCGTCTCGCATAGTTTATTCCAGTTACGCATTACGTTTACTATGAATTGAATGTGGCTCAGGACACAAATCAATATTATTACTTTCCTTTATACTATGATAAGAATTCAAGAATAGTGGGCCACATAAGCGGCCTTGGGAAATGGTCATTTGCAATTATAACTTGTGATGAATAAAATTGGGCAAGACAAGGGTGACATGAACAGTTACTGTCTATTACCCCCGTGGTACAATTGCGTGATACTATGCGAGGTAGCCCAGAAATCCTGGTTTAGATACGCAAGTTGTGTAACTGTACTCCAAGCCTAACACGCCTATTGAGTATGTTAGGGCATACCAGCACAGGGAGGTTTGCGCGCTCGTAGTCAATAAACCAAGTCGGAAAGTGCCGGAGTGTGTAGTTGCACAACACAAAGTGTAACATGGCATATGATATAAAATGGCTTTGTTGGAAGAATTTCCCGAACCATCTAGCCAATGTGGGACGCGCCACCATCACAAGGCAAAAGACCTTATAGACACGTATGTATATAAAGCTATTTAGATATGAGAAATAAAGAGAGCCCATTATTATACTTCACAGTAATTAGCATATCGAAGAAAGGTGGTCAATCATCTCGGCAATGTCACTTGTGGAGCAGAATGAATGTGTAGATGTCAAATTGACAGACATCGGGATAATGACACCAATAGATCTAGAAAAGATTTGGGAATGGAACAAGGTATATCCAGAACCGATTGATCGATGCGTTCATGAGATCTTCGAAGAGAAAGCTCAAGACCAGCCTAATGCAGTTGCTATCTGTGCCTGGGATGGAGACTTACTGTACGGCGAACTGGATGAACTTGCTACAAAATTAGCAAACCAACTCATCAAATTGGGAGTTGGACCTGGCGTATTGGTACCTCTCTGCTTTGAGAAGTCGGTGTGGACGACAGTTGCCATGCTTGGGGTGTTTAAGGCAGGTGGTGGATTTGTAATGCTTGATACCTCATTCCCGGAATATCGTCTCCATCTCATCGTCCAACAAGTTAAAGCAGACCTTATTTTGTCTTCTGCATCAAGCCAGGCACTCAGCTCACGATTGGCTCGAAATGTGGTTCCCATCGATCGAACATTTTTCAACTCGAATGTTCAAGCGGATCCGCGACTTCCCCAAGGTTGCCCGTCCTCCGTCATGTATCTGAATTTTACATCAGGCAGCACAGGAACTCCAAAAGGGTACATTGTGTCCCATCGCAATTTTGCATCAGCTCTCTACCACCAGGCGCAACATCTCGGATTTACGAAAGAATCGAGGGTCTACGACTTTAGCCCATACAGCTTCGATGCATCAATCAGTCATACTTTTACAGCTCTCGCTGCAGGAGCATGCTTATGCGTACCAATGGAGCAAGATCGGATGAACAACCTGGCTCAGAGCATAACGTCTCTGCGTGCAAATGTTGCTGCTCTTACACCCTCCGTTGCCCAACTGCTGGACCCTAAGGATACCCCTACACTACAGTCGATTCATTTCCTTGCTGAACCTTTATACCTTAAGGATGTTAGCCGCTGGTGGGGAAAAGTCCAAGTTCTCAACATATACGGGCCAAGTGAGTGCACTCCATACAGTGTCATCAATAGCCACGCGTCCTGTCCACAAGAAGTCACTCGAATAGGTATTGGGGCTGGCCAGGTGACATGGGTCGTCAATCCAGATAATCCAGATCACTTACTTCCGCTCGGTAACATCGGCGAGCTAATTCTAGAAGGGCCACTTGTGGGTGAGGGGTATTGGAATGATCCGGAGAGGACATCAATGGTGTTTATCCGAGACCCAGTGTGGTTGAGACGAGGAGCTTTGGGACATCCAGGACGGCATGGACAACGTCTCTATAAAACAGGAGATCTTGTTCATTATAACGAGGATGGAAGCTTGACATTTGTCGGACGCAAAGATACGCAGATTAAGATTCACGGACAGCGAGTCGAGCCTGGAGAAGTCGAGCACTTTTTGCAGGAACACATGACAGAAGCAAAGAAAGTCATAGTAGATATTGTTATTCCGAAAGAGGAGAACCCAAGTCCGGTATTGGCAGCTTTCATTCAAATTTGCCAATTTTCACCAAACTGCAAACAGCTGGAATCTACGTGCATCGCAGAGATACTTGATATTTCCACCGATATCAAGGTCATGCTAGACCAGCACCTACCAGGCTATATGGTTCCCAGTATATTCTTCTCTATACGGGAACTACCTACGACGGTGGCAGGGAAACTGGACCGAAGAAGACTACGTGAGATTGGCACTTCGTGTTTTCATCAATTCATGGAAAGGGAAAAGCAAATGCCAAAACCAAAACCAAATTCACATCTCGGAATACAGCTACAGAAGATATTGGGCAAGGTTCTGGCCATTGACCCGGCGCTGGTAGGATACGAAGATAATTTCTTTCGGTTAGGAGGAGACTCGATTGCTGCAATGCGGGTTGTCTCCGAAGCTCAAAAGGCTGGAATTGGCCTCACAGTCTCAGATATCTTGCGGTATCCTGCACTAGGTAGCCTAGTCAGCCGCTGCCATCATGTGGCTGACAAGGCCGCTGACAAGATTCCGCCTTTTGCCCTTCTAAGGGACAGTTTCGACAAGAAATTGCTTCTTCAGGAAATTGCAATTAAGTATCAACTAGATCCCGCCATCATGGAAGATGCCTACCCGTGCACTCCTCTTCAAGAAGGTCTCCTATCCCTGTCCTTAAAGCATCCTGGGGAATACATGATCCAGCGCACTTTGGAACTGCGTTCCACCATCCAAACAAGTTACTTTTGTCGAGTATGGGAAAAAATGGCTCAGAATATACCAATCCTACGCACAAGGATTGTGCAGTCCAGCGACATGGATCTCTTGCAGTTGGTATTGAACGAAGAAATTCAGTGGACTCATACAATGGGGTTGAGCGAGTATCTTGAAGTGGATAAAAAACGGCCAATGGAGCTTGGGCAACCTCTTGCACGTTACACCATCGTCACAGATGATACAGGCATACGCCGATGGTTTGTGTGGACGCTTCATCATGCATTGTACGATGGCGAGTCACTGTCGCTCATGATAGACATGGCTAGTCGAGGGTACCATGGTACCTTGACAAAGCCAAAGCACGAGTTCAAAGCGTTTGTCAAGTATATCGACGAACAGGACAATGACAAGATATCTGACTACTGGCACAACGCTCTTGTGGACTGTGACTGTACCCCCTTTCCGGCGCTTCCGGCTTCTGTGCGGCGGCCAGGAGCAGACGGCGATATAACTCACCAAATACCATGGCTCAACAAACAGCCACGAGATGTTACAATCACAACGCTTGTTCGTGCTGCCTGGGCTCTGCTTGCTAGCAGCATGACAAACTCGAAAAGTGTGGTGTTTGGTATCGCTACATCAGGACGCGGTGCCCCTGTTATCGGTATCGACAAGCTGGTAGGCCCAACAATCGCAACTGCTCCATTGTATATCAAGATATTGAAATCCCAGAGGGTTCGGGACTACCTAGCAGCCGTGCAGCACCAAGCAACGGAGATGATTCCTTTCGAACAGTTCGGCTTGCATCGAATCTCTAAAGCATGCCCCGGGGCACAGCAGGCATGCATGTTCCAGACACTTCTTGTTATCCAATCGCAAGAAAGCATAAAGTCAGACAGTACGCTTGGGGTGTGGGAAGAAAGCTATGAACCGGAATGGGTCAATACATTTGCACTGGCGCTCGAATTGCAAATTGACATGAAGAGGATCAACGCTAGATTTGACTCCAACGTGATCAAGCCATGGATTGTGCAGACAATGCTAGAAGGGCTCGACTTCGTGATGAAACAACTTGATACCGCAGGATCCCAACAGAGCATAGCAGAGATCGAGTTAGTCACGCCCCGAAGTTTAGAACAAATATGGGATCGGAATCATACTGTCCCAATGGCTGTGAAAGAATCAATTCACCATATGATTGAGAGACAGATAGAGGATCAGCCGATGGCAACGGCTATATGCGCGTGGGATGGACAGCTCACATACGGTGAATTAGATCGACTTTCCACGACGGTAGCAGCCCAGATTGTCAAATTCGGGATTGGCCCGCACCTACTAGGGCCGCACATTATGGTGCCACTATGCTTTGAGAAGTCCAAGTGGGCAATAGTGTCCATACTTGGTGTTCTAAAGTCTGGCGCAGGTTTTGTCTTACTTGATCCTTTCCTCCCTGAACCCCGACTACAGTCAATACTCAAAAGGCTGGGCTCGAAGTTGTTGTTATCCTCTCAATCCAGCATGGATTTAAGCTGCAGGCTGTCAGACATGGTGATTCAGATTGGTCCAGACTTATCGCAGATCTCGAGTGCTATCTCGAGTCAGACTACGAGTTCCATGCCACTATTGCAACCATCCTTGGGGGCAATGTATGCAGTTTTCACTTCCGGCAGTACCGGAGCGCCTAAAGGGGTGTTGGTGTCGCACGAGAATTTTTGCTCCGCTGTACACTATCAGTTAGGGCTTCTGGGCTTTACCAGGAAGTCTAGGGTCTTAGATCTCGCATCATACGCTTTTGACGCCGCGATCCACAATACTATAGCCACATTGGTTGGCGGGGGATGTCTATGTATTCCTTCCGAAAAGGATCGAAACAATAACATTAGCGACATTATGGCCATCATGCGGCCTACAATTGTCAATCTGACACCAACGGTAGCACGTCTGCTAGAACCGGGGATGGTGCACGATCTTGAGACTTTGATTTTACTTGGCGAGCCAGTCATGACCAGAGATATTGAGCGATGGCAGTCGCACAAAATCCAGATCATCAACGCCTACGGGCCAGCTGAATGCACACCAATCAGCACGATTCACACTTTTGGTTCCAGCACAAATGCCATTCGAATAGGAAAAGGCGTGGGCTTGGTAACATGGATTGTTGACCCAGAGGACCAAAACCGCTTGTCACCACCAGCATGCACCGGTGAACTACTGCTTGAAGGTCCGCTTGTTGGGAACGGCTATATGGGGGATCTGGAAAAGACCGCCGAAGCGTTTATCGAAGACCCCGAATGGCTACTGAAGGGTTCAAATGCTCAACCAGGGCGCCACGGCCGTCTTTATAAAACAGGTGATCTGGTTCAGTATGACGAAGACGGAAGTCTAATATTTGTAGGGCGCAAAGATAGCCAAGTCAAGATTAGAGGGCAACGCTTCGAGCTTGGGGAAGTCGAACACCATATTTTGAATTGTTTGCCAAAAGGGAGTCAGGCTGTGGCTGAAGTCCTTGTGCCTGAGAGCGAAATAAATGCTAGACCGGTGTTGGTGGCTTTCATCCAAGTGAGTGGGAACGACATTCAGGCCAACGAAAGATCGACTTTGACAGCCAAGATATACCCCATGGAGGATGAAGTCAAAAGGCAGCTGGCACATAATCTACCGAGCTATATGGTGCCGACAGTACTTTTCTCTCTCCTTGAGCTGCCTCTAACTGCCACAGGAAAGACAGATCGGAGACGACTTCGTGAGATCGGCCAGGAATTGCTCTTATCTGAGGGAAACAGAGCCTTCGAAACGTCTAAAAAGTCTCTTGAAGATCCATGCAGTAGACCAATATTGCAGACTGAGCATTCAGCATACGCTCTAGCTCGCAAAGTACATTGCATGCGTCCCTCATGGGCCCAGGATAATCTTTTATACAGAGAAGATGAATCACAGCACCAGCACACTGAATTCAATGATGTCTTTTTACACTCGTCAGGTTTAGACTCATTGGACATGATGGAACTCTTGTCTTTCATCTCACAGAAATTCCATATTCAAGTTGAAATGCAGCTTTTGATGGACAAATCAACCAGTATTAGGAGTCTGTCTGAACATTTGGTCGATTCTCAGGCGTTTAGTGCTGAGGATTACCCAGTTCGACTCTCTTCAAGTCGTTCTTTGGAATCAATTGACCTCATGGCTGAAATCTGCCGGCATAATTCTAAACTGTTGAGTGCCCAACAGAGAATAGCGAGCTATAACAAAACAGCGGGCAATGGTCTGCCGATGAAAAGAGATAAGAAATATTCCACCGTGCTCTTGACTGGCGCCAGCGGGTTTATCGGTACTCAAGTCCTACGCCAGCTCCTCGAACACCGCTATGTTAGTCGTGTCATTTGTCTTGTACGTGGTGATACCGATGAAGCAGCCAGACACCACACCATTGATAGAGCCGTGAAAGCGCTCTGGTGGACTAATCACCACGCAGAGAAATTAGATGTCTGGCGGGGCGACCTATCACTGCCAAATCTGGGGCTTGGTCCAACACGCTGGGATTCACTAGCCAGTAGCCAAGCGGTCGATAGTATAATCCACAGCGGCACCACAGTGCACTGGACAAAGAGCTACAAAGTCCTAGAGGCCACCAATGTTGGCTCAAGCATAGAGCTGTTACTCCTCGCCATAGGTGTTCCCCACATGAGATTCCTCTATGTTACGGGTGGTCGACCTTGGGACTCACACGAAGAGCTGGATGTTGCGGAAGAGCTCTCAGCCACCGATGCCATCGCATATAGTCAGACTAAGTTTGTCGCTGAGGCTGTAATCAAGCGTGCGGCGCGGCGTGACGCATCCAAGACCAACCGGATTGCTGCTTTAAACCCAGGATGGGTCATTGGTACACCAACCGAGGGCTTTTCAAATCCTAATGACTATATCTGGCGGCTAGTGGCGACGTGTATCAAAATCGGGGCGTACAACGCTACTGATGCGGACGGGTGGCTTTCCATATCCGACGCCACGACCACAGCGACGGCGATCGTTGATGCGGCATTGGAGGGGAAAATGAAGACGGTGGGTGAGAAGCCCGTGGATGGCATCACATGGATGGAGCTTTGGGCGATCATTCAGGGCTTGGGTTATAGGCTGCAGGCTAAAGAAATGGCAGAATGGCTAGCTCTTGTCCGTGCTGACATTGAAGCTACAAGGGAGAAGCATCCCCTATGGCCACTAGCACACATGATCGAGAGCTTACAGAAAGATAGACGTGTCGTAGGTAGGTCGTGGGAGAAGCGTGGTAGCACACCGTTACAATTGAAAGTCGCTATAAGGAAGAGCACCGAGTTCCTTGTGAAAGTCGGCTTTTTACCTACGCCTTCAGCTCAGAATCAAGAGATGAAATCTTAGTCCAATGTATCGACTTGAAGCCAACAGTACGAAGCAGCAAGGCCATTTGGGAGGGACAATGTTACCATCAAGAATTACTACAATATTTCCATAATTGCTTATCAGACAGGGTCATTAACAGGTAAAAATGTATGTAGATATCTCATTCAGTCATACACCATAAATAAGACCGCAAGTCTCCAGGAATTCATAGCGAAGTAAAATACACTTATTCATCATGATGGGTCCGTCGCCCTGCAGAGACTTGTTAGTACTATGTTGCACATATTCAGAATGCCAAAAGGAAGAGAAACAAAACCTACACTCATGCAATTCCTGCATACTCAACTCTCGAATGCCATTGACATCAGGAACGCTGCCCTGAACAGCACCCTTAACAGTTTCATAGGCACGGCCAATTATGCCTTTGTGCGCAACAACATGCGTGGCTAGCTTGGCCTTGAGCTTAATAACGCCAATACGGGGATCCGAGGGTCCACCATCGTGCACACCATCGCCCATATCCCCGAGCCACGCCTTGAGTGAGGGCGAGTAGTACTTCTTCACGATGGCAGGGTCACCAATCACTGATGCAGTTCCCGAGATGGAGGCCCAGGCTCCGCTGGTGGGATCGAGGAAGGACATGTTTGTTTCTTTTGGGTGCACGGTGAGATCCATTGTTTTGCCGGAGAAGAGGTTTGTGTGGAAAATGAGATCGATGCCACCATTCTCCTATTTTGGCGAATGAATTAGCACGTTTCTTTTACTTCATTGTGGCTCTAGTCATACCTTGGCGGCTAATGCCATGCATCGCGAGGCCAAATAGTCGCCCTCTGATTGCTTAGTTGTCAACATGCCAAATTTCACTTGGGTGATAAATTCCACCAGCTCTTCGATCTTCTGGGCGAGAGGCGGGTCTTCGAAGTTCTGGGTCTTGTAGGGGTCCACGGGGTGGTTGCCCGTGTTGGTGTTGATAGTGGCATCTGTGGTAGACATGTTTGTTTGATTTTTTTTTAAAAAAAATGATGAATATATTAAAGTAGAGAGTATTGAGAAAGGAGGAGGAATCTATATAAGAACGATGTATACAAGGTCGTCAATGTGACGTCAGCGATAAGATCAGGGTCAGGGCTATCAAGTGAGGTCAAATTCAACTTCACCGCATCACTTAGAACATCCCAAGCTGTGAAGATCAGGTTTCACCAGTTCTGTCTCCGTGGGGATGCATTTCCATCAGGGCCCATCTCGATTCTCCTCATTAGAGACTGCAAACCCATTAGGGCTATTACATCATGCCGATGCAAAATTGAATGTCTCTTAAAAATATCGTTCTGTACAGTGCCACATGAGTGTGTTTTTTTGTGAGCATCGTTGCTAGGTCGCATGTCGAGTCATTTTTATTAACAATTAGGTGGGCGTACGTATGCCGGTTCAAGATCATATAGAGCGAAATATTCTGGCATGAGACAACACGTCAAATCATTCAATTCGAGTCATCAATCAATGAGAAGTCGTGGAGAATCCTCTCAATCTGCTGTCAAGGTACCAAGTCCTACTTCAATCAGCAAATTCCTCCATCCACGCGCAAGGCGGCATAAAACAATAACTCACCTCTGGGCCAAATGCCACAGCAAATTCAGAAGAACAGCCATGATACCAATTACAAAGGCTATGAAACACGATATTAGCGGATGTCTTTATTGGCGAGATGAAGATAGAACCAAGGAGGAAACCAACCTTCATGTCCCCAGCTCTTTGCCATCTTGGCAAGTCTTCTATTTCCCTGTGTCCTGACTTTAAACCAACTTGACATTAAATTTGTCTGGCAAGTGTGGCCATTAACAACCAAGCAGCCATTTTTAACCCGGCGACACTCAAGATGCCACCGACGGCGCTCCATAATGGCGCGCACACGCCCGTTGCAAAAAGACTCGTCCGTTCGGAACGAGCACTTCTCCATAGGACATTCGAGTTTATTCTCAAACCGCTCTACAAACCAGTCAACTTTTAGCCGCACGCCTGTGTAGACTATCGAGTAGAAGTGGCGGCTGCTGTGTTTTAGGGCAAGGGCGTCTGGGTAGGAAAGGTATGTGCTTATTTGGATGTGGAGTTCCGGGGGGAGGGTCATTAAATTGGCGCCCGTTGATTGAGGACTTGATGGGGGCTGGCATGGCTCCATCTTGGACTGATTTTCTGAGATTGTTGCTTAGTTCAATTGTGTAAACTCGACGTGACAGTGGTGTTCATCTTATACGAGCGGAGAGGAAACTGTTGCCTGAAACCGCAGCCATGTTAATTTCTAATTGGAGCTCTCGTTCCCCAGATACAATCATCAAATACGATTAATCCAAAACATCTGCCTATTTTTAGCCTCCGAGAAGCTCTGGATGGTTTAAGGGGCTGTGATCATAAGACTCTTCGCATTATGGTGCCTAGTACTCCGTAAGCAGTTCGAGATAGTAATTATCTGTCTCATAAAACGTGTTCTGAGTAATAAATAAACAATTTGCAAACGCTCAGAATAAAGACAAGATGTGTTGAGCTATGTTGTTATTCAACTGAGCCCAAGGTTGGAACCTTGGAAATCCGTATCGCTGACATAATCTTCAATATCGCGGGTCTCAACTTGGAAGCTTCAACTTTTAAAGATCGCCACTCACCAACCTCACACTACATCTCCTCGAAACAAAATCTCCACCACAAATATGTCAGGACCAAACGCATACGGCACTCCGGTGTCGGACACAGCTTTCCGCAAAACCTGGGACCGTGAAGAATACGCCAAAAAGGCAGCCGACGATGAAGCAAAGCGCAAAGCCGAAGGCAAAGCCCGCTACGAAGCGAAGCTACTGGGCAAGAAATATCACGCACCAGTCGACTACAGTATGCTTGAAGATACCACAGCCCGCAACCAGCGTCTGGATGTCGCATCCATGGTGGGCAAGACGATGATGGTTCCCGCTAGCTCCGGGATGGGCAAACGCGGCCGCAGCGCTGGATTCTACTGCAAGGACTGCGATCTTACCTACAAGGATAACTTGCAGCTCGTGGAGCACTTGAACAGCAAGCAACATTTGATTGCGACGGGACAGAGTGGCGAGGTGAAGAGGGCGAATGTTGAGGACGTGCGCTTGCGGTTGAGGATGCTTGCGCATCGGAAACGTCAGAGGGATGAGGAAGAGCGTAAGGCTTGGCAGCTTGATTTGGGGGCGCGGCTTAAGGAGCGGGAGGAGATTGATGCCAAGGAGAGGGAGGAGAAGAGGCTCAAGCGCATTGCAAAGCGGAAGAAGAACAAAGTTAAGCAGGAGGATGAGGGCTGGGAGGGCCGGTTGGGGATCATTTCTTGAGTGGTGTTCTCGGGGTGCGCGTTCTATTCTTGATACCCATGGTGTTTTGGCATATTTTCCAGGCATTTTTCTTCTACTGATCATGTTCTTCATGTGCAATAATAGCACTTCCAAAATTCAAATTATGAGCTAAAGACCTAACAAGGGTTTCCCAACGCCTAACATAACGCCTAACATACAAATCATATCTTCCGAAAACATAGTGCAACTACTGATTTAGTCGATGCACTCGATAGCTTCGAGTCGCTGCATTGCTCGGCCACCTTCCTTCTCGAATTGACCGACAAGTCGCTCGCATTCTCTCTTCAGCCGTTCTTCGCCATTCTTTGCATTCCATACGATCCATTCTTGAACCGTCATCTTCTTCTCTGGGCTAGTCAAGCCGCCTTTCACGCCTTTGAAAAGTCCAGATAAATCTGCGTTTTCCTTGTCACTGGCCTCTCCAAACAGTACTTCATCAATATCCACCGGTGTCCATGGATGTCCGGAAGGTCCGAATCCACCATTGGCGTTGCGCTTGGATGGTGATGGGGTACTAGCTGCCAAAGGGGCTCGGAACTCGGGATGCTTGGGTGTTGATTGAACAGGTGGACGGGATGCTGAGGGCCGGGATGATGGAGGCCGGTTTTCGGCATCTGATGACTGGGGTGATGGCGAGGGAGTATTTTGGTGAGCTTGTTGGACTGGCGGAAGTGGTGAAACTGCCCGGGTAGAGCGTTTTGAATTCCGCCTAGAGTCATGCATTTCATCCGGTGAGGTCTGGCTTTGGACTAGGGTCTCTGCAAGATGCTCTTCGAGGGGGATATCGCTATAGCGTTTGGCGGTCTTTGGCGGTAGACTGGGCGTCTCCCGGTGGGATTGCCGCTCAGCAGACATTGCTTGTGGGAGGGCAGAAGGCTTCTGGGGAGGGTTGACCATCTCAAGCTGGTCAGGCAAATCGTCTGCAGTCTCGAATTCATCATCATATTCTTCGACCGACGGTTCGATGTGGGTTGCTTCAACTAGGGGTTCAGGAACAGGAGCTTGCTTTGTCTTTTTCTCGGATTTCTTTGGCTTTTTCTCTTTGGTTGATGTAGCATCCTTCTTCTTGGAAATCTTCTTCGGTTCAACCTCCGCCATTGGTTCTTCAGGTTCCGATGCATTCTCCGGGTCCTTGGTAACAATCTCAACAGAAATGAAGGAGTCTTGTCGTTCGGAATCATCCCGAACATCGGGGGCCCTGGGCCGTAAAGATTCTCGAGGCTCTGGCGACTCTGCTTTTATCGTCTCTTCAGTACTGGTCTTCTTTGTCCCCTTTTTCTTGGATCCTTTTGCCGGCCTAGTCTTTGGGGCTGGCGGCTCAGGTGCCTCCGGTTCGTCATGAACCGGCTTCACCTGAGGGTCTGGACAGTCCCCGTGATCACTAACATCCTCTGCCGTATCTTGTGGGATCGGTTCGGGGGATTTAGCCACAGCCTTGGACTTTTTGCTCGATTTCTTTTTCTTCGCTGCCCGTGGCTCTTCTGGTTCAGCCTCAATCTGAGGCTCGGGTTCGGCAGGTTCTGGGATATCTGCTTCCAGGCCTGCTTCAATTTCTGCGTCGATCTCCGAGTCACGAGGGACTCGCGCCTTTGACGTGACTTTGGATGCAACAGGCACATCGGACACCTTGCGAGCCTTGGACGCTCTCTTTTTGGTGGGTTTGCGACCTCTATTGGTTTCTGCTTCAGAAGCCGCGTCATCCACTGGCTCTGCATCCGCCATGGCGGAGTCACTTTGTTCGTAATTGTAGTTGCGAGCAATGCTGCTGCTCCGTGTTTTTGTAGCACGTCTCTTCGCTGGGGGTTCTGCTAGCGGCTGCGAGGGCTCTCTTTCCTCTATGGCAACTGGATTGGGTTCATCCTTGGTATCCTCGCTGGCCCTCTTCTTCCCTCTGCCTGCGCGTTTGGGTTTGACGGGCTCTGGTTGGGCCACTTCTTCAACGTCGGCCTCAATCTGGCCTTCTACCTCCACTGATTCTTCCTTCTTGGTCTTGGCGCCCTTTGATTTGCTCTTGGGTCCCTTCTTGGTAGTTTTGGACTTCGTGGTGGCCTGAGACATGATGCTCTGGTCCATCGATTCGTCCATTTCTATATCGGGCGCTTCAGATGTAGCTGGGCCAACGGATTGGGATGAAAGCCGGGAGGACGCCTTAGAAACTCGAGGTTTCTTAGCACGGGCGGATTTGCTCTTTTTTCCTGGCGGTTGGGCGAAGAAAAAGAACGAACAATCTGAGGAGCGGCGATAGTGTTCGTCGCTGGGAAGTTAGCAACTGTCTAATCGGGGAAAGAGCGATGGACACTCACAATGGGTCGTCCTTAGGCTCCCAGCCATCCAAAGACAACTTGCAATAGACACAACTGGCTAGGTCATTGCTCTCGTCTGTAGGACAGAAATACCATCCGCCTTCAACCATCTATCGTCAATGTGAGCTAAAAGAATATGGATATGGTGAAGTCGCGCATTACCTTCTCTGACTGGCATATCCAGCCCTTTTTCCCGTCATGGGGCCATGTCGTACCAAACGTTGCCAGTCTGGCTTGTGTAATCCGGTCGCCCGTAGGGTCTTCAATCGTAGCAGGGTTAGAGCTGCTCTGTTGGAGGTCCATCATGATAGCCCATCCGCAGTCGGGCGCATGCTTAAGATGCTCTGTGACGGGGTTATCGTCCTCCTCCCAGCCATCCAACGCCCGATGGCACTCGAAACATGTCGTGTTGTCGGGATTTGTCTCGTATGGTTTGTAGTAGAACCCAGCATGTGCCAACTAGAATCCCACCAAGTCAATCACCTGGAAATAGGCGCGTGTAATCTCTCCTAGGAATAACATACCTCAGCTGGTGAAGGTCGCCGATGCGGCCATGTAATCGCTTTGGGTGCTTTTGTGCCAGAAGATCTGCGCTTCTCCGGCTTCAGCACTATATCGAAACTAGCTAGGCGGGCCGCAAAAGTATCCATTTCCGAGCCTATGACGAAGTATCAGGGCAATCCGAGATAATCGATACCGATATCCGACATGCAAAGACACCTCTTGTGGAGGAAATAGGCGAATATTGTCGAAAGAGTCGTTGTTGTTGACCCTCCGCGTCTGTTTACTTTTGGTTGTTAGGTACACATCGGCACGCGTCCACGTGACTCTTACTCAGCACCCAAACGGGACCTCGGGAGCAGGACAGGGAGTACGTCAGTGCCGGAAATGTTGACGGAGCGCCCCAATTCGCTTCACGTCAATTCACTCATTTACTTTTTTATGGACAATTAATGCTCTTTGATCTGACTCACTCATTGCGCTCTGCGCCTCGATTTCTTTTGTCCGAACCCCAATTATGCCGGGAGTAACAGTATGTCAGATCCCCCACTGTCTCCGATGATTCCGCTACAACTTACATGCTTAGATGGTTGCTTCTCGAGCTAGACCCAGCTCCCTCTGGCACTCTCGTACCCCTCTCTCGTCCCCACGCATTATTCCTTCTTCGTCTCGTTTTCTGTCGTTCAATTGTCATTCGATTACTCCCTACAATGGCCGATTCTTGGCAAATAACGGCGCTTCCACATCGCGTCTGCTATGTAAGGTGGCCACCAACAAGTCGTCCTCCTCCTCATTCTCGACGTCTTCATCTTTGCTGCAGCCTGACCCAAACTGGGACGAGAATCCGAACTTTTCAATTACAAATTTCTCAGAACTTCCCTCTAAGGATTTCGGAGTCAACCAGCACATGATCATAAACCAAGATTTTAAGGAAGCATTGCGAATGATCCTTTGGCAGTTTAAAGCACCAATACGATACGCATTTGCTTATGGATCGGGTGTCTTTCCCCAGAATGGCAGCGGAGCTCCGTCCAGCTCACTGCATCCGTCAGCACCCACAGCCATCTCAAAGATGCAAAAGGGTTCGGGGAAGATGATCGACTTTATTTTTGGAGTTTCATACTCGCAGCATTGGCATGATATCAATCTGCACCAACATCGTGATCATTATTCTGCGTTGGGCTCGACGGGGTCATACATGGTCTCCCAGGTGCAAGACCGCTTCGGCGCGGGTGTCTACTTCCACCCTTATGTCACCGTGAATGGAACGATGATCAAATACGGTGTGGTGAACCTTGATACGTTATGTCGGGACCTCACCCAGTGGGACACCATGTATCTCGCCGGTCGCCTGCAGAAGCCCGTCAAGATCTTGCGGGACCACCCAAAGGTCCGATTGGCCAACCAGATGAACTTGTTGTCTGCTTTGCGTGTCGCATTGCTGCTACTTCCTGAAAGATTCAGTGAGTTTGAGTTATACAGCACAATTGCAGGTATGAGCTATATGGGGGATCTACGCATGGCCCTCCCGGCCGAGGACCCCAGCAAGGTGCGAAATATTGTTTCAGGACAAATGGCGCACTTCCGCCGGCTCTACGCACCACTCATCGACAATTTGCCCAATGTCACTTTCCAGGACCCCCGCTGCAACAACGCGGATTGGATTGATGACCCCAACGTCATCTTAGCCATGGAACAAGATATGGATCCGGTGAAGCGCGGTAACATGGTTCGCCGTCTGCCTGAAGCTTTCCGACAAAAGTTGTACTTCCAATACCAGTCTCGCTTTGGGATTCCTCGGGCCGATTTCGATAAGATGGTTCGGGAGAGCAAAGATGCGGACGAGGTTCTTCGCCGGCCTCAAGGCGGTTCGTTTGAGCAACGGATTGCTGGAGACAATTTCCTTCAGGAGGAGGTTTCCAAGTCCATTGAGAAGACAATCCGCTGGCCGAGTACTGTTCAAACGATCAAGGCGCCATTCACAGCAGGCCTTAGTAAAAGTTGGACTTACATGAAGGAGAAACGTGAAAAGCACAAGAAATCTCAGATGGCAGCCGCTTCAGCACTGGAAAGCCCCCCTGGGGTGAATAAAACTACCGAAGCACCGAAGACATCAGTGCCGAAGGAGACAAAGAAAGAATAAGCGACTCGGGTGCATTTTGACGAATGACCCTAGGTTGTAGACATGGGGCATAGAGAGGCGTTGTGGTTTTGTGACCTATGTATCAACATCATTGGTATATCTGGCATATGTGCATCAGCAGGAAATATTTATCGGACCCAATATATATGGACTACATAGAGCCTTTCATTTGTTGAATAAATTATACAGGTTCTTTTTCTTTTTGGTTTTTTATCCTTTGCTTGTCCTTCTGGCATGCCATAAAGATGCTATAGCGAGTGTACCTACCTACAGTATGTAGGTCTCACCGGATGAGGCAGAGAGAGCCAACGTGAACATGTACGCCCTTGCGATTGTACGTGAACCAATGCAGCTATCAAGCAGACATACAGAGCAGGGCAAAGTACATGGCCGCCTAGAATATAACTTTTTCAAATGCTTCTTGTAGTCCTCTGCTTCCTAACCACGCCTCCAGCGCTTGCATATCACCCCGATTGGCCCGTTGGCCACCTCGCTCTCCTAGCGAGTCAGTAATTTCCTCCATCCCCGAAAACACTCTCTGAACACCCTCTGTCTCTCGAAACCTCTCACTGACTTTTTTCTGATGACTAGGGATATCACCCCAGGAATGTGTCTTGATGAAACTCATATAGGAGTCAATATCAGGCGATGCACCCTCAAGACATAATACACCCGGCTTCCCCGCCAGCACAAAGCCCGTCAGAGCATATCCCGGTGCCAGATTGACCATATCATCCCTCTTTTTGCGGGTTGACAGGGACGGAAAATAAAACCAGACTCGGACAGTTGGCCCTCTGTCTGTGTTTTCTGGGGCTACAGTCTGAGACTGCTTGTTTTCAAGGAACAGGCTGGCTTCTGCTTGGATGTATTCGAATGCCTCTAGAGCATCATCACCTTGGGGTATTGAGGCAGTAAGTCTAGCAACTTCAGCTCTAGACATCCACTCTGGTTGTCGAAGCGAATACCCCAATGACGGTGATTTCTCTAGTGCTTCTGGGTTATCACACCGCAGTGGTACGGAGATGTTGACTTGTATTGTTCTATCTCCATCTGCAATTGGTAGACAGACGGAGAGAGATATACTTGACGGGATTTTAGAAGGTATGGCTTTCGGATTCTCGCACCATTCACGGAGTTTCTCAACGCACTGCGTTGTGGATTCGGGGATTTCCAGCTCCCCTGGAGCCGGGAACATCGCCATCAAGAGGTCAATAGTGGACAATTGGGACTCTATGATGTCCACTGGTAAGATGGATGTTTCCACAAGTGCCATCTTGTTCATTACAGACGCAGGAGTCACCAATATCGAACTTGCAGAAGACCAAGTGCGGCGAATTACGCTTGAGATAATGAAATCAGAAACGCAAAGCAATTGTGATTTTCTGGCTTGTAGATGTTGAACAAATATGATAGAAAGAGCACGGTATTATAAATGATCAGACAACTTATTCCTTGAGCATGTTTTTTGGTCACTGAAGATCACGAAACTTCCTATCTAAGAAGCTCTTGCACTCAGGGCCGACCTCGGCCGGGGAGAGACAGTTATTATGTAATCACTCATCAGATGGATGGAGACTTGAAAGCGGAGCTTCCAACGCGCTCATATCTTCAGCATCCTATATGCTACTGAATAGTGGGGTCCTGTGTCAGTATACTCTTCTCTACAAGTCTGTCCATGGTCCTTCATCTAAGGCACTTTAGGGGTGATGTGCACTGGAGCGGTATTGTAGGGCCCAATTTGGAGGGATGGAAGCGGACTTTCCACAATCTGCTTTGCTCGATGACGTGGTATCCACGGTGGTGATTATGATGAAAGATAAAGAGAGAAGAGAGACAGAGGAGAGAGGGTTGAGAGAGAGATGAGAGAGATGAAGAGCGCATGGGATAGCAGGGTATTTATACCGTATCTAGCAAACAAAGATCTCCGTATAAAATCACAAAAATGGTCGGCTTATGCAGCCTTGTGATGTCCCTTTAGTAGTTCTTTAAGTGGTCTTCTCAGCCATTATGTTTACATGTTGTAAGTCGACAGCCAAAAAAAGGCTGGAAAGCTTTCTAAATATAACCTTCGAATTACTCTTAGGAGAGCTATAACAAAATATAAGAATGTATGAGTATAGGGAAGAGAAAATTAAGAATTTCAATAGAATTCATTGGTCTCTTTTAACTTGTTTTAGATGGGCTATTTCCCTTCAATCTCGATATAAACTGCTTTTAGATCTTGATATATAAAGGCAACTGCATATGTTGTAGGCATCGTTCTTTCCTTAATAATATCTCTGAAGTTTAATACATAGTATATATAGGGATCTGGAAGGAATATTCTTCCCTCAACTATCCATCCTTTCTATCCTGTGGCCCTCATTTATGATTCCGTGTCGGAACATCCAATGTCTTCTAATTACCTAGTTTCTTTTGGACTTCCAATTCCTTCGAGCCGACCTTCACCATGCCGTCCCAAGAGCCGATGCTTGGAGGCAACTCCAAGTTTTGGGAAGTGGTCAAGATGGTCAAAATATCGATCATCTCAATATGTTCTTTGCTGGGCCTTTATTTCCTCGTAAATATCGTAAAATGGAAAATCAGATATCGGTAAGATCCCTCCCTTACATTTGGATATTCCCATTACTTATAGTTACAATCTAGAGATTACCCCGACCACAGGGTTTGAGTGGGATTCCGATGACTTCGCTATGGCTATCCCCTTGGCCCTGTCCGACGAGTCCATCGACCCGATTCCTATGCTTGTCCTACCTATGGCGTGAGCCTTGGGGCCTGAGCATACCGACTCGCCCTACAACTGGTGTCTGACTAGCCAGTTGCAGGAAACAGCCAGTGTTACCGATAAGGACAGCAACAGGGACAGCGACAGAGACAGCGACAGGGACAGCGACAGGGACAGCGACAGGGACAGCGACAGGGACAGCGACAGGGACATTGATAGAAGCCTCAGAAGAAGAGAATGCGGTGTCAGGGTGTTTAAAGGCCGTGATAGAACGAATGCCCGGAAAGGGTTGGATAGCAGAACGACGTTGCTTATTGCTCGATTATATTTTGATACAGTCATTGCTTGTTTCATGATTTAAAGCTTTGCTGTCTCCAATTTACTAGTCCGTTTGCATTAAGTCAGAGAAATATGTATAGCCCTAGGCACATTATATGTGACTATAGCATTGACTATGAGCAGATGCCTCTAAATGGTTGATGCAACAGATCATAATAAGAGATATATATGCAAGGTTCCAATACTTAATGAGTCAGAGCCAATGTGTCATAATTTCAAGCCGAGATAATAAATTTAGGTACTTTTCATTCATAGAATAATATAAATATGGAATGTAATACAGAGTATACTCCCCCCGGAGCCCGTCCTTGTATAGATCGGCATTTGACTCATAAGAGTTCCGATAAAATCCCACCCCCCCCCCCACCAACTTTGCTCCAACATTTCACATTCCTCACCACAATGGCTTCAAAATCTCCCTTTAACTTGGCCACATGTGCCCGTCCTAATATCCTGGCATTGCAGCCTTATCGATGCGCCAGAGAGTATGCTGCCCTTTCCAAACCTGCCCCGATACCGGCTAACAAGTCAGTGACTACAAAGATGACGGGACAAACGTCCTCCTCGACGCCAACGAGAATGCCTTCGGTCCTGGTCTTGCCCTGAATAACGAGGGAGCATTGCAATCCTCCCAGAATGGCAATGCCACTGGAGCCTCCAAGCCGGAGATTGACTTCCTCGGCCTGAACCGCTACCCCGATCCGTGAGTGGAATTCGACGACTCATTCAAGAGACCAATTGGACTAACAATCTATCAGTCACCAGATTGAATTGAAGCAGCTCTTTTGCAACCTCCGCAATACCCACCACCACACCCCGAAGACCCTCCTCCCCGAGCACATGTTCTGCGGCGTTGGCTCAGACGAAGCCATTGACGCGCTCCTACGTTGCTTCTGTGTCCCTGGCAAAGACAAGATCCTCACATGCCCCCCGACCTACGGAATGTACAGCGTCAGCGCGCAGGTCAACGACGTCGAGATCGTCAAGGTACCACTAGACGCTACAAACGGATTTCACCTGCAAGCCGATAAAGTCAACGAGGCCTTATCAGCGGACCCATCAATTAAGCTGGCCTACATCTGCTCGCCGGGCAACCCGACCGCGAATCTGATCCGCAAAGAGGACATTCGCAAGGTACTCGAGCACCCTACATGGAACGGCATCGTAGTCGTCGACGAGGCGTATATCGATTTTGCGCCCGAGGGATCCAGCCTGGCAGAGTGGGTGACGGAGTGGCCCAACCTAGTTGTAATGCAGACCCTCAGCAAGGCATTTGGATTGGCTGGTATCCGGCTCGGCGTGGCCTACGCCAGTGTGGAGGTTGCTCGTTTACTCAACAGCCTTAAAGCCCCTTATAACATCTCTAGCCCAACAAGCGCGATCGCCTCCGCGGCACTCACAGCGCCAAATATGGCGGTGATGCACAGTTTCCGTTCGGAGATCATCGCGCAACGCGATCGCATGCTCCGTGAAATGCCGACGATTCCCGGTGTGGGTCAGTTCCTTGGCGGTAGCGACGCGAACTTCTTGCTCGTGCAAATCCTGGACTCCGACGGACGACCCAATAATGTAACTGCGCTTGCTGCTTACGAAGCTATGGCGGAGCAACGTGGTGTAGTGGTCCGGTTCCGTGGAAAGGAACTTGGATGTGAAGGTTGTCTCCGTATCACAGTTGGTACCGAAACAGAGGTTACTAAGTTCCTTGGAGAGTTACGGTCTGTGTTGAGTAGATTGCGTGCTGGGGCTAAGATTGATGAGAAACGGGAGGAGTCGGCGGCTGCTGTGGTTGGATGAGACCTGCGCGATTAAATTAATTGGAATATCATAAGGTTTCAGGAGATAACATTGTCACATTTGGAAATAATTTGGGGGCTTAAAAAAGATATCTGTTATACGGAGTACATATATTGTAGGATGTAACATCCACCTGGTAGTCCAAATGAGTAATAGTCCACGTGTAGCCCTGGAGTGTTATAAGACCCTCATTATATTAAAGGACCCTTTAACAGGCTACAATACAACAGATAACAATAAAAATAACAATAAAAATAACAATATGAATGTGATTCTTTTGTTTCACCGCAAAGTCAGATTAAATGTGATATGAAAGATTAGCCAGTTGAATCTCAGTGGCTGTAAACTTATCTAAACTATTCCAAGACTTCCAAGCTTCCCCTCTCTTCGTTTATTCTAAACATATTAATTCCCCCCTATATCTCCCGAATGTACAGAGTACACGAACATCTTTTCAAGATCTTAGGATCGTCTTGACCTTCTTAGCCTCCGCATTTCGCCCCATAACCGTTATCCCCAACCCCACACTTTATAGCACGTGTGAGCAATGTAAAGCACTGTGTGAATCGCTTTTTGCGACCTGCTTTTTGCTTTTCTTTTCTTTTGGCATAATGGCCTCCATGGCCTCCATGACCATGTCGCTAGTCGCGCGTGGCATTTATTCAGATACCCCACCAGCCATGCAGACCAGAGCCGAGATGAATCCGACACTTATGATGAGCTGGTGGGCTACTGTATTCTCCCTGATTATCATCGTCATACGCTTATTTGGTCGTTATGTTCGTGTTGAACGCTTTTTCATCGAGGACAAAGTCATGATGGCCAGCGTCTTTCCCCTATTGATTCGCATGATCCTTGTGCATTTTGTTCTCATATTGGGGACCAACAATACCACCATCACAGGCTTGACAGAGAAGGAGATATCAAATAGAGAGCTGGGTAGTAAACTGGTTCTTGCTGCGCGTATATTTTACGCCATCTTGTAAGACACACCCCTTGTCTTCATCTTGTTAGTTCAAAAATGACTAACAAATCACTATAGCATCTGGACAGCCAAAGTGACCGTGTGCGAATTCCTAAAGCGAGTCACAGGTCTTACCTGGCGCCGCTCAACAACTTTCTTCCTCCGCTTCATCTCCTTCTTTCTCTTCTCCACCTTGGTAGCTGTGGTCATCGCAACCCTATCAGAATGTCAACCCTTCGACCACTACTGGCAGGTCGTCCCAGACCCAGGCCCATCCTGCCGCAGCGGCTACATCAACCTAATCACAATGGGAACCTGTGATGTGATAACCGACCTCTTACTCATTGCCATTCCTGTACCCATAATCCTCATGGCCCAAATGCCTCTGAAGCGCAGACTCGCCCTATCAATCCTCTTCTGCCTATCTTTGATACTAGTCGCCATAACCTCCTACCGCGTCCCCTCCGTAATCCAACACAACGGCTCCCAACAATACCGCTCCCTCATCGCCTCCTTCGAAATCCTCGCCGCAACAGCAGTCTCAAACGTCCTAGTCATAGGTTCCTTCGTCCGAGACCGCGGCGTCAAGAAACTAAAATACAAACGCGCCCAAGGCTCAGCCTCCGTCTCAGAAAGCATGGACAAATCCTTCGTCCGCAGGAACACCGTCATGCAAAACCAATGGGGCTCAGACTCCGAACTCGCAACGGGTCTATGCATCCGTCTCGATCCAGATATCTACACCATCCCCGGATCCTCAGACGGAACACGTCTACCTAAAGCACCAATCGCTCCATCTCAAGTCCCACTAGCAGTGGCACGAACAGGATCCATCGATCCAACATGGTCATTTACAACCCGTCGTTCAGCAGACGACGACCACACCTCCACAACAGATAGTCTCGAACCCAAAATCTCACCACGCGAGTATCTACGCACAAACCAATCCCCACGTCAGGTCTCGCCGACATCAGAGACACCACGTCGCGTCTCATTCTCAGATGTCGGCGGTTTATTGACAAGAGCACTACCGGAGTCTGGATCTGGTCATGTGCGCGCCCAGACTTGTCTGTCATCGCCTGTAGAAACCACGGAGCGTCGGAGAAGTGGCGGGAGTAGGGCCTTTTTACAAGATCTAGGGATTTTTGGACCGCGAGCGACATTTACAGCTCGGCCGCCGCTTTCTGCACCTCCAGATCTGCCGTTTCCTGCGGCTGCTTTTGGTTCTCGTTTGGTTTCGGTGTCTGGTTCTTCGGATTTAACTCTCGATACTAATGTCGAGCTTCATGATGTTGGTGGGTTGTTACGACATGATCATTAACTGGACATAATACGATGTGATGTGACATGATGTGACGGCTACTTTTTTCTTTTGTTTCTTCTTTCTTGGACTTGGGTTGTCTGTGGAATATTGGGTCGGAGTCTCTCATTTTGGTTTTCGGGATTTATCTCGCATGCTGTATTTTCTTTGTTTCCTGTTTCCTGTTTTCTGTTTCCTGTTCCCTGTTCTATTCCCCCTTATGCGATTGTTAACGTTGGAGTTACCTTCCGATATCCTTTGGATACATCTAAGGCTCGGACCTAACTCTCTTTCTCTTCCAAGGTTTGGAGCCTTGCTAATAGTGTACCCATACATACTATCTACATTTACAAATACACCCAGGTGGATTCAATGTCATATCACATGCTATACAACCCTGAGTACCCTTTATCCTAAGGTCCTTTGGAGATTGAATGGTAAAGAAGGCTTCGATTATATATAAATTTTAGAAACGACGAGCTGTCCATTTATGAATCTTAAATATAATGCATATGCAAGAACCAAACGACAAAAATATAAATAAAAACACGCAGAGAGAATGCTAGACAAACGCTAGACTTCATGTATAAGTGCATTCATGTACGGATAACCTCTTCAAATCTACGCCTTCTCCTCGATCGAGGCCTTCTTGAACTCATCCTCGACATCAGCCACGGCATCCTCCTCCTGAGCCAGCTCAGCCTTCGCCGAAGGAGCGCCGTTCTCTTGGGCGGGCTTCTTGGCAGCATCGGTGGCCCGGCCGTTGGTCTGAGGGGCGGAGACGGCGGCGTTAGCCTTGGTCTCCTCCGCTTCGATGCGGTCAATCTCTTCCTGGGCCTTCTTGATGTTCTGTGGGGTAATTAGCAACTGATCACAACTGACCACGGATAAAGATTGAAACTTACCTCTGCAGTCTTGCTGGCCTGATTCTTCTTCCACTCGGTAATCTTGGCCGCCAGCTTCTCCACGGAGGCGGGGACATCCGCCTGGTTCATAGGAGGGTCGATCTTGACCTTAGCAAAGTCCTCAATGATACCAACGTTCATGTTAAACTTGGTGCTCTCAGGGGCGGCACCCTTCTTGCCGCCCTTCTTGCCCTTCTTGCCACCGGAACCGATGAAGTAGTCCTCCTCGTCGTTCTTGCGCACAACCTTCATTCCCTTGATCTCAGTGGCTTCAACAGTGCGGCCAACTCCGGCACGGAAATTGTTGCCCTCATCCTTCTTCTCATTCAGACCCAGAGCAGAGAAGTCATAAGCGGGATCGAAGTGACGGATCAGACCCTGTGCAGTGAGGATCTCGTCGGCGTAGGCGGGCTGCGAGGCCTCCTCCAGCTTCTGATCAGCGTTCTTCTTGCGCTTCTCGCGCAACAAGGCCTCCCTCTCAACCTTCTCACGCTCGCGGCGCACGCGGTTGAACTCATCCAGGTACTCCTTGTGGGCACGGCGGGCCTTGAAGTAGGTATCCTTGATAGTGCGGATAGCAGTGTATTTTTCCTGCTGCTCATTGCGCAGCTTAGTGCGCTCATCGCGCAAAGCGTTCAGGTTCTTAAAGACAGCATCCTGCTCGGCCTTGATGGCATCGAGCTCCTTCTGGATCTCGGCATACTTGTCGCTCAGCGCCTTGGCCTCGGGGTTGTCGAGGGTCTTGCGCAATTCGGAGATCTGTGCCTTGATGTCGTTAATGCCCTTCTGTGCCTCTTCCAAGCTGGCAAAGCTCTTGCGCTGCTTGCGCAGGTTGGAGACCTCGGTGAGAGCCTTGCGCTCATCCACCAAGCGGAGGGTGCCAGAGTCGACGGACTTCTCGAGGCGGGCGATCTCCTTGTCGATCTCCTCGACATTCTTGAAAGACAGACGTCCGCGGGAGTTGTTCTGTTCAGTAATGCGAGACTTAAGGTTGGCATCCAAGGCGTTGATCTTCTCCTGGATGGAGGATCGGCTGGACTTGAAGCCGGACTGCTTCTGACGAATAGCTGACAGTTCGGCGCGCAGCTCCTGCTGCTTCTTAACGGTGGGCGAATCCTGGTTGTTCGGCTTTGCGTTGTCCAATTTGGCCTTGATTTGGTTCTGTTGCGCATATCAGTCATTGGCCCGAGGACATGGTATGCAAGTAAATAATGAACACGAGGGCAATTAACAATCAACAATCAGAGTGGGTCGGGATCATCGTTGTGATCCAAAGTCAGATGAAAGCCCAAGTGATAGTTCCAAAAAGAAAGGCTTCCATACCAATTTCTCCTGAGCAGCAGTGTGCTCCTTCTCGGCCTGAGCGAGACTGGCCTTGTAGGCGGCCTCATCGGGCTTGGTGGGCTTAACCCGCTCCGCATCAGTGGCAGCCATTGCGACGAATTGAATGTGGAAAGAGAGACAGAGAAGGAAGAAGTGCCTTCTGAGGAACCTGAAGGGATTAAATAGACCAACGAGACCAAAAGGAAACTGAAAAGGGGAAACTTGAGATAATTAAAATGGTTCGGTCGGTTTCTCCGCTTAAGTGTCGCTGGCAGAAAGTTCCCGCCGATTTTTCGACTTCACCTTTATCTCTCCACCGGAGCTCTCTCTACCCGTTTTTTTTTGTGTTATCTTGACGGGATAACCTCTTATTTCCTTTTCTATTCTAGTCATCCATTTATCACTTCATCATGGACGGGGATTCAGCACACTCCATGGAGGCTGAGCGCGAGATGACTCGGCTCTGGCGCACCTTTAGAACAGTCTATGAACTGCTCGCTGACCGGGTAGGCACTTCAGATCGAGTCCCTGACTTTTCAATGTCTCTCCCATAATGCCCATTTACAAAGGCTAATCATCGGCGACACACCAGGGCTACGAAGTATCTGATAACGAGCTGGCACTTCCGTTAGAAGAGTTCCGCGCAAAATATGCTGACCCTCTGGGCTACCCTGAGTATGCGAAATCCTTGCCTCTATCGGCCCATTGTCTTGAGATAGCGAAAACTCAAGCTAGACAATGCCAATACACGCCATTGAAGAAGCACACATCACTAACAAGCCATTCCGCAACAATAGTCGCACTAAGATGAAAATCCAAGCCCGCCCCACCGACACCATGAAGTTGAAATACACAGCACTGCCCAGCAAAGCAAACCCAAACCCCCAGCCCGATTGTGGCACAATCTACGTCGACTTCTGCCCCGACTCCTCAGGTGTCGGAACCAAGCAGGTGCGCGCGTTCAACCACCTTGTCGATGAGAACAACTTCCACACCGGTATCTTCATCACGCAGACACCGATCTCGCCCTCTGCCGTGCGCCTGCTTTCCGGTGTCCCCGGCCGCATCTGCGAGCACTTCCAGGAACAGGATTTGCTTGTCAACATCACCCGCCACGAGCTGGTCCCCAAGCACGTCCTGCTGAGCCCAGAGGAGAAGGCCAAGCTCCTGGAGCGCTACCGTCTGAAGGAGTCCCAGTTGCCCCGCATACAGATTTCTGATCCTGTCGCCCGCTATCTTGGTTTGCGCCGTGGTCAGGTCGTTAAGATCATCCGCAAGTCTGAGACTGCGGGTCGCTACGCCAGTTACCGCTGGGTCATTTAAGTTGCCAAACAAGGTTGTTAAGAATTGACTAGGAAGATTGATATGTGACTCTTCAGCATCAATTGACGCTAGATCATTCTCTTCTCTTCTATTCTTTTTCTCTAATTTGCAGGTATGGCAAATCCAAAGAGTCAAACCCCGCTTCCTGTGAACCTCAACTTCACAAATTCGAATTGCATCGGGTCCACTTCACTGTCTCCGATATAACTGCTTTCCATACTACGCAGCTCTGCAGGAAATACCGAATGGGCAGTCGAGAAAGAGCAGCTGATGCCAGAAGTGGACACTTGGGAGTTATTTTTTTTTACTCATCAACTCACATTCAAACACAAAAAAAGTTTTGGTCTCCCCTTTGTATTATGGGCAGCATGGCGTATAGGCGCGAAGTTTCTCCTGCTTTAGGGGATTGCGATGGGGGAAGGTTTGCCTGTGATTTTACATAATTGCCGTGTCTTTGTATGTCTAGATGAATCCAATCTTTGAATGGCTGTCATTTCGAGTCTATCTAGAGGAGGAATTGTAGATATGTCCAGGTAATGTCTGCCTACCGGGGTACATTCATATTCATATGGGCCACTATCCCGTAATAATCTATACATTACACCTAAATGTACGAAGTACCTATAAATAAGACATCTAGAAAGAGGTTTCTTCGAGCAAAATCAAGAAAAAGAACTAAAAATATATCTTATGGTTAAAACCAAAAATGAGGCCGCCTAAGTATAAAATCCGTGGAAAACGCTGGAAAATGGTTGACTAAGCCTCGGACTGCGCCACTGCAACTCTTTCTCGATTCCGGCGCTTCCTCTTGATTTCAGTCACCTCATATCACCTCTTTCTATCTCTCCTTACTGATCGAGGGTTTCGAGTTCATACCGAACCCATCAGATAAAGAAAACAGCCATATCCACATTTTCGAAATCCACCTCAAATCAGCACTAAGTCTTAACATCTCTTGGGAACTCCACCTTCACTTCCCACCATGTCTTATAACAAACCCGTAAGTTCACAGAAGCAATCAGTCGCAAATAATTCTTAAGCACAAATTTCAGATACTAATCTCTTCCAGACAAGCCCACCGCCCTCTTACCCTGCCCAGGCCCACGACGCCGGCCCCTACTACCCAAACTCCCCACCACCGGGCCAAAGCCCTGGCTCCGCGAACGACTACTACGGCGGCGGCCAGCCCCAACAGCAGGGTTACTATCCACCCCAACAAGGCTATGGCCAGTCACAGCCTCAACAGCAGGGCTATTACCCCCAGGGCCAGCCGATGTATTACCCTCCGCAGCAGGGCCAGGGGTACCCCCCTCAACAGCAACAAGGTTACTATGCCGATGACCGCGGGAGGAACTCCGGTGGTGCAGGAGGGGGCATCTGCGCGGGTATCATGGCTGCCATGGCTTGTTGCTGCTGTTTGGACATCTTGTTCTAGACCAACTTTGGTCCTGGCTTTTTAATACGTGACCACGCTACTGGGATTTGATTTTTGGTTGGTGTTGGGATGTATTGTCGACTCGCTATGCCATGTACACGCTACACTCTTGAGAGGATTTCGAGAGATAGAGGCTGGCCTTTTCCTAGGATTGGCTTTTGACTCAGGATTTGGTGCTGGTTTGTGAATCCTGCGTTGGAAAGCTGTCTCAGGATTTCTTTTTTTTTTTTGCCCCCGTACATATATCCTTCACTTTCATTGCTTATGACTGGCGCTAAACAGGACATGGCGTTGTTGGCTTCTGGGGTTTCGGCCTCAATTGTACTACACTTTTTGGCCCTACTTTTTGTTTATTCTCCCTTGAACCAGATTACTATGTTCTACTTAATTCATCTTTCTCAACCACGATACAAACAGTACAGCCCGATATAAGAAGTTTTATAGATCGAGTAGATACGATTGGGAAATCCATGCACTTTATCAAGAGATAAAAACATTCCCATCATTATTTGCAAGCCCATTTCCATAAATCCCAGCATCATCAATAAAAGAGATCAATCATAATACATAAAACATAAGGGTATCGCATCCCAAACCTGAAAACCAACACCTCCCAAATCACCTCTGACTACTATAATCACTTCCCCCGCCATAAGCAAGGGGATCAACATGCCTCACCCCACCCCTCCTCGGTCTCCGCGGCGGACGTGGCGAAACATCAGAAGGAACACTAGACTCATCCTCCTCAACCTCAATAACATCTGGATCCATATCCCCAGTCGTAGAAGTAGCCAAAGACTCCTCAACAACGACCCGATCATGTCTCGACGACGGCCGACGTCGATAACTATCACGGAAAGACTCTCGTTCCTCAGTTACCTCGATGACGTTGGGTCGTCGCCGTCCAGCAGCTGACCCGCGTCGACTGCGCACGTCCCCGATCTCTTCATCATCCATCGACATAGACATCGACATCGATATCGAGGATGACGTTGGCGCTGCGACCCCGCCGCGCGCAATGCCCCCTGGGTTCACAGCGAGGAATAGTACGTACATTAGCAGTACGAAGCCTCCTACGCTGCCGAGTACGATTCCCACTACTGTGCTTGCGGCGGGACTGGTGTTCAGGCGGCCGTAGGTTGAGGGGATTGAGATTGTTGTGTAGCGTTTTTGTAGGGAGGTGTCTGTGTGTAGGAGGTTTGGGTTTAGGTCTCTTGTGTTGAGGTTTGGTTTGGTTGGGTCTAGGTCGAGGCCGAGGCCTTCGAGTGGGTGGGTTGACATGGTGTCTAGTTGTTTGTTGTTGGTTTGGGGGATTGTGAATGTGGATAAATGTCGAGATTATTGTAGAGGGTTTGGATATTTCGATTCGAGCGAATGGGTTGAGGTCAGCTTGTGAGCTGAGATGCGCTTGTAGAGTTTTGTGACATGCGGTGTCAGAGGTGTGGATTTTAGGAATACGGAGTACAATGATTTGAAGATATTAGGGATAAATTTACGGAGTAAAAGCGCAAGAAATAAGAAATGTCCGTAAAATGTCAAATGTCACGAAGTAGATAAGAGGAGGCTGGGGGTGGCTGGGAGATGTGGAGATGCCCTACTTTTTTGTCACTTCGGACATTTTGGACATTTTGGCTTATATTAAGAGAATCATATTCGTATTATGGTATATTTTTGGGCTTAGCTCATTCTCTACTACGGAGTATTGTATACTGAATTGTTCTACTTACAATTGAATGTCTAATAAGCCCCTTTACGCTTCTCGTACTCAGGCTGGCCCGCGGGCTTAACCTCATCCAGCGCCGTCAGCACAGGAGTGGTATGAACCATATCCAAACTCTCCAACTTAGCACCCTTTGAATCAAGCGCCCACAGACTCAAGGCCAAATAGTTGGTACCCCGGTAGTTGAGAATACCCTCAGGAACAGGGAAGCTCGTCTGGGGACCAATGTTGCTCACATACTTGGCGTACTGGTACCCGTTGACATAGAGCTGAGCACGGTAAGCCGGCGACGAGGTGCTGTTCCCGAAATTAAAGTACACAGGAACATCCCAGCCCTTCTCCATATCCAGATCGAAGCTTGTAGTGTAAAACTTGATTCCAGGCTTTGACAAGCCCTCGAAGGGACTACCGGATTCCCATTTCTGAGTCGGCGGCTTGGGCTGGTGGAAACCCTGACGCTCGGCGTAGAGACCACCCTCGTTGAGCGGGCCACGCACTTGGTCCAGGTAATCCTCGCCGCCCAGGTTGCCGGTCAGCTTCCAGGCAATGTCACTCGCTGGGTGGCCGGACAGCTCGTAGTTTAGGATACCGCGAGGGAGCTTCATCTGGTCTTCGCCCACGATCCAGTTTTCGTTTAGGCCCATGTTGTCCACGACCACGGTGAACACGTACGACTTGCCCTTCTTCAGGGTTGGTAGATTGTACGTTCCGTTGTGGTCGGCGTCAGGGCCAATTCCGCTCCATGATCCTATGTGGTTCTCGTTCAGCCATACGGAGCTGCCAAATGCGCTGCCTCCTTGGGTCTGGAGGGAGAAAGTCTTCTCGTTGCCGGTTGCGACGAAGTGGCCCCGGAAGAGGAGGGTTCCGGTGTGGAAGCCGTAGTCGGAGGAGTACAGCGAAGTTGGAGTCTTGAGTGCATGGCCGCTGTTTTTGGTGGGCTTGTCTGCCGAAACCCATTTGGAATCATCGTACGAGGCTTGGAGCTCAGGCAGAGTATCAATGGACTTCCACTTCAGACTCTTCAGGGTTGGAAGCTCGACCTTCGGTGCCGTGTAAGCGACGCTGGTGGACCAGATTCCGTTCTTGTCAACCTTGACATTCGCCTTCTTGCCGTTGATAACCAGGTTCTTGGCATTGGACGGAGCGCCAAGTACCTCAATTGGGGTGGTTGCATTGAAATCAGCAGTGAGATGAAGGTCATTGCCCTTCACAAAAGCAGTTCGCACGAGGTATCCGGCCTTGACGATCAGAGATGAGGGAGCAGTCTTTTGGGTGCTATAGCCAGGGCTCTCGCCTTTGGCTGGGAGCTGAGGAACCCAGTAGTTGTAGGCAGAGTTTCGGTCTGATGGTTTAGTCAGTTGCGATTAGGGTGGTATTTGAGGAAGCACTTACCCAGAAGAACAATCTTCAGATCACCCACCTGCACGATACGGCGAGTGGTGGAGACATCCCAGCCGATAACAACAGCCTTGCCCACCTTCTTAGTGGTGATGCTCGACGATGACCCTTCGATAACAGAGGCCTTCGAGTTGGAAGAGACAGCTAGCTCATGGTGCTCGCCAGGGCCTCCGTACAGCACAAGAATCTTAGATTTACCAGACTTGGTCCAGGTAAAGACCTCGGCAGAAGAGTAGAGGACATTAGTGTCGGCCACATCATAGTCAACGACATGAATCTTGGAATCACGGCCGCTGAGAGTAAGGCTTCCGCCAAGCTGGGGAATAGTCACTTCACCGGCGCTGGTAGGAACCTTGAGCTTATAGTCGACAGATGCTTGGGACGAGTAGTCGGAGTGACGGACAACAAAGAAGGAAGAAGCAGTATTCTTGCCCCCGAGCAGGGGAGTCACGGCCAGATCAGACGAGGTGGTGTACTTGGAAGTGGTCAACTCTCCTGGTGTTGATAGAAGGTAGGCCGATGACGCTCTTGCAAAGTTGCCAATCAGCTTCAGCTCGCTGTACTTCTCACGGGTGATGTTGCGGGATTCAGTAATTGCGGAACCATAATCATAGGAAGTGTAACCACCGGGGTGGCCCAGGTTACCCCAGTTAGTGCCACCAAAGATCTTTCAATAAAATATCAGCATTGATGAGTATAATGAGAGGGCCAGAACATACCATGTACAGGTTGAAGATTGCGACTCTGAAGCTGAGGTTGTTCTTATAGAATACTCTCTCGAACTCATGATTCAGGAGGGCAGCACACTTGTCGAGCCCAGCACCTCCCCATGGATCGAAGGCACCACCTTGGAACTATACTATAATTAGATTGATGATCCACGGAGATATCCCATATAGCTTACCTCGACCAAAGAGTACGGGGTGGCAGGACTCGTCTCCATGTGTATCTTATAGAAATCAGTGGGCAGCTTTCCCGCTGGCCAGGTCGAAGGATTTGAGCAGTCAAAGCCGAGAGGGTAGTTGTCGTGGCCGTAGATATCCACTTCACCCTCGCCAGTTCCAGGGGCATTGTGACCGTCAGTGCCGGCATCGTTGCTAATAATAGGAACAACAATTCCCGCCCTGTGAGCCTGGTCCTGCACGTATTGCATGTAAGCTCCATCTGGGAAATCTTCGTATCCACAGCACGCGCCACTGTACTCATTCTCGGGTTGGAAAAGAATGATAGGTCCTCCATTGGTGATCTGGCCCTTGGCCATCGTTGCGGCAACATTGGCCATGTAGCTAGTTTAAAGATGTCAGTATTAATGCTTCTAGTGCATTTGGTAGGGTCACGTACTTGTCCGTTGCCTTCAGGAAGTCCTCATCACCACTTCGCAGAGTTCCATTCACGCTCTGAAGCCAACCCGGAAAACCACCGCCCGATACTTCAGCATTGATGTAGGGACCAGGTCGAGCCAGGAGATAGATACCAGCCTCCTTAGCGGCGTCGAAGAATGGCTCTAGAGCGAAGATTCCCTCGGCAGTATACTGGCCCGGCTTACCCTCCAGTAGAGCCCAGTCGATATAGAAAGAAACACAGTTGAATCCCAGAGACTTGACTTTTTGGAGAACATCAATCCACAAAGATGGGACAGGCAAACTGTAGGAATCTTGGTCAGCATAATTCACCCCTGAAGAAACAGCTACACGATGCAATTAACTTACCGATATGGGTGAATTTCACCACTGAAGATCATGATTCTCTCACCGTTGACAAAAAGAGACTTGTCATCCCAAGTGACCTATACAATGTACTCATCAACACAACCATCCGAATCCAAGATCCAAACCCAACATACATGTTTCTGGAGCAAATCCCGCTTAACTGGATCGGGGTGCTCGGTGATAGTATACCCATTCCATGAATGGCTGATGGCAGCACCAGCGGCCTGGGCTGCCAGATAGGCAATAGCCCAGGAGGACAAGAGCTTCATGCTGTCTCGACAGTCTACGCAGTGGTGAAGCGGGGTGAAGCGGGGTGCTAGGAACAGGAGGAAGAAGCACTTTAAGTCAAGTCCGGTTTCCCTGCGTAGGGGTTACGCTATTCATATACGGAGACTCGGGACATCATTGACACGAATCAAGGCAACATGCAATTGCTGTACTAACGTAACAATGACCCGTTTTCCTAGCCAGACCTTTCGTTACTTCAGACAAATTGAGGGTGTCCCCCGGAAGCTCCGTGTTGCATATGCGGGGAGGTCCACTATGGTATAAACCTTGGGGCCGTGCTAAGGACGTTGGATATTGCGGAGGAGATATTCTCACTAACACAAAATAAGAGGACTCTAATAGTTCGGTAAAACTAGGACCTTCAATAGCAAGCACACCTAGCCAAATCCAGCCCATTTCACGGGATAAGTTGGTTATAACCAAAAGTCCCGGACTAATGGACCCTTGCTTCCAAGGTTGTCCCCAACCTCACAAGGTAACCGGACCGAAGATCCCCTGGGGGGCCGATTTTTCCACATATCAGATGGCAGATCTAACATCTGATGTTGTGCTTCCGATGGGGGATTTGTTCATTACAGGTAACATCCCTGTAAATGCCGAATTTGACACGGGAATAGATCAATAATTTCTAGTCTACGGTTCTAAGCTACCTTTTGCCCTATTATCTCAGACATTTCTTCTACCACAAAAATAATTAAAAATAAAAATAAAAGGTCTTACCCGGGTTCGAACCGGGGTTGGTGGAAGATTTTAAAGAATCAAAATCCACAGTCATAACCGCTAGACCATAAGACCAGCTAATGGTCAGGTGACGACACAAGAATTACTATGTATTAAGATATATTTGTATAGTCATCTAGGAGCCCTAGAAACGCAACATCGCTAATGCTAAATGTATGTTGTATAGTAATATTACTGTGAATGATCTTTGGGTAGTCAATTTTAACAATAGCTATGATAGAAGGACTACGGACATGCTCTTTATATTGCGATACAATTTTCACTAAGCTACTTTGAGTTCTTTCGCTGTCGCTGGATAAAGAGTGTGTCAAAAGTCCTTCGCTAGCATTGGCGCAGGTACGGTAAACTAGGAAAGTTAGCATGTCCTCAAATTAGATAGTGCTAGGAGGAACAGGACAGAGGCTGACATCAAAGCGGAGGGTCATCTTGAGATCCTGAGATCCTCGTGGAATTGATAGTGTTATAAGAAGATCTTGTACGTACTACGGTTAGCGTGGATGATCGGTTACATACCCGATACAACATAGAGAAGCAACCTTCAAATCTAGTAGTATATCTGCATCTCCTCTTTCACCAAGAGGCCTTCAATCATATACCAATGTTTTCTCGGCACCGTCATATTGTTCTTATCACTCTATACCAGATCAAATCAAATCAGTCTGTTCATATTAGGTGTTGCTTTCAAGGACTATTTATATTATTTTCTTATAGTAATGGTTACATAACGTGCAGCTAACAGCCCATACCACTCACTCACAATATATTTCTCCATAACTCATCGTCTCCGGGGATACCTAGAGATGCCAGAGATCTACTATCATAGAAAAGCTAGTTTTTGTAAATAGGTTAGTTTGTGCCGCAATTATTCTGTGCGATATTAAACTAGCGATATATACTCCGCGAAACGACATACTATATTCCAATCATTTTTCCGCCTAGGGTAGGTAGATTCACATATTATAAATGGCTCAGCAGGTAATTCAGACCCCAGGCTAAGAAGTAAACGATAATTTCCTTTATATGGACGCCAGATAACCATCGCTTTTATAGATAAAAAAAAAACAAAAAAAAAAGAAAGAGGTCTTACCCGGGTTCGAACCGGGGTTGGTGGAAGAATTTCAAGGAAATCAAAATCCACAGTCATAACCGCTAGACCATAAGACCAACTAATACTGGAAGGAATATTTTTGAGTATTATAAGGGAAAATAATATTTTCTACATCTTCATCATATTGGTTTCAGCACTATAGACACCCTTGATTCAAGAAAATGAATGGATGAAAGATGATAGTAAGAAAAGATACTACGGCCGCCCTTTAACTAGCCCCTTTAGTGCACCTACAATCCACAGTGCAAATTATTATGGTATCCCAACACACTTGTCACTGCGATTGAAAAGAAGTACTCAAAATATATCTCATTATGATAAGGGCGTGTAGACTAATCATTGAAATGATAAAAACAATTGTAATAATTGATATAATTCTAGTCCACTAGATCACGCCAACTTCAATGGCCATTATTTTCATCCACTACAAAGGAACTAGAACTTCCACTGCTTCAACCACAACTCCATCCATTCCTCGGAAACTGCCTTGACCTCGGCCATTCTCGGACTCTTCTTCAGTGTCTCCTTTGTTTCGAAAGAAGGCCATTCCTCACCCTTCTCAGCCGCCTTTGCGACCGAATCGAAGAAATCAAACAACTTCAGCGCCGGGTTCTGCTTCAAGCTCACTGCTGTCGTGGCGCTGCCTCTGGAATTTCGTAAAGCACCCATCCACTCAGCCCATGACACAATATTAACAGATGGGCCAAGGTGCTTTGCTACCGTTGGGACCAGGCTCGCCCAGTTGACGGCATTGGGATTAACGGTATGGTACACGGGCAACGTGTGTGTAGCGGCCGAAGAGCTTCCATCTGTAGCTACACCAGCTAGTTGGACGAGGATGTCGGCGAGAAGGTCCACGGGGATCCAATCCACCCGGCTCAGAGATCCTAGCGTTGAGGGCAGGACGCCGAGGTACTTGGAACTTGCAATCAACTATGCCACAACAGAATGTTAGCAACAATATGCTATCGCGTGTACTTTGAGGATCTTCATACCGTTGGCACCCACTCATGCTTCCCCCACATGCCTTTTTCTGTTCCGCGTAACACAGGTCCGGCAATCTGTCCCACCCGACAGACGGAGGCATTCACACCGGACAACGCCACAGCATCATCGAGGATAAGCTCGGACACGTGCTTCGCTGAACCGTAGCCGTCAAGCTCCGTGGTTGGGATATAGTTTGATTTCTCGGGAACGGCACCATCTGTTCTCAAGTGACTAACGGTAGCGACGCTAGATACGAAGAACAGGGATGCGTTGTGGTTGCTACTACGCGAGAAATCGATCATGTGTCGGACCCCACGGACGTGAGGCTCAAAAGAGGCGATATCCCAATTGTAATTTACGGGCCATTGGTTGTCTGCCGAGACGAGTTTTGTTAGTTACTAAACCATGTAGTACTTCATATACGTAGAGAGAAGGATACTCACGAATAATGTGCGTTGTCTGCTCCAGGAGAGTGTTGTAAATCTCCGCCGCTAGTCCAAAGTTTGGTTTGGAGATGTCGACCTGTATAAACTCGACCCTCTGTGATGGCCAATCCGTAGTTAGTCCTCGGGATTCACTTGCGGCCGTCTGTTTTGCCTTTCCATCTTCTGCCCGGTTGAGACAGTAGATTTTCTTCACGCTCTGCTGTTGATGCAGCGATTCAAGCAAGTAAGACCCAAGAGAACCAGTACTTCCTGTGAGAATTACAGTGTGGCCATTCCGCAAGCCAGCAGTATATTTAGCACGGAATCTGTCCACGCTCTTTCTCTGTAAATCGATGGCAGTCTCGGCACCCCTCGTCTTGTTGTGGACCAGATCGTATAGTGCCTCTGCGAGTGCATTGATGGTAGGATGACTATACACGAATCTGGAGGTTACGGCTAGCTTCTTCTCTTTGCTGACATTGTGCTTCCCGACAGCCGAACGAAGGGAGTTGGAGATACTGAAAGTCAGAAGGGAGTCGACACCGACAGAAAAAAGGTCAACATCTAGACCGATTTCCTTGGCCTCAGGTAAAGCATCTACGAGAAGATCGTGAATGCTTTTAGAAATTGTGGCAAGGGAGGTGACGTCGATGTTGGTTGCAAGGTTGCCGTCTTCTTCTATGCTCTTATAAAATTGTTCGATTTCTTTTTCGTAAAAGATAACTGTGTCGCGGCGCTTGACGGTGTTTTTGTCGGTTCGAACGAACGGTTTGCCAGGCTTCGCAAACCAAATGTACTCCCGGAATAGGCGTGCCTGCTTAGACCCAACGGCGTTTGCAGCATGGACTTTCTCCATAATGCTATCCAAAATTGCGTCACGCTCTTCTGTGGATGATGGCTCGGGAACTGCTAATTCAACAAGAAGAGAGGTCATTGTGTAGCCTGTTCCAACCTGTCCATTTCATTAGCAACAAGGTTGGACTGAATCATACCATTTTGCGAGGAGTGCAAAAGCCGACACCTAAGGTTCAGCAATTTATACTTACTATAAGACAAGCGCTGACTGCTGGATGGCTATTGATAATTGCTTCCATAGCCACAGGATGAAGCTTCTCTCCATTTGACAAGACGAGCATATCGTCCGTTCTCCCTCTATAAATCCACAAATCTGGCTTTGTGGGATGTGGTGCATACAGGTCCTTGAAGGTCAATTCCTTACTATCCGGGAATGTATGGAAAATTCCCTGGTGAAGGGCCGCGCGCTCCTCGTTGCGAACCGCCCAGTGCTCATGGATACCCTCATCGATTTTTCTGAAGTCAAATCCGGCGTAGGGGTGGAAGGAAAAGTATATCCAGTCCTCGCGTTCTACGAGGAGACTTCCTTGGAAAAGGCCCTCGGAAGTACCGGTGAGATTGCATATTCTAACATCTTTGGTCGCTTTGTTGGCGCTGGCGTGGGTAACTGGGCCTTTTTGCTGATTAGCAAACACGGTATACTCTGGGGAATTCAGGTTTCTTACCGCCAGATGCGATTATGATTTTTGCACTTGTGAATTTGGTAGAGACAGCAGGTGTCTCGCCAATGTCATCTACTATGGAAGGGATGATACTCCAAATTTTGATGTTCGTGTGGTCGATAAGGGAATCAATGAGGTTGATTGTTGAGAGCACACCCACAGGCCCAATAACATTGCTTGTACGATAAAAAGCCCTGACCAAGATATTCATGATCAATCCTGCGGCCTAGCAACTCATGTTATTTCGACTTCCTTTTTCGAAAAGTTTTAAAACAAGATACTCACATGATAGAGGGGAAATGCTGAGTAGAACCGATCGCCTCCTTCGAAGATGACAGTCCAAGGAGGGCGCCCATCACTTTCTGGCAAAAGGCGTGTGGCATCTAATGTGGCGAGAAGGGAATTCTTCCAAACGATGGGCTTGGGAAGGCCGGTCGATCCGGAGGTATGCAACACGCAAAAAGGGTCGCTGGCAGCCTCCTGGAAAGTTTTGTTATATGGATAGTCTGGGACCGGCTCCGGGTTCAAGAGTTCATCAGTTTCGGGAATCTGGATTACTTTCATTGAGCGGTGGGATAAGAGCTCAGGCAGCATTTCCGGCTGCTCCTTTGGAGAAACCCATATGTCACATTTGGACGCATTCAAAACAGCCATAGTAGCCTCAATCCTGTTGAGGGGAGATGGTAAAAGCGCCTACAGAACATTACCATGATAGATTCTAAAAAGACTTGGTGACTTATGCATACCTTGTATCCCGCCTTGATGCAACCAAAAATAAGCAATATGTATCGAAAATCGTTCCCTAGCTCAGTGTTAGCGTATATTGGTATAAACCAACTTATTCAACTTATTCTAGACGTACGAGGGCCAAAGTACCCAACCGTTGGAAATTGCGATTCCTTCCCCAGTTCGGACTCGAGCCACCAGGCAGTTCTGTTCACTGCGTTTGCGAAGTCACGAGCGCTGATATCCCGGAGTCCCTTGGAAATATCTTGCGAAATTGCGAGCGAGTATACAACCTGCTCTGGCTCGTCACGAGCCATTTCATCCACAATTGTGATAATAAGGCGTCTGCCATAGTCCTTATTGATCGCCATGTTGAGAAAAGCTGGAGCTTGCTTAGATTCCAATGCTTAGCAAAATAGGAGCCCCTTTTGACTGCAATGTCTTTATACAGATTTTAACAAAAGTGGAAATAATAGTATCAATGCCAGTATGTAGAATTTGAGGATGACGCAAATTGACCGACGGCTTGTATGGAAGGATTATAGATACGGAGGATTACCTATTTGGGAATTTCGTGCGGAATATGACCGATCCTGATGTTAAGGCCGGGAATCCCCCGCCCCAGTGGAAATTCAACAGACACATCAAGTCTAGACCTGGTTATGCTACGCCATATTATTTCAGCATTTTTCATTTTGAGAAACATATCGCCCTCACTGCATTCTTGAATCTATGCAAAGATGCTAAGATTGCAGTCTGGGCTACTTCCTTGCATTACCTCATTAAGTAGATCTGTTGAGCCTAATCCCTACCGTTTGCCCAGGTGATATGCTGTTTGCTAGCCCAGAACAGACTGAGACCTTTGCTTGCTAAATTTTGGGGGTATGCATACTCTAGTTATCCCTTCATAAATTTCACAATTTCCATCCAATTTCTTCATATCTTTCTCTCTCTGTGTGATTTGCCTTCAAGATTATGCTGTCGCAAGGCATTCGGATCTCTATAACTTGGATATTTTGCTTTAGGTAGTTCTAGCATTGTTCACAGTGACGGTAGTTTTCTCGAAAAGGCAAATAGATGCCAATGAGACCTATACACATAGTAAATCTCAACATTGGTCTCTGCGAGACTTTTCTTATGCATAAAACCTGACAAAACTATGCATTGGAAACCGCAAAGATGTACAAGTGCAGTATTTAGTGTGTGGACTGGGCCATATCTAGCTGGCTATATTCTCGAAATTGATTGCATTGCACCAGTACATTGCTTTCCGTTCCCAAATTGCTCGAGTAGTCAGTCCACAGATAACTCCCCCAGGCGTCGTATACCGTCAACTAGATCATTTTCATCGGACCATGAAAAGCACAACCGTAAATACGATGAAAGCTTAACAATCGTATCACCAAGAACCTCAAAGGCTTCACCAGGCAAAATGTCCAAAGCTTCCTGCTCTGCAAATGTTCTCACAACAAGCCTACCATCTAATTGCCCTTGTAGCTTCAGCCAGAGGGAATAGCCTCCTATCCTGCCCTCGCTATCTTCCACGATCCGCACACCTAGCGGCCCTAATGTCTCCCGCACCACGGTCACCATGAGATGGCTCCGGTGTGTGTAAGCTGGGATCAGTGTGTTACAGACGTGCGACGTGAGCTGCCCCGTGGCCAGGGGCTGGGCCACGACCGTAGCTCCCAACTGGCTTTGACAACCACCGGCAATGCTGGCGCCCGCTGCGAATAGAGCGCGGGCTAGTGACGGGGATTTCGAGATCCAGCCCGTGCAAACACCGGGGCTGACCAGTTTACTGAAGGAGCCAGCACTGAGAGTGTGATCAAAGGCGTATGATCGGTGGATAGGGTCGGGAGGGTGCGGTCGATGTCTACAAAACAGGCCAAAGTAGTAGGGCCCCTAATTCTTTTTGCCTACCTAATTGAGTTACTGACTGAAATAATACACCATACGTTACCAAACTTCTCTCCGTAATTACACTCTACTAATTTTCCCTTCCCTTCCCATCCCGCCCGTCCCGTTCTATGCTACTATATAGATGTTGGACTGCAATAGACAGTGGTAGAAAGAAAGGCATTTCTGAATTCTGATAAGTCAAAAAACATAAAATATTCAAGAAGCATATGTTCTCAAATAAAAAGTTCACAGTTCCCAAGGGCACAACTAGTAATCGTCCACATCCTCCACAGCCCCAGTCTCCATTTCCCTGAAATAACTCGGCCGTCCATCTTTCTCATAGACAAGTTCAAACTTGGGATTATCCTCAAAGTCACCCTTTGGTCCGCTAGTGAAGCTTCCGTCAGCTAGCAACGCCACGCTACAGTGCCATGGGGTGGTATAAGAAGTCTTTGTCGGCAACAAGTTGATAGAGACCTTGTGTTCGCCCGTGGACTGGTGGATGCTGAGACGGAGGTAGTCAGGGAAGTTCTCATTTATTGCCATTCCGAACGCCTGTACTATCACGTCAGCCATGGGTGTATTTGGGATTTGTAAATCTGCCAAACGAGCCAACTTACGTATCCGCGGTAAATCATCTGCTTCGCCACATACTTGACATCCCTGCGATACTTGCGACGGCTCATATTCCCGCCGACTTTGAAGATGTACTGGAGATCGTTCTCCAGGAAGCGCGAGTAGCCACAGTACGTCAGCCGTGTGTCATCTTTCTCGGCTATCTCCTTTGTCACGTCAAGGTCCGTTTTGCCGTACCGGTTCAGCAGTGCCAGTCGGAAGTTCAAAGCATTGGCTATGTATGTAATTTCCTCCAGCTTATCCGGGAGGTTCGGGATGTTGACGAGGTCCTTGAGACGAGTGAAGCGAATGTGGGTGCAGCCACTCTCAGCAGCAAGAGCCCGCAGACCTTCACCATATGCCCAAACATCACGGTCTGGGATAGTGAAGAGATCTAGAAATGTGGGGAAGATGATCAGTCAGTACTAGTACTCACCTGCAGGGAGAGAACATGATAAATCAAGACTGTATTACCATTGTAAAGAAGCCCGTCCGAAATAATAAGTAGCTCTGCCCCGGGTTTATACACCTCACCAATAGCCTCGCATATGCCATTCAAGCGTTTCAGGGCCAACTCCTCGGCTTTGTCAGGGAGCGTGCCGAGCACCTTATAGACCTTGTTGGCAGACTTCCATGGAAAGGCGGGCAGACACATCTGCACCGTTTGTCCCTTGCTGACGAAGTTGCGGATCACAGAAATGAATTTGATAGCACCCAGTTCCCAGCGATCATTCACATCAACCGACTTGGTTAGGTGGTATGGCTTGAGAACAGCAAGGATTTTTTCCGAGGTTTGGGTGTGAATATCAACCTCCTGGGTATCCCTTAAGACGCCATCGACTAGAGCCGGAGCCGAAAATGGTTCTAGAACAGGTCCTGCTTCAGGCTGAATCTTTTGAACAGAAGTGGCTACGGTCTTCTTCTCTGAGATGTGCCCCTGAGGGATGGCTTCAGTCAAGCTGGGCGACATGTTGAAATGATGATATAATGCTGATTGAAAATTCGGGGATAGATAGAAAGTTGATGGTGTAATTTCGTGGTAGGAGAAAGCAGGGACAGGGTTGAAGTATGTAGAGCGAGTCGTGTAGCAGTACCATACTCATGAACTGCGATTTTATACTACCAAGCTGAAAGGGGTAGCCTTGGCAAACTTCATGGACAACTTGACAAAGTCCCCCGAGCTAATCGTCCACGGCGACTTGGTGAGAGGAACAAGTCCTGGATAAAACCTCCTTGGAATTCTCCTTAGGGGTTGTAAACGGGCCGCGGAGGATTTCTGTAGACCTCCGTGTTGTGTCTAAAATAGGAAATGATGAGAAACATACATACTTTACCCGTATTTAGCCACATTTGGTCTCATACTTGATGCAAATCTCGATAATGTGTAACACTCTGAGCGGACCATTCATTCCTAATCATGATTTGACGTGTGACTATCTCATTACACTAGAAGCGTTTGTACTACAGGCTTATATAGACCGATATAGAGGTATAGGTAACGTAGGTGGACAATCAAGTGGGCGTTCAGCCTTGGTTGAATTTGTGATAGAGAATTATACAAGCTGGATTTCTTCAACTAATATTTTTTGATAGGCTATGAACGAAATTTTCCCATGTCCGTAAAGCTGCCCCCACGCTGGCTAGTAAATCTTTCCTCAATATGCACAGCTTTTCTTAATAGTTCCTGCGAAATTTGCCTGTTATCCCGGGTCAAGTGCTCGATTCGAGATGTCACAATCCCCGCCTGAGTGATGTTAAAGTCGAGGCGCTTTTGTAGAAGCACATCCTTAATAGTATGAATTTTCAGGCCTTGGCCATTAAACAAGATATCGCAGATTTGAAAAACTTTAAAGGCAACAGTTGTTATAAGAGATATGGATGCCGAATCCGGAGGAGAGTTGACCTGCGCTGAAGTGGACTTGGACGAAGTTCCTTCGTCACACATCTCAAACATGAGCTTGCAGCTAACGTCGATGTCTTCTAACATCTCCCGTAATGGACCATTTGATATTCCGATTTTCTTCGACATTGATAATGTACCCTTGTCGGAGATCGTGGAACCATCCTCTTCCATCGTCATGATATGACGCTGAAGTCTCGCACAATGTTCTAACAAGCTAACAAATCTGGTGCCTTTGGATGTCGCGCTCAGAGGGTCGCTACGGTCAGATGGCTGTTGGGAAGTTGTTGACGACACGGAAGTTTGCATGCCCGAAGGTGATGGTGAAGTAACGTCTGGTAAGTCTTCGGACTGCATATTTATAAAGGAACGGCTGGTTTGATTGGTAAAGTTGGGAAAGGTGGGTTGGTGTATGTCAAGGAGAGCGCCATTCAAGACATTTGGAAACTTTAGCGGCTGGTCTGAGTCTTGCAAGTCGAAGCTGTGCTGCTCCGTCTGAATTGCGAAGTCCTGATGAGAATCCCACACGAAGAGATCCTCATTGTTGCTGCTATCGGCTGCTGGAGGAGACCTTTTTGCTGATGCACTAGGCACAGTATTTTCGGTAGGCTAAAGGGAGTTACTGTTCATGATACTCCCCGGAGAGGTTGTATGCGAATCCATCACGTCGTGCGATGGGTCCGAAGGGTCACTTTTCGGCCTTTTGGGTCTTCCACTCCTATAACGGGGCAAGAAATAACAGCGCAGTCCCCTGTCCTCGCAGTGAATGCAAGATCCCCCGCCTCTTGACATGATACAACGAATCTTTCTTTTATGACAGGCATCACATGCATTGCGTACGTGTGACTGCACGGGGAGCATCTTGCTGTTATTTTCTATAACGATTAGATCAGAATTTGGCAGATATTTTGAGGATATACAGACAAGTTTCTTAAATTGAAGATTGTATGAGATCCACAGTCTACCTTAAATGCATATATAGTATTTATCTCTGAGAGCGGTCAAAGTGATAAGTGGCATCCATGATGTATATTTAAATTGTATCAATCCATTTCCCCACAGCTCATCTTTTATACCATAAATATAAACTTCTTAGAATAATTTCTTATTACAAAAGTACACCTGTCATTTATGTGTAGTTGATACATATAAAATACGGCAGAATACGTTAATATACAGTGGCGTTTCACAAGTATTCGCACCCGGTACCTCGAGTTTTTGACCGCCCCTACACCGTCTGCCTATTCCTACTAGTATAAAATGCCCTCCCTCCTCTCTCTCTCTCTATTACCATGCTCCCCGGTTCGGAACTTCTAACATACGTTCTCGAGGGTATATGTGCTAAAACACTTAGCAAAATGCGGTGCTAAGCGTATCAACAAGGGGAATGTTTGAAAGGACAACTTCATAACAGATAAGGACAACACGCTATCCCTAATTTAGCTAGCATATTATAGACCCTAGTGCGTTGTATAGTAAGTTAAGCCTAAAGTAGTTTAGCGCGTTATCCTTTTGGTCAGGCATTATCCCTTTAAACGTTCCCATCAAGAAGTATACTTATCTAAATATCCCTCTCTCAACCATCCTTTATACCCTACGCCAGGAATTCAACCGCTCTTATAGTATCTCACTACCCCGCCCTAGGGGCCCACAGGAGCTTACTAAGGAGGACCGAGACCGAGTGTACGATACTATCTAATCCCGTCCTAATATTACCTATGAAGACCTACTTGCTAATGTTGATTGTAAGGTTAAAGCAACCTCAATCTAGATTCTAGCGTCTAATGTATAAGATAGGCCTTCGAAGGTGGCGGAAGATGAATCGACTATATCTAATACCTCTCTACGCCTAAAAACGCCTCAACTAGGCCCTTACGGTAAGACCCTGGTTACGAGAGATACCAAATAACGAGGAGACCTGGGCAAAGCTGGTAGATGCAGCGCAGTATGCATGGGAGAATCTGACAGTGCACCACTTTGTTAATTGAGCTAAGACTATGCACCACCGTGTAGAGGAGGTTATCAAATATGAGGGCTGGCATACTAGTTATTAGGGTTGGATTTCTAATACGAGGTTTCTATCGGCAGAAAAAGAGTAGGTCCTTGGCTTTCTGAAGTACCCAAGTGAAAATACTCGTGAAATATGACTGTATTGGCGGGGGGTCTGGCAGGGGGGTTGGAGTGGCGTGGAGGGGGGTGTACGTAGCGGACACCTAACCGGTCGTGCAGGTCTTATCTAAAATATACACTGCATCTGCATATGCATAAATTTCATATATGACGGAAAATCTTTAGACATCCTTTTATTGATCCTAATTGGGAGACTGATGCTAAAATATAGGGTTGGCTGCACTACTGTTCCTTTCTATATGCTTTCCTCCGTACTCACTCTCCCGCCACCAATTACCGCGGCTAGGCGGCTTCTTTGCGTTTTTCTTTACAACTTGTCTCTTTCCTACATCTTGATCTGCTATAGTCTCTGAAGCGGTCGGTAGGTGCCTTTCGTGGTTCTCATATACCCCGTTACCGGATGTATTAACAGGTCGGGGACGATCTATCACTTGATGGCAGTGTTGTACAGCGCAGAAATAAGTTTTTATAGTGGAGGAAGACGTCATCATCCCAATTCTTGATATTTTTTGAACTTTCTACTTTATTCAGGAATTCAGACCCATCAGCTGGTCTACAGGCGATGCAAAATATATATCCATGTCCACTGAACTGTACCTAGGTAATGATGACGTATCCGTCCGACCCTCAAAATCCCCCTTACAGTCCTCGTATCTTCCAACCCTCAACATCATTCCCTTCTCATTTTAGCACCCTCATACTAGGTCAACAAGAACTGCGGCTGGACGTGACGCCAGTGTTTCCATGAATGTCGCCTTGCTTCGGCCCCACATAGTTCTCCCACGCTATCTATCATCTCACCGCTTGGGCTTGTGGTTTAGTGGTATAATACTCCCTTAGCATGGGAGTGGTCCAGGGTTCGATTCCCTGCAAGTCCAATTTTTTTGGTGATATTACTATATGGGTGACTTGCTTAAAGTGAGATAATATGACTCTATTATTCTCTCGCACTTCTATTCATCTTCGCCACTCTTGCCCTCTCCTTAACCCGCTATGTTCCGATGCCATGCTTTCTTTGCCCCATCCCTATGCCCCAGCATCTACCGCTCGCTCTAGCCTATCATTTTTCGTTTGCTGGCAAGCCCTAGCCATAGATTTAATGATGATCATAACTGGCTTGAGCTCGACTCGTTCCTTGATGACCATCTCGGCATAATCGCTAATCCAACCTATGGATACGAGATCCTCCTCGAGATTGGCGTGGTCAGGATTTCCAATGATGTCCAAACAAAGGACAAAAAAGGGGATAAACTGGTGGAATAATAAGAGACTATTTGAATAGTTAATCAATTGCGCAAACGAGGAACGGTAAGTTGCATGTTTGACATACCTGATGCCCCAAAACGCATTCGCCGAGGATGCAAGGAGAGATTGGAAGATTTTCACGGATTTTCTGGATATCTCCACAGCTTGGGATGGTAAGATGTGACTCTGGTTGCATTTTTTCGATTGATAGAGGATGATGAGCATTTTGTAAGTGCTGAATAGTACATCGACGCAGAACCATATATCGAGGTGACTTGTAGTCATTTGAAGAAGGCCCTCCTTTAAAGTGAAAGATTAGCAATGAACATCTCATGCACTTTTGTTTTTATGTTGGTGTGAGACGTACCGCATCCCAATCCGATAATATTAGCTGAACCTCGTCGATAAAACTGTCAATTGTCGCATCATGGGAGACGGGATCAGGATCTTTTCCTTTGTCAACCCAATCAAGATATTTCATCACAATGAGCGTCAATCGCATAGAAGCGATGAAGTGAATCTGGATGAAACGGGATGCCTCATTGTCGACGCCGGTGATAGTTGGGTCGGGAAAATCAACTTTCCACGATCCTGCCGGGATGAGGGCTGGTTTTCCGTAACACATGCGAAAAAGACAATCCGTTCGCAAAATGTGCCAGAATTCAAACCGTTTTCGATTCCGCTCTACTTCTGCCTCGCGTGGGAGAGATTCCGGCCCTGTGGGAAGTTGGTTATCTCCCTCGGAGGGTGTCTCATCCACGGAGAAAAATCCTAGGGCTTTGGATATCCTGCATGTTTGGGCGAGGGCTTTCCAGGATAAATCGATATTGCAACATTCGAGGGACAATGACATCTGTTAATATTGTTAGTTCATTGGTGTGGTATTAAAAAGTATCTGGTTTTCTTACCAGCGACAATGCTGCGAAGAAGTCGACTGGGGTATCTTTGATATTTCTCAGCCAGTCTTCGCTGAGAGAAATACATTTCTGGTATATAATATGAACCAAGGCACCTCTTCTTGGGAGTGCCTCTGGCCTTGTGACGATGCCTTGAAAAAGAATGGTGTAATAGATGATTTGGGAGGTACAATCTAGTTGAACATGGGGTATTTCGAGTAGATCAGGAATTGAAGTTAGGAATGATTTTTCGAGAGGAATCTTGAAGCCTTCGAAATGGCAGAAGCTGTAGTAATCTGGATTGGATGTTAACGAATGAATAACCAAGCGCGGGGCAGATGTTGTTTACAGTCTATGAGCTGTTTGGCCAGGTCTTTTGGAATGGACAGCTCTTCTCGTGTCTCCGCGGGCTGTGTGTCTTGCATGAACTGGATTTCCGACATGGCGGAAGTAATGGCAGAGAAGCATTGTTCGTTTTCAAGAAAGCACGATTGAATTTGTTGCAGATGACAGAAGACATTAGAGAGAAGCATAGATCGACTGCCTTCATCTTTGATACGACTGATAATATCACGGATCCCGGGTGGGACTATTGTGGTTGGGGTTTCAGGCAGGGTTGTATTTCGTGTGTTCTCTGATTCGAGAGAAGAGATAGACATGGAATCGACCTCATTATCTTGATTTCCCGCGAAATTATCCAAGCCACAATGCTCCTCTAGGCGCTTGAGGCGCTCGATAACTTCTAGAAGAACACCCTTCTCAAGAAATTCGGTCCTGTGATAGTCTCGTTAATCAAAATTTGGAGGGATGTAGTAACCCTCTATGGGCAAATGTACCCTTGTTTCTTAGTTCGTGCCTTGCGTGACAGGTAGGCACACTCAGCTCCTGCAGCTTCACATCTCTCACATCTTGGTATGACTCTATTGCAGCGAATCTAGAAAATTGTTATTGTGGCTGAACATTTAAGATGACACTGCCAAGGACTTTATACCTTCTTAGACTGACAACGACCACACTAGGATAGCCTCATGTCAGAATTCAATCAAATCACGTGTTAAGTCTTTTCTCACCGAAATAGCTGCTAAAAGCCCAGTACTCATTATTGTGGCACTTGTTAACTACTGGATGTTGCGGGAAAGTGAAAAGACCGAAAGTCCGGAGGGACTTCCAAGAATTAGGGGCCTCTACTCTGATTGGTCACAAGGCTCTTCCTCGTGTTAAGTGGGTCCGGACTCTCGGCAACCCCGAATCCCCGCAGGCTAGTCCAAATTAGGTTATGGCCTAATCCTATTTAGGAACTACCTCGCTCGCCGAGCTTTATGACTCCTGAAAGGTCCCAAAGTACGGAGTAAGCATCTCTTTGACCCCCATTTTGATCCACGTTATTGAGGACCTGAGATATCTCGGCCTATCACAAGTCATTTATTTTAAAACACAGTAGCCTAGTCTGGAAATTTTCGTATCCTGTCAAATGATCTAATTACAGGCAATGTACATACTCCGTACGGAGTACTCCATACGTTGACAAGAGCCGCGTGGCTTTCTTGAATACAAAACTTCGAATCAATCCTTTTCCTAGGATGAGCTCTG